TAATCATACAGGTATTATAATTGCAAATTGAGTTTCTATAAATATATCCAAACCTAATAAACATAAACTTTAGTTCTGGATTCAAGTCCCCCTTCCCCAATGAATATTTTTCTCTAGTTCTGAATTGGCTACTGTCAGTCAACCGCTCAACTAATACGCTTGTTGCCTAGACGGTTTATATAAGATAAAATCAGAGCTACTCGTCATATATTTAATGTAATTTATTTATAGATAAAATTATTGTAGACAGAGATTATCAATACATCCAGATTCGTAAATATTAGAAAACTTCTAGTCGATATTCATCTACACAAATATTAGATGACAAAACTAATTAATTACAGCCTTGACTGCCTCTATGACGCTGGAGAAGATTTCCTTGTTGGCAGCAATGACACCTTGTGAGTCCAAGGTTCTACCTTTTCCAAAATCTAACGCCTTACCTGTGACATCACCGACTTGCCCGCCACTTTCATAGATCAAAACGTTACCAGCAGCGTGATCCCAGATCTTCTCACGGTATGTGCCACTGATTGGCAATCTGAGGTAGATATCTGCTTGTCCACTAGCCAACACACAGTATTTGACCTGTGAGTCAAGGTTGATTGTTTGACGAGCAACAGTTTCCAGATCAAATCCTAGCTTATCCTTGATCTGGGCTTGTGTGGAATGAGAAGAATGTCCTTTTTCAACACCTTCGACTACTTTCAACTCCTTTGGATCTCTGTGTGTCTTCATGTTGATTCTCTTTTGCTCAGCAAGCGGGGTGAATCCAGAATTGAACAATGGCGCATAGTATGCACCAACACCTGTAATGGCAGAATACAAACCACCGACGACACCAGAATGTTCTTCATTGGAAACAATGTGTTCAGCCAAGTTTGGACATCCAATGACTCCCAAGACAACTTTACCATTTTCAATCAAGGCAAGACATACAGCAAATTGGTCGCCTCTAAGGAACCCTTTAGTTCCATCAATTGGATCCAATGCCCAGAATCTTCCGTTGGTTCCTCCTTGTGAATCGCCAAAATCAATACTCTTGTAAATCTCTTCCTTGGTGGTCAAGGTTCCTAATATATCATCAGAGTCACTGGTTTCAGATTGAATCTTGTTGATCAAATCAAAAACTTGACTAGCCAAACTGTCATTCTCTTGCAATTCTTGTGAATCTTCCTCACCGACAATTTCATCACCTGGAAAGTTCAACTTGATTGCATGGTTGATGATTGCTTGCAGCGCAAAATCCCCAACAGTCACTGGGGATTTATCTCCTTTGGTTAATGTACCAGAATTGGCTGTTTGTACAATGGAGTCACTCAATTGTTTGGTTAACAAGGATGCACGTTTCACAGCCAATGTTGCAACTTCGAGTTCCTTCTGATACAAGTGGGTTGTTGTTGTTGTTGACGACATTGTGAAATAACGAGTGTAAAATGCTCTTGCAGGGGTTCTAACAGATAGTAACAAAGACACAATCAATATGAATAATGATGTTATAACTATTCTTCTCATGAAACAAATATGAAAAATGAACGGAGTAAAAGCAATGAAAAAAATTTTAGGTATCGATCTGGGGAGAGCAAAAGAAAACATTGAGATTTATCAGAAAACGTGAGATTATGTAAGCGGGGAGAAAACGATTATTACTTTTTTTTGTGTTGGTAGAGGAACGTAAAATTCATTGAGTCATAGAGGGAAGCTAAACATTCATATATACATGTATATACGCTATCGAATTGACAAAGTATTATCCCAACATACCACATAGACCCATTCGTCTGAAATAGGTGATATGTATTCTCAAATAATTATGTCTGGCAAACAGAAATACAGGAAAATCTTTAGCAATGCATTGATCATTAAGTCCTACCAGACAATCAACAACCTCCTGTAATGTAGGTCTGTTATCTTCTTCAGAACAGTTTAAATAGATCTGATTATCAAATTGATAGTAATGATTAAAAATATTAGGATCTTTTGGAATCGTTGCAACTACATCGTTTTTATGTATTACACGAAGAAATTTCCGTTTGAAATCATTATGCTTTGCTTCATACTTGCTACCTAATACTCTATCACCCCATTCCACAAAATCTCTATTTCCTAGCAATGGTTGACCCATAGTTACCAATGTGATTTTATCATAGCCCAAATCCACATAATAAAGACCAAGGAGATACGCAACACTACCACCCAACGAATGGCCAAGGATAAGTAATTCGTAATCCTCTTCCTCTTCATTGGCAGATTGTAATTCCTGGGCTATATATGGATGTATCAATGATAATGTTCTTGAATAATAATCATAAAATCCTCTGTGTACTTTGCAATTATGCCCACATAGTGGAACTTTGACACCATTATTAGTATAAGGGATCATATCTAGTTTCAAATCTGCCATAGTATCAAAAATCGAACGAGTTCCTCGCAAGGATACAATAATAGTTTTCTTTGATCTGTCTATAGTCTGATTATAATTAAAAATATTGGACTTTGTTGTTGCAATATATCCAGTGACAGAATCGTCAAAGTAGAATTGATAAACTAAGGAGACATTGGGGAAACGTTTATCACAGTTTAGATTGCAGTCAAATGGCTCACCGATTCGGTTTATCTCAGATATACAATATGAGATATCTATTAGATGTGCATAGGTGTATAGATTCGAATAGATGTCACTATCAATTGATTTTATAGTCCTTCTTTCGTCAATAAAAATCTGATCGTCATCCAGAACTGGGAAGGAATTAATTAAATCTGAGAATAAGCAAATATGTAAAAGCAATAAGATGAAATTACACCAACGGTCCATAGTCTCAAAAATTACGTGATCCCGTAGATAATGATAGCAATTTTTTTTTTAAAATTCAGAATGAAGTGGAAAATGGTAAGTAGCGATAAACTCCGATCGTTTATTCTCATTTGTGTAATGCTGGTGATAGAGGGGAGAGAATATATAGTCATTGTTTTTCTTTTTTTGTTGGAGGAATACCAACACAGCTGAAAATCTATCCTCAAAAACAACACTCTAAGGTGGCAATATCGAAGTTTCTTGTTCCTTTTAGAGAATGGTATTGTTATTCATTCTTTGGATCTGATAGTATGACTGAGGCCTAATATCATAAACAAGTGGAACTATTAATTCGTTGTTATTGGAACGTATAGTCCCCCCCAGATTAACGAAGAGATATTAAAATCAATTCATGTTCATTAGTCATTTATAGTATATACCAATCATAACAGTATCATTACTGTATATATTTTCATGGTCAGATTCACAGAACTCAGGAAAGTATTGAAAGCACTATATAAATGATATTAGCAACAAAAATTCGGAAATGCTTCCACAAAAGAGAGAGAGAGAAAAAGAGAGAGAGAAAAAAACAGTAACACTGGTATTCTGAAATGGATCCAGAAAAATTATCACCCTGAAAAATATAACCACAATAAACCAACTTAGCCTTCGTTTTTCCAATGTGCTTTTAGTTGATCATGTTTAAAGCACTTTTAGCGTTATTGTCTTTATGCCTTATATGTTGGGTCATACAGTTATTGCCAGTGATATCAGTTCCCTTGACTTCCCCAAGTGTTAATATTCATCTATCTCAGTATGGTAGTTACAAATTTGGAGTGTTTGGAATATGCAATGTACTTCAGCATGTTTGTTCAGATCCGAAGATAGGATACCCGGCAACCAATAGTAGTTTTTATTCAAATCTTGATGATCCAACTTTTGGAGATGGGGGAGTTGTGTTACCTTCTGATGTAAGATATACCATATCTAAACTTTTAGTAGTTCATGTTGTGGCTTTTTGTTTTTCATCATTATTACTAATTGTTACATTTGTACTATGTACTGTACTTTTAATCAAGGACGTTCAGTTTAAAGAACAGCTGCAAAAGATTCAACTTGACGATAATCAAAATTCCAATGTCGAAGAAGAGTATAATTCGAGTAATGAAGATCAGCCGGATTCAGGTTCAAAGAAATCACAATTTGATTTGTCCCCTTACTTGAATGTCATGCTTGTCTTTACGTTATTTTCGGTATTGACTACTTTGTTAGGATTTTTGGCAGATATTTTATTGTTCACGCCTAATTTGTCATACGTTGGATGGCTCCAATTGATTCCTATAGTGCTGATGGCCTTGATAACCTCGATGTTGTGTTTTATCAAACGATCAATTTCTTCTAGGAAATTTTTTGAAAGTGAATATCAATATGTTAATGATGATATGAGAATGATGAGAAAAAATTATGTTGATGAGTTTTGGAATGATAATGCAAGTGACGATGGATTTTTTGTTTACACCGATGGATTTTATACCAGAAACGGAACTAATATTGATCAAACACAAGTAAATACGTCTCAACTACTAGAATCACATGAACAGAATGACAATAGAACTAGTCGAACCCATAATACGTCTATAATAGAAGATTATTCAATGAGCTCAACACCTAGAGCGTCGATTGAACTACAAGATCTAAGACCGTCTTTGTGAGACTTTTATTTTATGATTTACAGAATATTTATAGAAATGTACATATATGTATTTACAGTTGGTTTGTTTTTTTGGATTTATCTGCTTGCATTTTGTTGACCAAGTCAATATCTGCTTGGATTCCGAGTTCCGTTAACAACCTTACGAATTGTGCCAGGTGCAACGTGAATTTTGTGGATACCCTTTTCAAAGTCATGAGTAATATGTTTTGATACTTTTCAAGCACTTCTTTGTAGTTATCTTTCATTCTGATCAAGTCAATCAATTTGTTGAATTCGTTAATATTTCTCATTGTTGATAACAAAATTTGTAAAGTCATTTCATTAACACCTCTGTGATAGACAATCAGCTTTAGAAATAGTAATTCTTTCAATTTTGTCTCAGGATCACTGTTTACAAAGTTGAGCAAAAATTCATTTACTGTATCTTCTGAAGGACAAACATTATTCTTCAACAAAATTTGCAATAAAGTTCTTGAAAGTTCCCAATTTTTTGATGACAACAAGTATGCCAATTTATCTAAGGTGTCATGGGGCAATCCCTCCATGATCGTTGGATATGTGTCAAAAATTGAAGTAACAAAGACGTAATTGATTTCACCATGCAATCTATAACTTATATCTGTCAATCTACTCAAGTTATCAATCAAGCCTTGAACCGAGTAGTATTCAATATGCTTGTTCATGAACTCACTAAATCTAGAAACGTCTTCAGCTGTACTTACTTTGCTTAAAACAAAAAGGGAAGCATTATCAATTGTAACCAAGTTGGAGAATTCTGATGGCTGAAGCTTACGCTCTTTTCTTAATTGGGAATTTTTGAAAACTTTGGATTGTTCGAAAAATTGATCAAAATCTCCTTCATATTTTTCATACAACTCTGTGATAGATGATGGTAGTTCAGGCAGCCAGTATTCAAGTGGTGCTATTTCTCTCAACTCTTTGATTCTTTTATTAAACATTTCACTCCAACTGCATAAAATAGTAGCATATTCGAACTTTGTAGGTCTATTAGAACCATCAATTATGAAAGTTGGGTCTCCCAAAAATACTTTGTCTTTTGACAACATAGTCACCAATAAGTCGTTTGAATTCAACTTAAGAACAATATCGTTTGCTTGTTTTGGGGAAACTACTTCATGAAATTTTTTCTCTAAATGATCAAAACTTGGTTTAGTTGGGATGGCAGCCTGGTTTTCTTGTGGTGATAATTTTTCTTGTTCAAAGATATGTTTTGAATCGTTGGGGAGGAACAGAAATGAAGGAGCCTGTGACATCAGATATCTTCTAGTCGTTTGAGGCAAAAATCTACATATCCTATTTGCACTCATTGCTAACTTTCCAGTGTGCATCTGTTGAACTGAAAGTTGATTTGAAAGTACTCCAATTCTAAAATAAGAAAAGAAAAAAAAAAATTGTTCGCTTTTTTTTTTCTCCATACAGTGTTTCTACTGTTTGTTTGTACCGAGTTCAAAGAAATTATTAAGACTAGTAGGACAAATTTATTTCATAAGAAGGGAAATTAATTGATCATAGTAAATGGACTCAAAATGTTCACACCAGTGGAAATAATACTTTCAAATAAGCTGCCCTTCTTCTGTTCATATCATATATCAAACATTTTTAGTATGAACAAATAGAGGTCACGAAATATGAACATTTTTTGTACACTGGTATCAAAAATATTGACTGCTTTAATATCATCTTCTCTTTGCAAATAGTGCGATATAAAACTGGAACGACTGGACACATTTTATTTTTCAATCAGATATTGGAAATCAACTATTTGTGTTAGATCAGACGGTATTAACATGAGATACACATCAACTTTTATGATTTTGAGCAGGAAATAGGTCCTTGTCTCAGACATGCACATTTTAAGTGAAAGACGTTTTTTTCCCCGTTCTGTACTTGTTTCGTATGTTTTCAGATTCGTATTTGTTTCCAAGTTGTTTCAAATTGAATTTTGTCAAACGGACTATATTAATCAATAGGAATCCACATCCATGTGTCGACCTAATTAAGATGGTGCAGAACTATTATTTGTACCTATCAGCATGATAAGACTGATTTATATGTTTGTGTGTTTTGGAATGGTACTAGGTCAAGATCTAGATGTAATGAATGGTTATAATTTTGATGTAATGAAAAACTGGCGAAATGATTGTTCTAAGATGGCCATTCAAGAACTAATCCCCCAATGTTACGATGGTATTGAGTCAATTTCTCCTGAGCAACAGAAGAATTTAGCTGTCGAATTATCTATTTGTGAGTTTGAGAATGCTAATATTCGCTATCCAATAGTTTGTAAAGAACGGAAGATTGACGACTGTATAAAATCCTTGGAAAAATCACCTCAATTTTGGACTACATTTAGTGGCTACTATCGTGAGGTTAAGACAATATGTCATGAGCTTAGTTTACCATTTGAAAAAGATCAAATACTAGTGGTTTATGAGAATATAACAGAACTTTATAAGCAGTTAATTCAGGACTTGAAATCATCCAGCAAGCAATCTGAACAAGCCCAAAACATATTAAAAACGAAATTCGAAAAGTTGATCAAGATAGTAGACTCAATAATAATAGATCGAGACAAACAAAGAGATAATTTAAATCACACATTTGTCATGTTTCAGGAAAATTTCGAGAGCTCATTGAATAATGCAGTAGCTGTGCTACAGCAATCATATAATGGAGCAAATACTAATATCAAAGAAATGGAACAGCATTTGAATTACTTTGCACAAGATATTCTTCAAGTTCATTCTTTTATAAGAGACAGAATCGATGATCTTCAGTTACAACAAGATAAAATACAAGACAATAACGATCAAATATACATGAAAACAGAGAATACACTAGGAAAACTCGAAACCATAAATAAGAACATCGATGAGATGAATGAATTGAATAAAAATATTGCAAAAGGAATGCAGAATCATTTAGAGTATTCGGAATTTTCTGTTTTGCAGCTAAACCACCATATTCAACAAAGTATTAACGATATAGAACTACAAAGAAAATATATTACCTTACAAGGTCCTGTAATTCTTGAAAAGATTGCTGAAGTATTTGTGCAACAGTTAAATCATTCAGCAACAGATATAGTTGAGTCTTTGGGATATGCTATGAATACTACGTTAGAAAAAATTAATAATAAAATGAAAGAGACGGAAGTATCGCTCGATAATATTAATACAAAAGCTCAAAAGTTTGCAAGCTTAATTGAATCTGTAACGGGATATTTGGTCAACTTTGCTAATGTTCCTAAAATGTTCAAAACTATGGCTTCAAATACTATGAAAAAAGTAAGCTTTTTAAAAGACCTGATTACCAGCGTTCTATTTGTCTTTTTTTTAATTATCGTGATGTCATTTTTCAAGCTGTCAGGCTTTCTTCCATGGAAAATATGTTCCCGATTGTGTTCGGAATTTGTATTCATCCTTGCACCAGCGTTTATTGGAATTATATTTGCTGCAGTAATCTTAGTCACATTGAAATATGACAAATATGAGGATAGTGGTGAATAGTTGATCGTAACAATAATCTTGTAATTGGGTAAGGAGTTTTTACAATGTTAGTAGTTACAAAATTTGCTTTGTATTCCTAGGCTTTTCCATAATGTCACGTTTTTTTCTATATATCTATTGAACTCATTGGGTTATGGTTTTACGGATTGATTTTTAAATTTATATTGCTCTGTTACATTATGTTTTTCTTCTATATATGGTCCATTGAGATCTGTTCCAGACATAACTCTCTCTAGTTCTGTTCACCTACCAAATGATTGCAACAGAAACACTGTCACTGCCACAGAAGCTAACTTATCACAAACCACGAATGGAACGATATTACAATATGTCATAGTAACTGTTTATGTTTCAATCAACCATTAGATGGGAGTGTAGGACATATTATATACTTTTCTCTTTACTTCTCTTAGATTTGACCAGGAGAATAAAAATAGGGCTAACAACAAATAATGTTTTAAACTTGTGTAACTATTCATGGAGTAAAAGAGGAATCTAAAAATATACAATGTTATCAGATCGATACGTAGTTAATGTAGCTGACACAAGGATTACTGTTGCTGTAACCCCAATGTATTAGTTGAGCTGTTGACTGACAGTAGCCAATTCAGAACTAAAGAAAAATATTCATTAGGGAAGGGGGACTTGAATCCAGAACTAAAGTTTATGTTTATTAGGTTTGGATACATTTATAGAAATTAAATTTGCAATTATAATACCTGTATGATTATAAATTGAGGATTTCAACATCTATCCAATAAAAAAAAATTTCATATTCTGCCTTTGGTTTGTTGGCAGAAGCAGCAATTCTTCCTGTTTTCATAATGGATTTCCTTTCTTGATCAAATACGTCATTCGCACACTCCGAAGTATATGCCATTGTTGCATGTACCCGATGAGTACATTCACATTTACTTCTAAATTTTGTGGCAGCAAATCTGTAAAATAGTTCTAGCTCTTTTGTTAGCACATCATAAACACGGATTTCTGTGGAAGACCAAGTCCAGAAAATAGTCACAAACTCTTGATATTCAAACTTTGAAATTACTATAAATTGAAGTTTCAGAATTCGTTTACCAACACCAGCCTTCAATCGACGATATATTTCCCTGGTATGTTGTGGTCCACCATATATCATGAACTTCTCAGGTTGTACCTCAGCTTGAACTTCCTGTTTCCCTTTGTAGTTAGAAAACATGAACCATTTCCAAACATCGAGGTCATGGTTCAATTCAACAACCGTTCTAAAAATATTATGTATAAACAATCTCCAACACTCGATACGGGGGTTAATACCAGGCGTTGTAGTTATTGGTAGATCCTGTTCACAGATCGTTTTTTCATCACCGACAAAACTGAATTCTGAGCCCGAGTCTTCCTTTCTGTCAAGTGCTTCTTTAGCACCGCTGGTCATTTTGATAGTTGTCACGAGTGATAATGGTGCGATTAATGATTACTAAAATAAAGCGTGTGCTTCATGCTATTTTTATATGAACTGGTTTTTTTCTTTATAGTTTCCTTATGGTAGCAACGTTTCCTAAAAAGATAGATATGCAATTCATCGGTTGGCTCGCAACACTGATGCTCCTAAAATAGTTTGCGGTTATTCTTTCCATTTTATTGCATCAGGTAGACAATCCCCACGGCTTTTGGTGTAGCATGTTGAATGTTGTGCTTGTCTTGACATGTTCCATTATTGGAAGTGTAAGTTTCGCATCTCTAAAGTTGACACAAACAAGATTTAGGCAATGCGGTTGGCTGCGTGCGCTCTCGAAGTCACCAGCAACAACAAAAACCAAGAATGTGATTATATTGCACAAGGAAACTATAATGAAAGCAAGTTATATATATATATATCAAACAATATGATGTATTGAACACATCTATCCAAAAGGTAACAATTTTTCTTGTTTGTCTACACTGTAAGAAATCATGCATTTTGCTAGCAAACTAACCAAGCTAAAAACCAGTTTATTATCAACAACACCAGTCATTACGAGTTCTTTAAAGGTTAATGAAGTAGCTCAACGTATGAATTCAGCGCACCTCATTATACTTGTTGTGCAGACTGTCTTGGAAATCAATACTGACATGGACGTATGGAGATGGTTCAAATGTCGTGATTATCAACAAGGGAAATTGGGGGTAGAAGCGGTGGTAATTGGTCAAAAGTTAAAGTTGCTTGGTGGCCCCAAACATGTTTCTGTCATCTATGAAGCACTCAAAGCAAGCATGGGATCGGGTATCCAGGACCTTGAGTTTTTAGTTGTCTTGGATGTTTGGGATTGTGGGTTGGTGTTTTCATTTTGGAAAATTGATGGAGGTATGCTCCGGGTGTACTCTCATTATAAGACAAAAAAAGATATATTCTATGCTCACGCCGGCAATGGTTTCAACACCCCATATGCAAACTCGGGGATATATTACATTAATTGGAAACGAAGCGAGTCTGTCCCTGGAAGTGAAAAGGAAGAGCATCAATCTAAATATGAAGTATCTGTAAGTTTTGAGCTGTTGGATACATGGACGTTACCACCAAAAGAACGACCAAAGAAGAAGTATATTTGGCAAGCGGTGAGCTATGGCTCTCATTATTTTGGTAGGCTCAATACTGGTTACTATTGTGAGAATAATCCATAGTGAAGTTGTTTATGATAGCAGTGCTTTTTAAGTTTAATGTACTTATTTTACGTGGGAGATTTCAGAGTCGCAAAAGAGTGCGTAGACCTGTCCGTTAATAATTGAAATGAAGTTTGGGGGAATTTGTTTAGCAAAATCAGATATGCACATAAAATGATTAAAGCATCTGTGGAATCTATACAAGTAAGATGTTACCAGAGACTATAGGAACAGGTTGATTCAGGGGGTGAGATATGAATCAATGTGCCGAAAGTTTTGTTAACGTAAGAGGGGAACCATCAACTACTTTGTCTCGCCGCTACAATTGACTCTTTGGGTTGCTGTCATAAAGTAACGTAACTCGTCGCGAATATGACCAAATTACACTACCGAGATTCCTCTCGAATAATGTTTAATACAAACAAATCTTGGAACTGTTAATATCTATCCAAAACCAAATACCAGCAAACATAAGCAATTACAATGCCTTCCAAACACTTCTCCTAAATGTAGAAGTGAAGCATCAGAGTCCGATTGTATACTAAATACAAATCACAGTTCGGAGTGTCTCACTTAGAACAAATATTTTAGAGTAAATATTATGTAGAGAATACTTCTTGTAAATAATAACATATAATCACTTAAAACATCTTATAACACTTCATAAACAAAATATAAAAACTATAAAGATTGGCCTTCAATCGAGGCCTATTTATAATGAGCTATGACTCATTATTCAAAGATAGTAAAGCTTCAATTAGAATGACTCATTCTAGTTCATTCCTTTCAGTCATTCGCACTTTTACACTTTTTGTAAAAATGTGATGACAGTTGCAAAACTACAAAAAAAAAAGAAAAAAAAATAAGAAAGCATAACAGACGAGCATTTTTTGAAATGTGTCTAGACAGCCAATTTAAATTTTGGATTATAAAAGTTCTGTTATTTTTTTAAGTTTTATTTCTTTTACAACATACAACACTAATAACAAAAATCATGATCAAAGAAGAAATCGATGATTCAAAGAGTTCATGGAACAGCTCCGCTTCACACTCAGAAATGAGTAGTTCTGATCAATTGGCCGCCAATACCAATGAAGCCACTAGCACTGCCCCAGCTAGCCAAACAGCAATTGATAAGGATAAAGATAGAATTATATTGGATATCCCCGAGTTATTGTTATTCGCTGTAGTGAAAATAGTTGAAGCATTCTCAGAAGACGAAAAGGTTAAATCAATTACTCGAAAAGTATGTTATCCTATGATGTTAGTTGTTGCTGTTGCTTGCTTTATTTATAAGATTATACATATATACAGATCATTATAATCATTGTATATGGCTTATAATTTGCTACTTAATATAAATTTGAAAGTATTGCTAGATCTGATTCTTAGAGGCAGTCAAGGCTGTAATTAATTAGTTTTGTATTGTTTTGTAATATATATATAGATCGCACGTAATTTGACTAACCATCGTTGACATTGACTTTGACTTGACCCATAACATGTGGGGCAATTTCTTGCAACCAAGTTAATTCAACCGCAGACACATTACGAGCATAACCTTTTGTGGTGAACACATATTCTATATACATAATTGCATCTATGTTTGGCTTTCCAAAAAGAGTCGATGATGGGTGTATGCTTATCAATTGCCCAGTATTGAATGTTCTAAAAGATCTATCTGGCATTCCAACTGCAGTATTGGTAATATAACCCTTTAAGAACGATTTCAAAATCGATGGAACATCCAAGGTTTTTCTATCATCCTCATCATCTTCTAACTGAGCTTTGAGTTTTATTAATTGCTTCTCCTTTTGGGCATTTGTTAAGGTATCATCTTGTTTAATTGTAGTCAACATATACTCTTGTAATTGACGCTTTATTTTTTCAACATTTTTGAATCCCTTGTAGCTGAAAACCATATCTTTACACCATTCTTTTCCTTGGGATTGATAAACTTGGAAAAACTCGTAAAGGGCAATCAAATCTCCATATGTATTACCCAATGGACAATGCTGTCTTCTCTTGAAATTTATTTCATCTCTTGATTCACCTGTAACATTCAAAATTAAGTTATCAACTGATAGACATGACACAATATCGATAACAGATGATAAAACTCCAAATTCTGCGGCAGTTACCAACACGACAGAAAGTTGGGGTGGAAGTGGCAAAACTGACATCTTGTAGCCCAAAGCTGTGACTTCTCCTGAATCATTCAATGCACCCAATGTGTATAAAGAATTTAAGGCACTCAATATTGCATCTTGTCCAGGATATTCTAGCCATGACCAGTTAAGCAAATCGTCTACACCCAATTTCTTCAAAGTTAACACTGGTAAAATAATATCATTTCTCTTGATCTCCGATTCCTGTTGCTTTGGTAGTGTATTGAACATTGACTCCGAGTACAATCGAAATACTTTACCTTCAGACTCTCTACCGGCTCTACCAGCTCTTTGTCTAGCAGACGCTTGTGAAATGGGTGTAGTTAATAAAGTAGAGAGCCCCAAGTTATGTTTCCAAACCTTGATTTTACGTAATCCAGAATCGATAACGTACTTGACACCAGAGACAGTGATAGATGTTTCAGCAATGTTGGTTGCAAGAATGACCTTTCTTCTACCTTTTGGTACTTTTTCGAATATTTTAGATTGTTGACCTGGAGATAATGCAGCATATAATGGTAATGGTACAATCAAAGGTGCTTCTCTTGGTAACTGAGGTGCCAATTGTTCTAAGCTTTTTACACAATTATCAATTTCTTCTTGACCTGGTAAAAAACAAAGAATATCACCTTCTTGCTCATTAAGGTTAATTTGAATGATACTTCTTATCATCGTATCCACTATATCCTCGGAATCTGATTCTAAATAGAACTGTGAAACAGGATACATTTTACCTTCAATGTAAAGAATAGGAGCATTTTCAAAAAATCTGCTGAACAATTCAGCATTTAATGTAGCACTCATGACTACAATTTTCAAACCATTTCTTTTCCCTGAAGTGATTAACTCTTTTAAAAACCCCATAATTAAATCAGTCAAAATAGTTCTTTCATGTGCTTCATCTAATATAATGGTTGAATATTTTGTCAATTGTGGATCCATCATAAGTTCTCGAAGAAGCATACCATCTGTTAAATACTTCAATTTCGTAAACTTGTTACTCATGTTTGTAAATCTAACTTGATAACCAACATCTTGTCCTAATCTACACCCATGTTCTTCACTGACTCTCGCTGCCAATGAAGCTGCTGCCACTCTTCTTGGTTGTGTTACTGCAATCATACCTTTATTTTCTTGCATTAGGAATTGAGGAATTTGTGTGGATTTACCAGAACCAGTTTCACCAATTACAATAGTAACTTGATTGTTATTTATATATTCCACAATCTTTTCACGATGATGATAAATGGGTAATTGTTGTCTAACTTCAAGTAATTGTTTTGCAGTGTCTGCAAGTTGAGCTGAGCTTCTTTTAAAATTAAATGTACTATTTTCATATTCATCATCATCATCATCATCATCAGGATCATTGTACACCACCGTTTTTCTGTTCTTATTTTTATCAATTTTATTTCCTCGTTGATTAGGGGTAACCATTTCAGTGATTTCTAGATCGTTGTCTTCATGACCATCATTCATTTCTACCTGAACTTGTTGTTCTTCTTGTTTTGTGATATCTTCTCCAATGTCCTCATCCTCAACATCAGGGGAAATAGGAACTTGAGTAATCTCTTCAACTACTTCACCTTGATCTTCCATGATAGTTCCATTCTCCTTCTCCCCGTCATCGTTAAATTTGAATTTTTTATTCTGTCTGTGTACATTATCTTCAATGAGTTCTTGCTCGATGATAGGCTCTTCTATTTGTGAGTTATCTTTATTTTTACTCTTATTTCTCTTTCTCTTTCTTTTCTTCCCACCATTCTGTTGGTTATGTCCATCAGCTTTAACTTGGTCTGTCATTTAAGAGATGAAGTTGACTTGTACCTTATATTTTGCAATTCCGAAAAAGAAATGAAAAAAAAAAAATTAAAAAATCAATGAACCCACAATGAGATGATGTCTGTTGCCGCGTGCGAACTTCCATTTCTTCCCACCAGGAATCGACGAAGGACGAACAAGACAAAACAAGAGAAAGGAAAAAAAAAAAATTAACGAAAAGGAACCAAGGACACACACAACTCATTGACATTCTTCCATTCACCATTTGACGATACAATGTTGAGGACTTATAAAAGAACTATCCCATTACTTCGATTGGCTCGTTTCAATTCCACTGTTGTTAGAGATCCAGTCACTATCATTCCTACAGTTTATGAGTTGACTCAAGATAAAGATGTCACCCCAGAAACCAGTTCAGATACTTCATTATTGGAATATTTACAAAGTCGTCATTTAGTTGAATCAATAACTGATGATAATTTATACAAATTGACTAAGCGTGATTCTGGACAGAAATTCAAATTATACTGTGGTGCTGATCCTACAGCCGAATCACTACATTTGGGTAATTTATTACCATTAATGGTTTTATTACATTTTAGAATGAGAGGAAATGATGTTGTCGGATTAGTTGGTGGAGCTACTGGATTAGTTGGTGATCCAAGTGGTAGAAAAACAGAAAGAAACCCTCTTGGTGGAGAACAAGTTGATGATAATGTTAGTAAGATTCAAAATCAAATTTCAACATTTTTAAGTAATGGGATTGAGTATGCCAAATCGAGACAATTCCCAATGACTGATTCAATTGGTGAAACGACTTCAGTAAATAATGCTTCATGGTGGGCTGATGTTAAAATGTTGGAGTTTTTAGCAACTTATGGTAGACACATTAGAGTAAGTGCCATGCTTGCACGTGATTCGATTCTGTCTAGATTGGAACTGGGTGGTATTGGATTTAACGAATTTACTTATCAAATTTTACAAGCTTATGATTTCTGGCATTTGTACAAAGATCATAATGTGAATATGCAAGTAGGCGGGAATGATCAATGGGGGAATATAACTGCTGGTGTTGATTTAATTTCAAGAATTAAGAAATCTTTCGGTAAGGATAAGGAAGCATATGGTGTTACTGTTCCGTTGTTAACCACCGCTTCTGGTGAGAAATTTGGAAAATCTGCAGGTAATGCTGTTTTTATTGATTCTAAATTAACTACACCATATCAAATGTATCAATATTTTATTAACGTTCCAGATGATATTGTTGGAACTTTGTTGAAGGTGTTCACTTTGTTGCCATTGAATGTTATTGAAGGTGAATTGTTGCCAAAACATAATAGTGATCCAGGTTTGCGTATTGCTCAACGTGTTTTGGCCCGTGAAGTTGTTGATTTGATACATGGAGTTGGCGTTGGTGATGAAATGGCTTATATCACAGGGTTCTTATTCCCAACCCCAGATCAACCATTTAATGATAATGTCAGTGCTGATAAATTGATTGAAAATTTCAAGAGATCAGGTATTTTATTTGAAAGAACGAAACCAGCTCCAGAAGAAGAAATCAAGTTGAGTTCAATTTTAGCTGAAATCACTGGTAAATCAAAGAGTGAAATGAGAAGATTGATTAAAGCTGGCGGTGTCTATATGGGATTAGACAGAAACCAAATTGAAGATCCAGATGATGTGATTTTGTTTGATGTTGATCATCACTTGATTGATGGCAAACTTTTATTGGTTAGAGTTGGAAAACAAAATTACTATGTCGTTGAATTTAAATAATCATTACAACAGAAACCGTGTATATAGACCCATTTTACTTATTCTGCTTATAGTATCTTACAATTCAAATGTTTGATCTTGGTTAAAAAATTATTATTTATTAATGATATTATTCAAATAGTTATTACACACGAACTTAAGCGATTAAATTCCAAAATTTCTCCCAGAGATTCTTTGGTGGTGGTTCGTCAAATTCTGCATCGTTGATATCTCTGACACCAGTGTCAATATCACATTCATCTAATGGAATCAAAAGATTGTTCCATTTGAATGCATCTTTACTGAAACCAAAGAAATAGAAATGGAATCCAATCCAAGCAATAACAAACAAGATAACTGAGATATAAGAAGTAAAGAAATCACTAGCATTGAAATCAAAAAAGACGGCAAAACCTTGAACTAACACAATTGTGAAAACAAAAACAACAGCATAGTAGGCACTATATGGCATGAAAAATGCTTTATATGGTAAAGTATCTCTAGAAATACCACGAAGCTTAAGTGCTTTCATAAATCTAATGTGACTGACAGAAATGAAACCCCAAGCAATTAAACCTGCAGTACCAATGATATTTAAGAGCCAAGTGAACGCTTTATTACCATCTTCGGAACAGGCCAAATAACCCAAAGCACCAAAAGCTGCAGTGAATAAAACAGCAACAAATGGAACACCAGATCTGGTTTTAAGGAAAATCTTAGGAGCAACACCAGATTCAGCCAAACCATAAAGGATACGAGAACCTGAATAGACATTAGAATTACCGGCAGAAATAATAGTAACAACAATAACAGCATTGAAAATATCTGGCAAAATTTTAGTGCCTGAGTTTTCAATAGCAATGATGAATGGAGAATTTCTAGTAAAACCACCATCTTGAGAAAGTTTTGGATCGTTGTATGGAACAAGAAGACCAATGAAAAGCATACACAAAACATAGAATACCAAAATTCTAAACATGACCTTTTTAATAGCACTTCTAAGAGCTCTTGGTGATGTTTCCCCGGCGGTGACGGCAACTAATTCAGTACCTTGGAAAGTGAAAACTGCATTGATTAAACCACTAACAAATGCCGCCATGTATTTACCATCATTTTCAACAAGAATACCTTCTCCCCATCCATAACCATTTCTCCAGTAACGGAACCCAACAGGTCCTGTTTTACCAGCACCACAAACCATGATGAATGCATAAATGATCCAACCAAAAACAGCCAAGACTTTAATAGATGCAATCCAGAATTCAACTTCACCATAGAATTTGACAGGAAGTAAATTGGAAGCAGTTAACAAGACGAAAAAGATTGAAATCCAAGCTGCTAATGGAACAGCATCAGTCCAGTATTGAATGACTTGTCCAACGACAGACAATTCCAAGGCAAAAGTAATAGCCCATGAAAACCAATAAATCCATCCATTAGCGGCACCACAACTTTTAGATACCCAACGAGTAACGAATTGTGCAAATGAACCTGAGATTGGAATATATGTGGCCATCTCACCAAGGGATTGTGTGACGGAATATGCAAGGGTTGTGACAAATAAGAAAGAAATCAATGCCATAATTGGACCTGTGGTACTAAGTAAAGAACCAGTGGAAACAAATAAACCAGTACCAATAGTACCACCAATGGCAATCATAGAAACTTGTCTAGCCTTTAAATCTCTTTTGACCTTTTCATATTCTCCACTATTCTCACTGATTGTGTCAAAGTTTTGAACAAATGCATTATCTTTATTGCTTTTGATGGTTGATACAGGAAGTATAGAACCTATGTTTGATGCTGATGTACTACTTTCAGAAATATCTTTCTCATAGTCGTAATTATTCATGTTGCCTAAGTTATTTAAACAAGCAAGCAATTATAGAATGAAATTTAATTAATAATAAACAAAACCAAAAAAAGAAAAAAATCCAATCACATTAGAGGATATACTTGGAGATATTTATATATTGAAAAATTGGAGAAAAGATCATTATTTGATTCTCGGGATAATTTCAGATATTGTTTAGGCTTTCGTAGTCACATCGCCTTGATAGAGCAGAAACCTCAAAGATGTCGCAAACTTATACTTTTGCACACATTCATTCTGTGTCATTATTGCGTTGATTTTTTGTTTTTTTATTGCTCTATTCTAAATCTCGTACATTGTATTAATAGTGCCTTTTAATAAACTGGTCGAGAGGTGGAGAACGGCAAGATGTTCACGGCATACCTTAGTATCTAAATTAACTTCAAATTAGGCTATTGTTCTGACACCTGGTGTTGCCGTGATTTCAACTACATACGAAGTCAAACTGAACTAAAAAAGAAAAAAATAATGTGAAAAATTTCCTTGTGCAGAGCGCAAATGCACCCACCCATACAAAGGGTAAAAGAAAAATATTCACACATAGCCGCTCTTTGCCTAAATATTCCGGGGAATCATGAAAACAAAACACCCATTGGCGCTTAATTTACTAAAGATATACCTAATTTAATCTGGATGATAAGATCCAAGGCATTTTAATCCAAGGCAAAAGAGTACGAATTCATTATGGACATCTACTGATGTTAATGGAATGCCATTCCGAACCAAAGGGCATCGGAAAAAAATGCCTTGACACTTTTTCGCCGTTTATGCAAGAGTTCTTCCTTGAAGGTCACTTTAACCACAAAAAGAGAATGCCGTAGACAAGAAAATTTAACCCGAAACGTCTTGTGTTGTCGTCATTAATTGCTTTTAACCATCATGAACCTTACATCGCTCGAGTTCACTTGTCTTTAACGGATGAACCAGATCAATTAATGAATCGAGGGGTCTGTGTGTGTTATCACATTCCTAAATTATAATTCAAAGATTATGCGATAACCATATTCCTAATTTGGTTGCAAAAGAAACCCCCCTAAAAGAACAAAGAAACGGGGAGGATCTAGGAAAAGGATACCCATGATATGCTACTCATCGGATAGTATTACCAATTTCAAATTAGAACATGTTTTGAATTGTATCACAATATAGTAGGTAAAATTTTTTTTTTTTTTCTTTCATTAATTTCTGTCGATGTTGTAGTGTTTATGTCATTTCTACACCCGTGGTCACACAATTTTGAAGCAGATATAACAAAGAAGCTATGGGTCAAAAAGACAAAGTGACCCAAATAGAAACTTACTCTAGAATATATTACGAAACTATCTCTATATATATATATATATAGACTTCATGCTAAATCTACTCCTCGTCATCCAGATCATCATCATCGTTTAAAAACAACCCGATTCTTTTCCTTGGTGCTTCACTTGCTTCCAGCCCTTCAGAATGTTGGGAGCGACTCACTCTTGTTTCCATATTATTTGTAAAACCTTCTTCCTCTTCGTCATCATCTTCATCAATTTCACAATTCATTCTATCATCAATTGTAACTAACCCTACTCTTCTTCTATTAACTTTCTTTTGAGGCTTCCTAAATCTTTTGAAATTCTTTCTTCCAGCATACAATGATTCATTGGCCTCTATCTTGTCTTTTTTCTTTCTTGGGATCAAATCAACCACTTCGACTATAGAAAGGTTTTTTAAATTATCAATATTTTCATCAAGTTCTATAACCTCTTGTTCATTTGATTTCTTCACTTGAATAACTGCTTCGGCTAATGTAACCTTTGGCATGAATTTGGGAATTTTTGTCGGTTTGCTATCTATTGGTTCCTGTTTTCTCTTTTGGCCAATAATGCTGCCATTCTCTTCCAACTGAGTGTCAGTCTGGTACGAATCTACCTTAAGCGTTGGAGCAGTGTCCTCGTTCAGTTGTCGTTCAGCAGTGGCGATCGATTCTTCGATTTGTTCTTTAATATTAACCTCCTCTTGAGAATCCGGTAGGGATCGTCCTTCATCACTGGTGGTAAAATCTTTAGTGTTTGATGTCGAGTCAGAATCAACTGTATTAACGACATCTGGGGTTGCATTCACCTTTTTTTCATTCATGGCGAGTGGCACTTGTTCAGATGGTACAGTTACAGTAGTTGGCTCTGTGTTTGTCAATGAAAAGAAATGCAACCTGTCAACTTTCTCATATTTTCTTCTCTTTCTAGGTTTGGGTTTATCGGGAGATACTGTGACAGATCTTGGAATTGTTTCTTCTTCTATAACCGGTTCAGGAGCTGGACGTTTCAATTGCTTGATCGTATTTCTCGGAAGCCCTTCAAGTGAATTCTTCTTTATATACCCCCACAACTGATTCTTAGTGATGGTTTGTAAGTTGTCAATGGTAACATCACTAACTAATACAAACTCTTTATCCGCGTCTACCTTTTGCTTTAATTCATTTTCTAACTTATGGGAATCAAGAACAATAGTCTCTATCCATTTTATTTCCTCCGTAGATAATAGTTTTATTCCATCCAACAAATTCAGTCGGCACGTAGGTAGTAAGTTTTGATCACCATTGGGAACGAGCTTTGTATAATCGGCATGTAGTAGCCAGTCATCGACTGTTACATCCTTGTCCTTCGACATGATCAATTCTAGCCATTGTGAATTTAAAACGGGTATTCCCTTGATGACTGCCAATTTAAAATTATCAGTATCCTCATCTGTACCATTTGAGTAATAATGTGTTACTTTGTCAAAGTCATGAGCAACTCTAAAATCGATATTACAATCTTGTAATTGTTCAATACTCCGGTCAATTGAATTAGCAAACAAATTAAACTCCACCCATTCAATAATAATAGGAGTATCTGGAAATACTCTTTGTGATTCATCATTTATATTATTAGAGCATTCAATGGATATTTGCTTTTCGTTTGTGAAATCAATCTCCTGTGGTTTATCTGTCTTGCTTTTTAGTTTGTATGTTTTACCATTGATGATAGATTTGGCTCTACTCATTATTCGAAGGATCAATCGTGTTTTATCTCCATTTGAAGGACCTGTAATTATTTCAACTAGATCACGAGATGCTTTTTGTGAATGAAATAAAAAATCAGATCCATCATCACGTCCAACCATATAATTAGTTTCTGGGAATAGGTATCTCAATTCTTGTAAGGTATTGTTAGTATTAATCCATGAAGTAAACTGAAATAATATCAGAGTTTACATACCTCCTTTGGGATCATTCTTGTGATGTACAATCCACATTGTGAATAGCTTTTTTTTTCCTTTATTTAGAACCTTTGAAAAACGTGTATCTATATGTGAAGAATTTTTTTTTAGGTGTTATACTTTTTTTTATTTGTCTGGATCGCGATATGACGATACCGCGTCTCTATCACATTTCCCAGTCCAGTTCACCACTGAGCAGTAAGAAATGTTTAGTCCAATGAATTGATGATAGCTAGTGTGGTTATAAGCAGTGATTTATCATTGAGATTAATTCAACAACGTTTCTTTTGGTTTAGTCATGCTTATTAAACGGTAAGACAAAAAAAGAAAAAGAAACTAAAACGTTTTATAACCGATGGCACGTGACCCATCACACGATGCAAAATATTGAATGTCAATACATAGTAATGGATGGTTTACTCCGTCTCAATGCTCTATCAATATCCATAGATGTCTTTCTCATTACGTTATGAAAGTCATTATTTGCTCCCGTCTACAACTGTATTAAACTTAATAATGTCATTGATTTCGCAAATCTTCACTGTGTACAGCCTGGACAAAATGTGTGAAATTTACGAAAATAAAAAACAGAAACAGAAAAATGAATGGCGAGAAAGAAAAAAAAAAAAATTAGTATCCGACAATTACTTAAACTCTAATATTTCTTGAAATATAAATATCGTTTACCATTCAAGGAATTATATTTTTGTCTTTATTTTTATTTTGTTCATTTGTCGTTTTTTTTTTTTTTCCTGTCGTTATTATTTTATTTCTAATTAATCAATAATCAAAAATGGGTATCAAAAAGATGTTTAAAAAGAAGGAGCCTACCGAGGAGGAGATTCGACAAGAGTTGAACCAAGTTGGTATTTCAACAAAATCCAACAAACAAAGACAAGAGAAATTCGGAGCATTCAAGAATTATGCTCAAGAAAGAGCACAAATGAGACCACAAATGGCTCCAACCAATCCTTATGCAAATATCAACAATACTGGAGGACAAAATCCTTATGCCAATAATAATGGAGGGGAAAGTAATGGTTCACCTTATGGAAATAATGGCTCATCAGTAGGAGCAGGACACGATGGTACTAATCCATATGGAGGAAGATCAAGTAATAAGGTAGGTGGTAGTAGTGCTTCGACTAATCCTTATGAATCCTCCACCTCTAGATCATCTAATCCATATGGTGCCAATACATCAAGACAAAGTCCATATGCATCAAGTCAGGCAGCTCCAAGTCCCTACTCGCGTTCAACATCATCTACATCAACTGGAAATGGCACCAGTGCTAATTCAAGACCATCTGCTTCACCGTATGCTAGTTCATCTAACACATCAAGCAATCCATATGGAGCTGGTAAAAGTTCCGAATCACCAGAACCAACAGGTGGTCAAGGTGGTTACGGTGTTAGCCGTATATCTACTAGACAATCAAATAATGTAAGTCGTACTACTACTAGACAAACACAAGCATACATGGGTGATACAGATTCTGCCCTTGATCTTAATGCAATTCCATCACATCAAATGTTTGACAACAAGAAACCAGTTGTGAGAAATCGACAACCTGTGAATGACTTAAACTTGGATTTGAATGAAGAAATCACTGAATGTGGTGAAGTTGATGATTTAAATTTGGATCTTAGTGAGTTACCAGAAGAAGAACAAGTCAACTCTGAAGATGAAGAAGTTGAGGCAATTAAACAAGACATTAGATTTGTTAAACAAGAATCCGTCCAGAGTACAAGAAACACTCTTAGAATGGCTCAAGAAGCTGATGCATCGGGTACAAATACATTAGGTATGTTGGGATCTCAATCGGAACGATTATATGGTGCTGAACAGAACTTGTTGTTGGCTGAAACCCAAACACAGATTGCAGATGAAAAAGTGAAAGAATTAAGAAGATTGAACCGTTCTATTTTCATGCCATCTACTAATCCATTTAATAAGAAATCCAGATTGCGTCAACAGGAAGAAAGAATCAAGAACCAAAAGGCACAAGAGAAGTACTTGCGTGAATCCAACCGTCAAGAAATGTTCCAAAGTGAACAAAGAATTAAACAAGGTTTGACTAATAATGCCACTGGTAGTGATGTCTATAATAAATATCAAGATGAGAAATATTTGTCTGCTGCACAACGTTACCAATTTGAAAATGATAGTGAAGATGATGAAATTGAAAAGGAGATTGCCCTGAACTTGGATCAAATTGGAAGTTATGCTAAAAAATTACATGGCATTGCTAACACTATGAGTACTGAAGTTGAAAGTCAAAATGAAAGATTGAAAAGAATTGAGGAGAATGCTGATAAGTTGGATATCAATGTTCATATGAACACTACTAGATTGAATAATATTCGTTAGATTTAGCTTACATAATTATAATTTATCTTTTATATTTGCTTCTTGCTATAATTAATTATTTGTGTATGTAGCATCATTGCTTTTTTTTTTTTTTGCAATCACTAACAAACGTTTGCTGAGCAAGTTCGGTGGAAAGGCACTTTAACTCTTTTTTTGCATGATCACGTGCAAATATTTTGCTAGTGACAGCAAAACGAAAATCTATATAAAATAGGAGAAAAATGAGCCAAGAATTATCATGTGCTATTATAATGGAAATACTTTGGCGAGTGTGGTCAATATTATTTGTCAATTTTTTTTTTTTTGATTTTATGTGTGTGTATCGAAAGGGAAAGATAATTGTAGATGCAAGATTGATTATAATTCATAAACAGAGAAAAATATTCGCTACTTAATACAATGATTGTACGGGATTTGAGTATCGACAATTGGGATGAGCTGAAAATGTGGCTTTATATCAAACATGAGGCTACTTGTCCTTGATTACACGGGATTGATTAAGGGGAGGAAGAGAGTGGTGGTTAGAAGGTTAAAACTCCATCTCTCAAACCCCATGGTGACAATGAGTTGATTATGCAGGCCCCCCAAATAAAAACCAAAAAAACCAAAAAAATTGTTCCTGTACTTATCTTTGTGACATCAACTGTTGGTGTTCTTAAATATTGTTTTAATTGTTTTAATCTCTAGGTGGTATATTACATTCAGGATATTTCTTTTTCAAGGCAAAAAAATACAATTGTCTAAGAAATTACTAACCAACGGGATTTGTAGCTGTTGTTCCACAAGGAGAGAGAAAAAGAAAAAACGTCATAAACTCGTACACCTTGTCTATTCTCAACCAATCATGACAATAGATGGGTTGCACGCTGTTCTACTTATTTTGGCATGCTCTATTTATTTTACTCTATATGATGTGTGTTCCCTTGGTTGAGATGTAGCAAAAAAAAAGGATCAATATCACGTTACACCATTTTCTGTAATGCAAGGGATATTAATCTTTAAGAGAACAAAGACCAATCACAGCTCATCGAAAGAATGGATGAAAAATCTACGCCGGTGGAGAGCTACAACTACGACAATTTGAATTTCTTTTTCGCTGATTGGGTTTTGGCTGAAAAAAAAAAAAAAAAAAAAAATTCTAATCTTTCGTCTTCTTCTTCTTCTTCTTCTTCGTCCCAACGCTTGCTCAACAAAAAAAAAATTAGTCGCATTGGATCGTGGTACAAAAAGTAGTTAGAATACTGCTCAAGGGTGAGAAGTGTAATGATTGTTTGATCATATTATTTTTATTATTATTATTGGATATTTATTACCTGAATAACATAAAGATCAAATACTTTTGTCGTCTTTAATTGAATCTTTTTATTTTTCTTTCTTTCTTTTATTTATTTCTAGTTTTAGGGATTATTCACATCACATCATTTTTTTTCTTTTTTTTTTTTTTTTTTTTTTTTTCCCACTTAACAAGTCCACGTCTAGCAGCAGATTTTTTTTTTTTCTCTTTGTAATATTTAATATCAACAGCTTTCTTTTTTTGTTGGATTTTTTTTTTTTGTAGTTTTATTTCTACTCTTTTTCTTTATTGAAAGATATTCATTTGGTAGTTATTTACCGTTGATTTAATATGTCATCTGCTACTACATCTTCATTTTCAACTTCATCTAATGCCAATGGTGAAAAAACCATTAACAAAAAGGGCAATGTTGCAACCTTCCAATCTAATCCATCTACCTATCAAACTAATTTAACTGCAATTGATACTTATGGTAACACTTTCAAAGTTCCTGATTACACTATTAAAGACATCTTGTCAGCTATTCCTTCTCACTGTTATGAACGTAGATTGTTGGAATCCTTATACTATGTTTTCAGAGACATTTTCTGTATGGTTGTTTTAGGATTTATCGCTAACAACTATATCCAATTTTTACCAAACCAATATTTGAGATTTGCTGCCTGGGCAGGTTATATCTGGTGTCAAGGTTTGTTTGGTACTGGTATCTGGGTCTTGGCTCATGAATGTGGTCATCAAGCTTTTAGTGATTACGGATGGGTTAACGATTTGGTTGGCTGGATCTTGCACTCCTACTTGTTGGTTCCATACTTTTCTTGGAAATATTCTCACGGTAAGCATCACAAGGCTACTGGTCATCTTACCAGAGATATGGTTTTTGTTCCAAAGACTAAAGAACAATTTTTGGCCAACAGAGGTGCCGAAGATTTAGATGACTTGTTGGGAGATGCTCCATTATATTCCTTGGGAACTTTGATTTTCCAACAAACTTTTGGTTGGATTTCTTACTTGGTTAGCAATGTCAGTGGTCAAAAATACCCAGGTCAAGGTTTGTTCTCCGTTAATCATTTCAACCCAAACTCTCCAATCTTTGAAAAGAGAGATTACTGGTTCATCTTGTTGTCTGATTTGGGTATTCTTATTCAATTCACTGTCTTGTACACCTGGTACCAAAACTTTGGTTTGTTTAACTTTATGGTTAACTACTTTCTTCCATACCTTTTGGTTAACCACTGGTTAGTTTTCATCACTTATTTACAACATTCTGATCCACAAATGCCACATTACGAAGCTAGTCAATGGACTTTTGCTCGTGGTGCTGCTGCTACTATTGATAGAGAATTTGGATTTGTTGGTAAACACATTTTCCATGATATCATTGAAACTCACGTTTTACATCATTATGTTTCAAGAATTCCATTCTACAATGCTAGAGAAGCTAGTGAATGTATCAAGAAAGTCATGGGTGAACACTACCAACATTCTGATGAAAATATGTGGGTTTCTTTATGGAAATCTGCTAGATGGTGTCAATTTGTTGATGGTGACAATGGTGTCATGATGTACAGAAATATCAATGGTTTCGGTGTTGATCCAAAAAAGAAAACCCATTAATTGATTTATTATTAATTTTTTTTTAGAGAAATAGACTTATTATTTATACAATGAAAAGATTATATATATGTAATAATATGTATAGAATTATTTATATATGATTGACTTTTTATCTATTCAAATCCATTCTAATATTGACCCTGTTTATCATATCATCATCCATGTTTTAGTTCTTTTTCTATATTGGATATAATCATCACCAAAGAAATCTACCAAAAATTTTTCTTCAAATATTATTCTTTCTTTAAAAAATCTCCATAATACAATTCCACCAATAGTCAAACTAATAACATTATTAAGAAACAATTGTAAACCAATGAACCAAATGAAAAATCCAAAATATGAAGGATGTCTAAATATCAGATAAATTCCATGAGTTATTAATTTATGTTTTTCATTTGCATTTCTTTGAATATAATGATTAAATGATTCACTAGCAGTATACATACTTAAACTTCTTATAATTTGACCAAATATAACTAAACTTAATCCAATACTACCATAAAGATATTTCCAATTAAAGAAATAATGTTCTAATAATGATATTATGGTAAATAAATGCATTTCTTTATCTTCTAATATAAATGAATCATCATCAACTTCTGAATTATTGAAAATTACAGTATTTATAAATTCCAAACTATAAAATATTACAAGAAATATTAAATATAAATTGATTTTTGGTTGATTTGTAGTGATAAATAATAATATTATGATATTGGTAGTGAAAATTACTCCAAGAAGAAATGATTTTAGTAAGATTTTTAATAAGTTGACTTTATATGGTTTATATCTTGCAAGATTACCTCGTGATAGTATATTCATGATTGAATTAATGATAAATAAGGAACCCTGTGTGTGTGGGGGTATATAAATGAAAAATTTTCAAAAAAGAATTTAATTCGTATTTATAAAACGAAGAAGAAAGTCTGGAAAAAAAAAATAATGGTGGCAGAATCTGGACCTGTATCGGTCGTTGGTGGCTCGTTCTTTTTTTTTTTTGGTTTATTGATTCCATTTTGTATGTTCTAATATATCAACAGCTGATTCCAAGCTAACTTAGACATGTATGATCCCAAGAATAATAACTTACTTGAGATATTCGGGGTTTGTTTTATATTAGGATCATGTATCACTATTAGTATTACAAGTTTATTTTACATCAGTGATAAATATTTCCCATTGATAGTTTATGGAATTGTTCTCCAGATTTATTTCATTCTAGAATTCACCAATTCATATTTATATCAAACCAACACGGTTACTTCAAAATCATTTTTAATTTATGGTAATAGAGGAAATAAAGAGTTTTGGTTTATGCAACTTTTGACAATTTGGGAATACTTATCAGTGAGATTTATTTTAAAGTTTATACCATTTTCACCAGTGAATTATTTAGGTTTCCCCGGATTGATATTAATTACAACAGGGTTGTTAATTCGTCATTTAGCAATGAAGAAATGTGGCTTATCATTTAGTCATTATCTTGCCAAAACAAAACAAGCACATCATAAACTAGTCACCACTGGAGTCTATAAATATGTTAGACATCCAAGTTACCTTGGGTTCTTCTTGTTTAGTATTGGAATTCAATTATGGTTGTCTAACTACTTAAACCTAATGGTTGATGTGTACATTTTATATCAATTCTTCACAATACGAATCGAACATGAAGAGAAACTCCTAATAGAATTTTATCAAGACGACTACCTAAAGTATCAGCAAATGACATATACATTAATTCCTTTTATAAAATAGACATACAATTTGTTTTTCCTTACAAACTCTTGTTCATAAATCTTCTTTTTGTAAAAGCTAACCAATATTTGCTTGGTTGGTTTTCATCATCTTGATAAATTCGTTTGATCAATCTATCACTCAATTCTTGTCTAAATTGTTGTAAATAACTTCTCAACAAATCAGCCTCAACTCTATCTCTTGGTGGTAAATATAATGAATTCAAAGGAAATCCAATATCACCTGGTAAACTAAAATTATCAAGACTTAAATTAGTTAAAATTCTAACAGCATCTCTTGAATTGGTAGTTTTAGATAATTTGGATAAACAATCACTAACAAATAATATACCATAAATTAATAAACGATCAGCATTTCCTTTAATTTCAAAATTTTTGAAAAATGAATTAGCTCTAAATAAATCTAATGTTTCTTCAATTATATCATATTCTTGTTGAGGTGGATAAACTGGACCTCTAAATTTAGTATGAAATGGTAACAAGGATAAATTTCCAATTGTTCTATTATCTTGAGATTGTTCTTCTGCTAAAAATGTAGAATGATATGCTGGCATCTTTTATATATATATATTTTCAATTTGTATTTAGGTCGTCGATTTGGTTTAATATGTTGGAAATGGTATTAACGGGTTTGAGATTGCGTCTCCTTTTTTTTTTTGCCCAAGTAATTCTCGGTTCGTTGATTGAAAAGCGAAAAAAGAAAAAAGTTTGGTTGACTTGTTTTATTTTTTGATCAAGTTCGCACGAACTTGAAGTATGTCAAGTTACAATCATAGGATTGATAAATGCAAGTATTATTTCAGTCATTTCATTGAAAAGTCATTTGAAAGTATTCACAAGTAAAAGTGTAAAATATACATCTTTTAATAGAATCATAAATCATTCGAGTTGACAAGAGTGGTCACGTTTTGTAAAGTAAATGCAGCAGTTCATAGCAACGACCAAACAGTAAGTTATTTCTACAAATGAAAAGAAGTTTTCGTCTTTTCGTATGTGATGAATCAATTCCGACCGTTTTTTGGAGTTGTAAAAATATACTACTGTTATGGTTCAATTAATTTTTCAAGTCTACCCCAGGATTTCAAATCATGAATAAAAGTATTATCTGTTAGCCACAAGTTGATTGCAAATGCAATACTATAAAATCAAGTGAATATTAATGATATTTCGGTACTTGGGTGTGTCTTTACTTTAAATACAATTTTAGTTGTCTTGTTTAGAAAGTAATTTCATGTTTGAATATGGCATTAACCTCTTGTTTGTTTATTAATTATTATTATTTTTTCAGTTTGAATTCTTGCGAAATCGTGATGAAATTTGAAAGAGTAATATCTATTAGCAATAAATAATACACACTTACAGGTATATTGTCCTTGAAAGGCTAGTTTGACATAACAAGAGCGATAAACTTGTTTGAAACAAATGTTGCCTAGTTTGTATTACTGATTGGATCAGTTGCAACTATAAATACGCAAGTATATTAAAATCATTTGTGGCTCAGAATTAGCCAGAGACAGCAAAAAAAAAAAAAAGTTGCAAAAAAAAAAGGAAGACAAGAAGAGAAAAAGAAAAAAAAAAGACAAAAAAGAATAAATGCAGTCAATTTTCCCGATTCGGAATAAATGTAAACAAACAGGATTGTAATGTCCACACAAACATTTTTTTTTATTTATTTAATTTAAATTGATTTAGTGTGCCATTGATGACGATGGGATGATGATACAGTAGAGTACAGTACAATTAGTGTAGTTGTGAATAGGGTTTAATAAGGAGAATGTTGTTAGAATTAACATTGCATTGGAATTGGCTGTAGTGTACTTTCACCACATTTCTTTGCATTTCATTTCTTTTCATTTGTTTGTTTTAATTTCGTTTCAGTTTCAGTTTTAATTTTTAATTTTTTTTTATATATTTTAGAGTGTCAGTAGATTTCATTCAATTGATTTATATCCATAATAATAATAAAAAAACCATCAATTTTCATCAAAGTAATAAAGAACAGAAAAATATTTTTGACAACTCGTTTTCTTTTATTAACATATTTTTCTTCTTTACTTTTGCAGTCCTATCAATCAGACAATCCCATCTTTCATCAGAGCTTATCGTTCTACTTTTGTTCTTCGTACTACTAAATTCATTCCAGAGTGAATATCCATCCCTTGTTTAACGAAGCAGATCAAAATTAATATTCAAGACAAAGAAAAAAAAGAATAGACAATCCACCCCCAAAAAAAAGAGAGTTTTTTTATTTTTCCCGCCAACTATACAACTCTACATTCTACTCATCCATTCATCCCCTTGACGATTTGATTAGGTTTATATTTATTCTTTATTATCTTGTCTTTTTTGTTAACATTCATTGTTATTGGTAGAAACCATGTCATTAGTATCACCAAACAGCAAGCCAACGCTATTTAAGAACAATCTCTTTGTTCGAAGTGATACTTCAGATATCCCAAAGAAAAAGAGTCCTTCAAGACCAGTATCAAACACATCAGGAATGCTGTCATCCATCGCCAATAATATATCTCCTTCTAAAAGACAATATCTTCAATCAATGAGTCCAAATGTATCCAACAGAACTATACATCTTCCAAACGATACTCCTTTAAAACCTTCCAATAAGAAATTCGTCGCTGCTTCAACAAACACAAGTAAACCAGAATCAAAATTCCAAAGACCTACATTGCCTCCGACATTAAGACCTTCTTTAAACATCAGATCAAAAACCTCACTTGCATTACCTTCATCTGCAACATCGTCATCATCGAGTTCTCAATCAAATCCATTTAAATTACGTAGAACAAATTCACTTATAAGTCAAGGTGGTTCAACTTCATCATCAGACTTGCAACATCAATCAGCCACTACTTCATCCGACAGATTCATTCCTTCAAGATACAATTCGATCACTGGGAAGTTAGAAACATCTACTAATCTTCCATTGCCTAATGCTTCTCCACAAACTCACATTAAAGCACAAACTTCTAAAATTTATCAACATCATGTGGCGGAAGCTTGTGGACTAGAAGTCAATTCAAGAATATTGTTGTATCAACCATTGCCTCCAGAAAGAAAGAAACCAGTTAGCTTGGTTAGACTGTTATCAAGTCAATCATCCATTTCTAAATCCAAACTATTATCCAAATCTTCATTAACCCCCTCTGCTGCATCAGCTAGAGCAAATAAGATTCCAAATGCACCTGAAAGAGTACTTGATGCTCCAGGTTTGGTGGATGATTTCTATTTAAATTTGTTGGCATGGTCTCTGTCCAATTTATTGGCTATTGGTTTAGAAGATGCTGTTTATGTATGGAACGCATCTACAGGGTCAGTAGGACTTCTTTGTGAACTACCGGAAAAGACATTAGTTACATCTTTAAAATGGTCACAAGACGGTTCTTATATCTCTATTGGTAAAGAAGATGGGATGATTGAAATTTGGGATATTGAAACAAACACCAAATTAAGAACGTTGAATTGTAATAATCACTTGACAAGAATTGCGCTGCAGGACTGGAACCAACATGTGTTAACCAGTGGATCCAGACTCGGACATATCTACCATTCAGATGTGAGAATAGCTAACCATTTGGTTAGTCAACTACAAGATGCTCATACTGCCGAAGTTTGTGGTATTGAATACAGATCCGATGGTTCTCAATTGGCAACTGGTGGTAATGACAATCTTGTATGCATATGGGACGCTAGATCTACGTCTAATGCTCCACTTTATAGTAAATCAAGCCACAAAGCCGCTGTTAAAGCCTTATCATGGTGTCCATACCAATCTTCATTATTGGCAACTGGCGGAGGTTCAACCGATAAAACAATTAATTTCTGGAACACCACCACCGGTGCAAGAGTAAACACCATAGAAACAGGTTCACAAATTTCTTCTTTAAACTGGGGTTATGCAAATGGTACTGGTATGGAAATTGTTGCCACCCATGGTTTCCCAACTAATAGTATTTCATTGTTTAATTATCCAACCTTACAGAAAACTGGCGAAATAACCAATGCTCATGATTCCAGAATCTTGAATGGATGCTTATCTCCGGATAATCTCACATTAGCCACCGTTGCTGGTGATGAAAATTTAAAGTTCTGGTCCTTATTTGATTTGTATAAGAACAACAAGAGAGATTATGATGAGAAGTTGGGTGATAGTGACGAAAGTCAAGACGCTAAAAGAATCAAAAAGATGATGAATCTTCGTTAGATATACATATCTTAAAAAGAAAAAAACACTCTCATGATTACGAAACCCCCTTTTCTTTGTTTAATCTTCATTATATAGTTTCATGTCTTGAACAAGACCATTAATAATATATTCTCTCCTTGAATAAAACAAATATCGTAGATAAAAAAGACCAATTCATAACAAAAATAAAACATATATTAATTAAAACTAACCAAATGAACTATCAATTATTTCAATAATTCATCAATCTTGTGACCAATAGCTTCTGGGCTAGTCAAAGAACTATATCTTTCAACAACTTTACCATTTTTATCAATCAAGAATTTTTCAAAATTCCATTTAATTCTAGTCAATCCCAACATTCCACTTTTTTGAGATTTCAAATATTTATAAACAGGATCAGTATCATCACCATTAACATTGATTTTATCTAAAACTGGGAAACTAACACCATAATTTAATGAACAAAAACTAGCAATTTCTTCATTTGTACCTGGTTCTTGATGTCCAAATTGATTACATGGGAAACCTAAAATTTGAACATCTTTATCTTTATATTTTTGATTCAATTCTTCTAAACCTTTATATTGTGGAGTGAAACCACATTTACTTGCAACATTAACAATTAAAACAACTTTACCTTTTAATTGTTCAAATGGATATGGTTCACCTTTGGAATCTTTTGGTGCTAATTTATAAAATTCTGACATTATAATATGAGGAGCAATTGAATAAGTAGGGGGTGATATAGACTGAAGAAAAAGAAAGGAAACGAGAAAAATGGCAAATTATGAGAAGGAGAAATAATGGGCTTATTTATATTCTGAGATTAATCGCGGAGGGATAACAGAGAGTGAAAGATGAATTTTTTTTTTTTTTTTTCTTATTGTTTACACATTCGAGGAAAACCGAGGTGATATCGTACAGACAAAGGGTAGAGTAAGATTAGTAATGAATCAGCTTTATCTTCGTACATTTCTGGTCCCTTTTTCAATACAGATTACACAATTGAGTCAATATCAGACAAGTAATGAAAAGGAATACTTGAAGTATTTGTTACTAATTGTTCACATGGGTCTAGCCCATCGTCGGAGTTAATGCCTATTTTCTTTTGTTCATGTGCGCGAGTTTATAACAAAGTTACAAAATTAAAAAAACCCGAAATTACAATTATGCCGTACATTGTGGGTTTGATTTGTGATTTCAGATATAAAAAAAAAACGGTTCATTCTCCATTAACAATTATGGCAACACATACCATAACCAAGATAGTGTCGTTAAATTCTTGGACATTGTGACGTGTACATATTTGCTGGTTTACATGATAACGTATTTACTGACCTTTCTGGATCTCAAAAGAAGAAAATATTTGGCTAGTTTTAATTGTGGCTATGCTAGATATTGTTAGTGTCCTGCAGTATATACAAGAAGTAAGCAACGATATACCTACCGTACTGGTGTTTTATCACACCCGGAAGCCCTCAATGCAAATATATGATCTAATTATTTTGATACGTTCGTACTGGCAAACCTGCCGTCTTCAATATCATTTCATCGATTTATTAACTCACACACGACTCTGAGGGACAGAAGTTTCGTGGCGCTAAAGTTGAAAATCATAATTATTTTTTTTTTATTTTTCTTCTTTCTTCTTTCTTCGTGTTCCTTGAATTCTAACCAAACGATATCATTCTTTCTATATATTCCAAATCATGAAGAGAAACCCAACAAATACACTAATAGTTACAAATATTCCAAATCTGTTATATGATGATCCTCAACCATTAGTTAAATATCTTACTCTGCATCAACAACATGTAATGGAATTAACAGTACTTAATAATTTTAAAAGATTTTTAATTCGATGCGATTCATCAACTACTGCTAGTGAAATTAAACAAATTATTGAAAATTCACCAGATTTTAATGATTTTAACATAACTTATAGTCTAAAAGATAATAAGATAGGACCACAATTTTTAGAAATTCCCAAGGATTTAGAAATGAAAAGATTTTTAATATCTCCCCCGGGATCTCCTCATGCTGAATGGGATAATTGGGATAAAGTTGAAGAAGGTCCTAATGAACAAAATATTCATGATTATTTATGGGAAAAATTGGGTAAGTTGAGTGATGACGAACACGAGGAAGCTGAAGAAGATAACCAACAGAATGAAATAAAAATACAAGTACCAACCATTGTTCTTGATCCTCTGTAAGAGTAAAATCAGATTAAATTAGGTGCTTTTGTTAGTTTTGACAATTGAATCAGTGTTTAATTTCCTACAGTATTAATAAGATGTACACGCCATGTTATGCCATGGTAGGTAGTGCAACACAAAAGGAAAACTATATCACTATAACGCATGTTGGGATATGAATAGGAGTGTGTGATTTATATATAAATAGTGCTAGTTGTTGATAATTCAATTGTATTAACTCTTCAGGTAACTTTATAGACAATAGGTAATTTAAATCATTCATCAAGAGCACACAAGAACAATAGTTTAACATAATTGGCAGATCATTTCTTAAATCAATCAATCTCAATCACAATAATCTCTAATAAATTTATACTAATGACGATCTCGATCACCACCAGCATATCACCAACATCATTTTAGTTTATGATTAATGTGTTGCAAAAAAAATAAAAATCGTCAGCACTTAACGAGACAATATGAAAAATATATATATATAAAAATCGTGCTAATATACACGACTTTGATTTGTTCACAGAAAAAAATGAGAAATACAGAGATGAGATTGAAATTTTTTGACTTTTTCTTAACAACAGCTTCCCTAGTGTATTTCTTTTCCAACACCAAATTCTTTTTTTTTCTTAATTCAATACTCATTATGGCTAGAACCAGATCAAAAACAAATGCTGCTGCATCTCCAGCTAGCTCTAAAGTCACTAAACCAGCTGCTTCCCCAAAAGTTAGCAAGACTAAGGCATCTCCAAAAGTTAAAGCATCTCCAAAGGCCAAACAAACTCCAGAGAAGAAAGAACAAGAATCTAGTATAATCCCAGAAAAGGTGTTAAATAAAGCAATTTCTGAATTGAAGAAATTTAATGAAAGACAACAAGAAGCAAAAGAAAATGATGAAGATAAAAAACTGCAATTATTTGATAATGATCAAGAAGATGAAGAATCATTTTATTTAACTATAGAATCAAAGAAATTTTTCAGTTCTAAACCACAATTCAAACCAAAGAGTATTAGATTGAGTAAATCAATTCATCCTGAATCTACTTCTACTTGTTTAATTATTCGTGATGAATTTATTAAAACTGATGAAATGTTGGAACAATTAGAAAATGAAACCGATTTAAAAATTAATGAATTTGTTCCTTTGAAAATTGTCAAGAATGAATATAAAAATTTTGAAAAAAGACGTGAATTTCATTCCAAATTTGATTTCTTTTTAGTTGATGAATCTATTTTAAGTATAATGCCAAATGCTTTAGGTAAAATTTTTTATCAATCTAAGAAATTTCCAATTCCAATTAAAGTTTCTTCACTGGGATCTCCAAAAGAATTAAGTTTAGTTACTTTGAAAAACCAAGTTAATAAAGCTTTATCTAGTACTAGTTATTTACCACCTATTGGTACTAATATTTCTGTCAAAATTGGTTTTATTAACTATGATACTAAAGATTTAATTGAAAATATAAATGATGTTGTTAAAACTTTAGACATTAATGAAATTAAATCTATTCATTTGAAATCAACCACTTCTCCTGCATTACCATTATTCTACACCGACAGTTTATATAGTGAAAATGATGTTGCTAAGGAAGAAGAGCAAGAAGAAGAGGAAACTGAAGGTAAGTTGACTGCTTTCGAAGAAGGTTTGTTAGAATTAGGTGATGCCGAAGAAGTTGCTAAAGTCATTGGTAAAAAATTGGGTGAAAAGAAGAAAAAGAATAACAAGATTAAACCAGCCAAAGGTAAAGTTAGTAAAAAATAAACCTGTAATTTAGAAATTTAATATACAAACAATTGAATTAAAGCTCGTATCTATGTAAAACAATAATACAACAAAATGGTATTAATGTGTCAGAGTACCATAGACGAGTCTTGAGAGGCATTGTCTACGGTACACGAACATATTGCCTTGAAACTGGTTATTATTAATATTATTATCATCATCAATATTTTTATTTTTATTTTAAAAAAAATTCGTATCTATTATCTATATCGTATGTAAAAACTAAGCCAATGGCTTTGGCAAGACTTCTTTTTGGTCTTCTTCGTAAGAGTTGTAACCATAGTTGTAGTATTTATAAAATTCATCTCTGTTGTATGGAGTCAAAGCAGTACCATCCTTTAATTTTTGAACCAAATCTGGGTTAGAAGTGAAGAATCTGGAGAATGCAATAAGAGTTCTATCGTTTTGAATATCTTCTTCAATTCTGTTGAAAGCTTGAGCATAAGCACCAGCTCTAATGAAAGTACCTTTCCAGTGTTTGTAAACAAATTCATTAGTACCAAGTTGTTCAGTAACATCAAAAATACCACTGACTCTTGGTTCAACAATAGAAACATAAGCCAATTGATTACCTTCATCAGCTCTTTTTTGTAATTCTTTCAAAATATAACTGTGGATTTCTTCACCTTCTGGTTCAACACCTTGGAAAGTAGCCCATGGAGATAATCTAAGAGCTAATCTATCAGCACCGACAATTGGAATCAATTTATCAACGATTTTCAATAATAAACGAGCACGGTTTTCGATGCTACCACCGTATTGATCAGTTCTTTTGTTAGAAGCAACATTCAAGAATTGATCTAACAAATAACCATGAGCAGAATGAATTTCAATATAGTCGAAACCAGCAGCAAGAGCATTTTTAGCAGCATTTGGATATTCAACTTCAATAATGTGTTCAATTTCTTCTTCAGTTAATGCACGTAATTCATTACCGGCTTCTTTGGCTAATTTTTCACTTTCTTCATTCCAGTAAACAGCGGATGGACCAATAAGTGGTAAATTCAGTTTTTTCAAATCAGCAGCATTGGCAACACGACCCAAATACCATAATTGAACAGAACTTAAACTTTTGTTAGCGTGAATAGCATCATTGATTTTTTTCCAACCTTCAGTTTGTTCTTTAGAGTAAATACCTGGAACATGAGCATCCTTACCACCTTCAGCAGAAGCAAAAGTAGCTTCAGTAATGATTAAAGTACCTGGATGTTGAGATCTAGCAGAATAATATTCAAGTTGTAAATCAGATGGAACATGTTCATCAGAAGCTCTGAATCTAGTGGTTGGAGCATAAGCAATTCTTTGAGACAAAACATTGGAACCTAATTTAATTGGTTGGAACAATTTGGTGTTTCCCAATGGGGAGATTTCGAATTTTTGAGTGTCAACAGTCATGATTGTAAATTGTAGTGTATAAAAAGTTAGTGATGATTAGAAAGATGAGAATTATATCAATGAGTAGGGATGTAAGACAGTATTTATACCGTTGTTCTACAATGCTACGCCACGAGGAAATAGATACTCTGAGATGTGATCAAAGAGATATGTCGAACATTACGCAAAGAAGCTTTTGGAAACGCAAGAAGTATCTTCTCTGCTACACAGCGCACAAAACTGCCCCTGATTACTAATACACCTGGTCAAACATTTCAGAAGTAAATGAGCTGACTTTCATTGTTTGAAGAATATACTACCTACTGTAGCAGTGGATAATTGAACTGTCTTACTAATTATCTCTCCCTATGAAGAATTGATTGTAAACCAAGGGTTCGGTTCTCTTTGTCATAACACTGAGAACAATAAATAGATTATTTTTTTTAAAAATCTGATATCTCCATAACGGTTTACGTCAAATGAAAAAAATAAAGGATTGAAAATTTCTTTTTTTTTTTTTTCTGGTTTTAAAATTTCTTTTTTAGCAAAATTTACCGAACTTATCCCCATTAGGTCAAACTCCGAAAAATATTAAAATCAATGCAATGAATGAAACGAAACGACGGTTTATACGTCATTTTTTAATTACTAATTATAAAATACACAATAATGATCATTGGTATATATGAATTTTGCTTGGAAGTCTGAAGGCGTGTAAAGTATTTTTGTTCACATCAGCAAATTTCGGTAATTACTCCTCTTGGGTTGAGTCAGGATGATCCTATTGTGGCTAGGTTTTATTCAGCTATTTGGAGATGCATTGCATTGTAGATTCTATACATTGGAATCATGTCAAAACGTGAGATTTAAATTTTACTTTTTGTATATCTCAGATTAGTCCGTCGAAACTATTGACGATTTCAAAAAAAAAAAAAAAAAGAATAAAGAAAATGTTTCACTTCTTATCCATTGAAACTACAAGTGGGGGGGAGACAGAATAAAAAGAACACTTTCTCTTGTGGTTTAAACAACCGGTAGTTACTTTCATGACACTGAACTAACATTAAGAGCAATTGTGGGATGTGGCTGGTACAATATTGTTGGTATCCCGGAACTAGTAGGATACCTTCGATCAACAACACATCATTGATACAATAAATCACCCACTCCTAATTGGTCACCCATACGTATTACCCAACAATTAAATATTGAAGAAAAGAGGGGTAGATTGACATACATATATGTTGATAGAAATACAATATTTCCGCTTTTCTATCTTTGTTTATGCACTTATACTTTTTTTTTTTTTTGCAACTTTCACAGTCTTAACAATAGATTTCAAATTGGATTCCTATCTACTCCGAGGTTCGGTTCCGATATCTTCCCATGGTTTTCTCCCAATGTCAACTTCATTTCTTGAATTGGTGATAATCAATAATCTCAATTGATAGAATCTTGTTGAACTCATCTAGTATGAGGAATCTATATTGATTCATATAGTATGTGTATATTGGTGATGATGCTATCAGCTGATAGTTATCTATGACTCAGATTAGGAAAAAAATTTTTTTACTCTGTCGCTGCAATTGCCGCGTATTTTTGCTAGGAACGTACGAGCTGTCGCAATTCACGCGCCATTTTCGTTATCTTCCAATCGACCGAAACCAGTATGAGGAAAAAAAAAAATTTTTTTTTATCAACAGACCCCACTCCACGATTTAACAAATCAAAAAAAAAAAAAAAATTAAGGAAAAAAAATTTTTTTTTTCAATACATATCTTATACTTTCTTTTTCTTTCATCTCCCTTAGTTAATATATCTAATCACCAACAATGTCTAAACAAATTGAAAAGAAACCAATCAGTTTTGCAAATATCGCTTTAGGTGCTGGTTTGAACCTTGCTGAGGCTACCACTTTAGGACAACCATTAGAAGTCGTTAAAACTACCATGGCTGCTAATAGATCCCTTTCAATGCCTCAAGCTGCTAAATTAGTTTGGAGCAGGGGTGGTGTTTTGGGTTTTTATCAAGGTTTGATTCCTTGGGCATGGATTGAAGCAAGTACTAAAGGTGCTGTTTTATTGTTTGTTTCTGCTGAAGCTGAATATCAATTCAAAAAATTGGGTGCCAATAATTTCGTTAGTGGAATGGGTGGTGGTATCACCGGTGGTTTGGCACAAGCTTATTTGACTATGGGTTTCTGTACTTGTATGAAAACTGTTGAAATTACTCGTGCTAAACAAGCCGGTACTGGTGTTCCACAACAAACTTCATTCCAAGTTTTCAAAGAAATTTATAGAAAAGAAGGTATAAGAGGTATTAACAAAGGTGTCAATGCTGTTGCTATTAGACAAATGACTAATTGGGGTTCAAGATTTGGGTTCAGTAGATTAGCTGAAGAAGCTATTAGAAAAATTAGTGGTAAAAGTGAACATCAAAAATTGACTGCTTGGGAAAAAATTGCCAGTAGTGTTATTGGTGGTGGTTTAAGTGCTTGGAATCAACCAATTGAAGTTATTAGAGTTGAAATGCAAAGTAAAACAAACGATCCAAACCGTCCAAAGAATTTGAGTGTTGCTGGTGCTTTCAAATATATCTATAGCCAAAATGGTATTAAAGGTTTATATAGAGGTGTTACCCCAAGAATTGGTTTAGGAGTCTGGCAAACAGTCTTCATGGTCGCCTTTGGTGATATCTTTAAAAGAATGTTAAATACTGACGGTGCTGGTCATTAAATGAACAGTAAGTAATTAAGAATAGAGTACAAATATTTAATATTTATATATACATATATTTATAAGTATAGATGAAAAAATATAAAAAAAAAATTATTACATGATAAATTACAATTGTCCTTATTTAGTAGATCCCCATCTATCATAACAATACAAGCCAAATAATGTGATTATCAAACCAAATGATTGACTATTGGAAAACTGTTTCAGTTCCCAAATGAATGAAATCAAAATAATAAATATTCTCTTTAAAATACTGGCAATTGAATAGTTGATCGGACTAACCATACCCAAAATTTGGAAAGCTAATAAAGATTGAACAAAATGACTGAATCCATTGAGTAGAACCAAGCTCAAAATACTACTATCAAGTTGAAAGAGTGAAACACCCAAATTTTTGAAATTCATATACTCACTCATTAAATAAATTGGAGAAGTTAATAAAAATCCAATACTTGAGCAGTAGAATAAAATAGTCAACTTATCAAGTTTGTCTTTGTTAATTTTGTTTGTCATTGGGATAGATTCGGTTTCAATAGTTAATCTCTTTTTGGCAAATATGTTTTGACTGACAAAGATGATCATGGAAACAAATGCAAATATCAAACCAGTGAAATAGTTGTTTGGTGCGTTATTGTTTTTCTTGTAGCAAGTCAACATAATACCACAACATAAAGGAAGTAATGTTATATAAGTGACGGGTTTGTAAGTTTTCTTGAACAAAATAGTGTAAATCAGAACAGTTGCAATTGGACTCATCGATTTTACCGTATGGACAATTGAAACTGGAATCAAACTAGTAGCTTTGTGACTTGTAATATGACCAATGAATTGGAACATTCCCATTGGTAAAGTGGTGCTGATTATCAACTTAGTAGGAGTTAAGAAGTTATTCAAATGCAAATTATGAGGAACAAAGCCTTGAGGTAACTTTTGGATCAAATCGGTATTAAACTTCAAGATAGTTAATAAAGTCAAACACAATATAGAAGATAATGAAAATTGAAACTGTGTCAAAGTAATTGGATACTTGAAATTGTTCAAAATTAATTTTGTTGAATTGGACGATACAATGGAGCATAAATACCAAAGTAAACAGAATGAAGTTATCTTGATATCAATTGGTGGTAACCAGCTGAAATAAGTAGAATTTGTTAAAGATCTTGGTGGAACTATTAGATCAGGCGAAGTTGGTTTACTTAACGGAGATAAAGGATAAGTAAAGTTCTGGAAGGATGTGAATGATGGATTTGAGGATAGAGGCGGTGTATGTAATTGTGGGTTGGTATTATTGTAGGCATTGTTGTTCCCTAATTTATACAAATTTGCCGATGATGTGTTGGGATTGATTTGAGAAGACTTATGATTATGATTTTTTATTAAATCTTCAATAGAAGGATTATAGCTTTGTTGTGTTTGATACATGCTGAATGACTGCGAAATGATGTAGAAGAAATCTTCAGTCAAAAGGGGAAAAATAAATGTGTATGTGGGACAGAAACTGTGTGGAAGTAAATACTTTGAAGAAGTTTATATAGAATGAAAATATCGGTTGTGATGGTGGTGATAAATGGAAGTGGCGGAGGCTTGTGGAAGTTGTCAAGATGAAATTGTATGTCTTGTTGAGATAATGAAATGTGAAGAAAAGATATTTATAGTCAAAAAAAAAAATAACAGTGAAAGAAAAAAAAAATTTTTGTTGTGTGTCAGTGAATGTGTGCGTGTGTGTGTTTTGACTTCTTAAAATAATCCTAGGGAAGCAAATAAAATTTCTTTTTTTTTTTACTTTTCCTTCTGTTTACTTTTGTAAACTATGCACGACCCCATGCGCGTGTGTGTCTGCGTGGAGGCGTGTGCTGGTGGTTAATAATTCATTTGCTGCTTCAGGTCAAAAACAGTATCTTAATAAATGTATAAAGATCTACCAATTCTCTTACTCTTCCCCCGATATTAACTATCGCCAAATGATATAAGGAGTTAAACATCCATAGGTTCTGAAAAACAGTCTACACAAAGTACACGTACACATTGGACAAGATAATCGAATTAAGCCTAGGGCAAAAAAAATAGAACAAACCCACAACCAAAGGAGAAAAATAAATAAAAAAAAAGAAACGAATGATTATCTAAAAAAAAGCCCACTCGCACGTCCAGTTCTCTCCTACTTTCTCCCACTCTCTCCCTGGTTTCGAGTCTTAGTGTACTATTCTTTCGGCATTGAGTTGTGAAAACATAATTGGTGCCTTATCTGCTTCTCCTATCAAATGTATCAACTAACTTGTAATTAGTAGGCTGGTGCTATTCTTGTGTTCAATTGCATGTCACAAATTATAATTACTACTCAAGCCTCATGGTCGTGGATTATCACTAATGTTCTATTGTTTGCGCGATCATCAATTCAAATGAAACATCTACTCTGGTATTAATAGACTTTCATTGATCAAACAAACCTGCTAGAAACAGTATCCCTATTACACTCAACTACGTGATTGACTATTGAAACTCTTTTTTGACCAATTTATTGTTTGCGTAATTGGTTGATCTCCAATTTAAAACGCGGAGAGATTAAACCATAGCTTAGTGTCCACATCATATGATACAAATATATTATTAATACTATTTTTTTTTGGAGCACCATTACTACATTTCTCACCACATGTTTCATGAACCATCGTATCAATTGATCATTTTAATTTATATTTTTTAATTCATATTTTGCAGTTTTATATATACTTTGGTGTATACTCTCCATCGCAATCGAGAATTAATTTCCTCCCCACACATCTAAATATTCTTGGAGTTTATTGTTGCTGCTTCGGTTGGATCTTTTAGTTCCCTCCCCCTTTTTTTTGTTCTTATTCATTTCACAGGTTTTTTTTTCTTTGTAACCTGCACAATAAGACAAATTTAAAACCACCACCACCACCAAAATAAAAGCACACGTCGCACGTCCGTTACCTTGATTGTAACTTCCCACACGACCCAAATGCGTGAAATAAATCCCAAAAGAAGAAGAAAAAGAAAAAGAGGAAGAAAAAAAAAAGGCTCAATCAAACAAACAAAGAGAACGTTGTACAGTTGGAATCAATTTGAACGATTTTGTTGAGTTTTTTTTATATTTATTCCATTTTCTTTTTCTACCCCCAATCACTTGCATAAATAGTCAAGTAAAGTGTGGTAAATACCTTATTTTTCAACGCAATCAACTACAGAAATAGATGTCAAGTCTAGTGCTATACTTAGGAAAACTGCTTATCAAGCGAGCTGTTTCTGGTGATTTGGAAGAAGATACACCCGATTTAACCACCCCAGACGATGATAATCTAGAAGATTCAAATCCCGTTGAAAATGAAATTTTCTCCAGTTGGGCATTGTTTATCTTGTTGCTTTTATTGATGAGTGCATTATGGTCATCTTATTTCTTGCAACAACGAAGAATTAAAGCTATTCATGAAACCGTTTTATCAATTTTTTGTGGTATGATTGTGGGATTGATTATTAGAATGTCTCCTGGGCACTATATTCAAGATGCAGTTAAGTTTAATCCTGGATATTTCTTTAACATTTTATTACCTCCCATTATCTTGAATAGTGGATACGAGTTGCATCAGGCGAATTTTTTCAGAAATCTAGGTAGTATCTTGACATTTGCCATACCGGGGACATTCATTTCAGCCTTGGTTGTTGGTATAATCATTTATATTTGGACAGCATTGGGTTTAGATAATGTTCAATTGGAATTTGTTGACGCTTTAGCCGTCGGTGCAACCTTGTCTGCTACTGATCCAGTAACTATTTTATCGATTTTCAATGCATACAAGGTTGATCCTAAATTGTATACCATTATTTTTGGTGAATCATTGTTGAATGATGCAATTTCCATTGTTATGTTTGAAACTTGTCAAAAGTTCCATGGACAACCAGTCAGATTTTCATCCTTCTTCCAAGGGGTAGGGTTATTCTTGATGACATTTACTATTTCAACCATTATTGGTATTTTCATTGGGATTCTTGTGGCGTTGATTTTAAAGCATTCTCACATTAGAAGATATCCACAAATTGAAACTTGTTTGGTTTTATTGTTTGCATATCAATCTTACTTCTTCTCCAATGGTGCACATATGTCTGGTATTGTCAGTTTGTTATTTTGTGGTATCACTTTGAAACATTATGCTTACTACAACATGTCTAGAAGAACTCAGATTGCTACCAAATACATCTTCCAATTATTGGCTCAATTGTCTGAGAATTTCATATTCATCTATTTGGGATTATCTTTATTCACTGAAGTTGAGTTGGTGTTTAAGCCTTTGTTGATTATCGTTGCATTTATTGCCATTTGTGTTGCCAGATGGTCTGCTGTATTCCCATTATCGAGATTCCTAAACTTTTTATATCGTGCAAGATTTGAAAAATACTCCGGTATCACTAGTAACTCGATCAATGTACCAGACGAAATTTCCCATTCATACCAAATGATGATTTTCTGGGCCGGATTAAGAGGTGCTGTTGGTGTAGCTTTAGCTATGGGTTTTAGTGGGGAAGCCAAATGGACCTTGTTGGCTACTGTTTTGGTTGTTGTTGTCTTGACGGTTATTTTATTCGGAGGTACCACCGCATCAATGTTGGAAATTTTGGGGATTAAGATTGGTTGTGTGGATGAAACTGGCGATTCAGACGATGAGTTTGAAATTGAAGCACCACGCATATCATTACAAACTAATAAATCGCCAAACATTATGGGAAATAGAAGATTTGCCAGATCTCAACCAAAGTTGTCTGGCTACAAGGACAATGTATCTGGATCGGCTGCTAATTTGTTGGATTCCAACGGATCTCCTTCAGATAGCAATACTGGTAATAACAACAACAATTTTGATGATGACGAAATAGTTGGCAGTGATGTTGAAGATTTCATGGGAGTAGGAAATGGAATTTCTAGAACTAGTTCTTCAACTAATGATAAAGGTGTAATTGGAACAATATTAAGTGCTGAAGAACATGCCAAATGGTTCACCAGATTTGATGAAGAAGTGTTAAAACCTGTGCTATTGGATACTTTACCTTCTACTGGGCAATCAAGTGCCAATAATAGCACTAGTAATTTAAATAGTGGACCAAGAAGAAGTCAAGATTGATAGAAAACATAAGAGTCGATAATAAATTTTTTATACATATAGATGATGATGATAATACACACACACATTCTTGTATTTAAATGATATACAAAAAACCGAGAATCTTTTCCTTTTTTGTTTTGTTTTGTTTTTACAATGCTTTTCGACGTTGTTGTTGTTGTTGTTGTTGTTGTTGTTGTTGTTTTTCTTGTTGAATGGCAATTTCTTTATCAATAACCCATTTAGCCAATTTATATGTCCTTGGAGTCAAGATTAAATCATTCAATTTACCATTGAATTTAATACAAATTTGATAAAATTCATGAATTGCCAAATCATGTAAAATTCCAATTAATAAATTTCTTTTATAATTTGAATTTTCCTTTTGATAAGAAGTTAAATAAATTGAAGCAGGTAAATAATCAATATAATTTGTTGATGCTCTAATTGGATGTTCTAACAAATTCAAAAGTTTACAAACATCATCATTTATACCTTCTTCAGTTGAAAATTGTACGAGGTTTGAAATTGAAATAATTGCATTTCCAAAATTAACTGGATTGATAACTCTTGATTCACCATCTCTTTTTAATGTTGTTCTGAAAAATATACCAAATGAAGTTTCTAAAAACTTGTTTCTATATTCATAATATGTTTTCATATATTTGGAATAATCGAATTTAATTCCATGTGGTTTGAAATACTGAGTACTGAATGAGGCAATTAAAGATTTTGCTGGAACGATTACTTGTTGATTAATCACTTCAATCCATTTATTTGGACTCTTTGGTGTTTCTTTTGATTCAGGTTGGAATTTCTTCATAACTTCAGGTGATTTACTTGGAGAAGAAATAAAAGAATTTCCAAAAATATCATTATCCTTTTTAAATCCAACATTAATATCATTCTTAATTCCAAGTTGAACAGCTTTTAAAGCAGCTAAATCGTTTGAACTTCTATAATTTATACGATCAGTAGTTTCTTGAATTATCAATGAACATTCTTCAAAAATAGCCGGCCAAACATGGGTTTTCTTGGATCTAGCACTGAATAATTGTATTCTTAACTTGACTGCTTCTTTATCTGAACTGGTGGCCAAATAAGCCAACTCTTGGAAAGCAGTCAATCTACTCAATTGGAATTTTGGATCAACGTCTCTCAAACCTGATAATAAACACTGGATTGGATCAGCACTGTAAGTCGAAATTGGTTTCTTTCCATCAAGACATCCAATTGTTGCATAAACATTAAAAGCGTGATTGGCCACTTCCCAACTCAAAATTAAGAAAAATGATGAATACCCGAGTTTTATGAAAGTACTTAAAGATGTATTGAATGGAGGGATTGCAGTATCCAAACCTAAGATCAAAGTGATCAATGTGAAACTTTTATAAATATAATATTTCAATATCCAATAAGTCAATGGTGATAAAATAATGATAAATAAATTCAAGCCAAATGAATTACCAAGTAAAATAGGGAGGTGTTTGAATAAATAATTTTCTGGATTGTTTCTCTTAACACCAAATTGGAAATTCAATCTTTGTCTTTGGAAAATCAATTGATTACAAGTGTACAAGAATGAAATAAATGCAACCTGATACCAGAAATATACCCATTCATCATTAATCAACGGATATCTTCTATATTCTTTTGATAATAAATAGTAGTCCAATGTGAAATCGAAATTAAAAATCAACAAAACAGAATATATTAAAAAAATTGACAAATAATACCCAAACCAATTAATCAAAAAATTAGATGAAATAATGGAATAATAAATCTGTGACCCCAATGTCTTGTGATTCGAATAATCAACAGTCAAAGTCTTTTTACGCAATTGACGAATAATGGTTAATGCAATAAAAAACACTGGCAATTTAACACATAGAAAACTCAAAAAACTGGAGCCATACGAAGATGATCCACTAGTAAATGGCATAAGATTGTAAACAACATTTAGTGTAACAGACCATATTAGGTTTACATTCAATACATATTTCAATCTTTTATTCAATACTTTATTAAAAATATGTTGATAATTGTATGCCTTTAATGGTTCCATGACGAAAGTATGACAAATATCAATAATCACGACACAGTCTATCAATTGGTTTTGAAGAATGAAGCTTGTGTATGTCGTATGTGTGAGATTGCTCTTCGTAGGTTTTTTTTTGATTTTTTTTTTTTTTCGTTCTCCTTTCACAGATGAGAGAGTAAGAGAGATCTGGTTTCATAGAAGAAATGGTCAGGTGCACACAACCCGATATACAGAACCTACTGGACTAAATGAATTAAATACGAGAATAAAATTAGTTTTATCTATTTACATGTTATAAAAAAACTTCCATACTAATCGTCTTATTTGCTAGCCCCCAACTGAGCATTTCTCTTGTTTTGTTCTCTTGTACCATCCAAAACTTGTTTAACTTGTTTCAAACCTGGTTTACCATTAATTTCTCCTAAGATGGTATCGGCAATAAGAGATTCATTAGCTTCAGCAGCCATGTAACCCAACAGTTTGTTAGCCAATTTAGCTTCAATGGTGGTTTGATGGCCTTCAAATACACCAACATCAACTTCAAAGGCTTGATGTATAGCTTCTTCTAATTGTTTTTCTGTTGTGATGAATTTACCTGCAGCATGATATAATTCCAATAACTTTTCTGCTTGTGCTTCCTTTTGTTGTAATTCATTGGTTTTTCTATTCAATATTCTTTGTTGTTTCAATAATTCGGTTTCTTCTGGGGTTCGTTGTTTGATTAACCCATTATCTAATAAAGCTTGCATAGTTGGCAAACCTTTCACACTTCTGTCATGTTCTAAAACTTCTTCTTCATGAGCTTCTTGAGAACGTTTCAATTTTTTTTCATGGATCATTTGCTTCAATTCATCAATTTTTTGTAATCTCTGTTCTTCTTCTAAATAGGCTTCCTTTAAAAATTGTGCTTTATAGAATTCTCTTCTATGAGCATCTCTTTCATCTGCTGGTAATTTGTTCATTTCTTTCAAAGTTAATTCTGGAAATTTGATTTGCTGAATTCTTTCAGCAACAGTAACAACTTTTTTTGATCTTTGTTGACGTGGAATAGTTTTACCTTTGATAATTGGTAATGGAACTCCTTCAGCATAACCTGTTTCCAGTGTCTTTTCATTGGCTAATTCATATACTGTTGGTGGACGGATTGGTTTGTTGAAAATCGGTTTCACTTTTGGAAGTAAACCTGATTTACCACCATATTTTAATACATTTTTACCCATGATGTCACGTAGATTGTTACTTTGCTGTAATAATATCGTTTGATACGCAATGTTTAGTAGAGGAACAAAAAATTTTTCAAATCAATATCTGATTGAACAATACTGAGAAAGACAGGGAAAAAAAAAAAAAATTGTTAATAGTATACACATGTACACGACTTCTCTTGCATTCATTTCACCTATTTACCCCATACATCATAAATCTTTTCCAGCAAAGCTTTACCGATCTTTTTATTACCCACTTGGTCTTTGAATTCTTTCATCATAAGAGTTTTCTTGTATTCCTCTGGAGCATTTGCATTTTCCGTGTGATAAAACTCTAGCAAACTTTTAGGGGTAGGAAACCTATTTTGCAACACGACTGCCTTGTCCAAGGATACGCCCCTAATAGTCATCAACATTAGCATATACATCTCTTTCACGGTCATCTGATTCGATTTACCCATCATATCTTGAAAACTTGAAAATAAATGAACGCATTCATAACCTTGCTTACTAACTTCAAACTTGTTCCTGAACTTCGTGAGTATATCCAAATAATCTTGTTGGTTTTTGATGTCATCGGGTTTTATAACAATTAAGTCTGATTTGAAACTTTCAATAGCTCTGGTATTGGATGCCAAGAATGCTGTGGTTTCATCTATATCTCTAAATCTCCTTAGATAAAGTCGACCACTGGTCATTGTTTGGGCTACCGAAGATTGAATACTGTCGATAATATCGTTGACTTTATCATTAAAACTAATCATTTCTTCCACAAGATAATAACAGTGCTTGATACCTGTTTTCTTCATTCTGCTCTTTTGTTCCTTAAATCGACCATCTTTAATCGAATCACACAAATCATCAAGTCGTTTTCTTTCACACAAATAGTTTAACACGGCAACCATCCCGTTGACACGATTCTTGGCGACCCAGATAGTATCGCCCGAAGATAATGCTTTTACTTCACATGCTACACCCATCATGCTTAGTCTTCTTTGAAAATGGTCTCGCTCTTGCTCGGATCTAATTTCTCGGTTATCAATATACAACACAACGTCGTAATCTTCTTTTCGCCATATTTCATATCTGGTATCATCAAATCTTCTGTTTCCCGCGTCATGTGTACGCTTACTCAGTTCTGAAACCCCTGAAGAAATTTTGTTTTTGCTACTCAAAACCTGTTGAATATATTTGTTATTGTGTGCTGGGTTGTTGATACGTCTGATAGGTGAACTTGCCAAATTCGCAAGAGGTGATGAAGCTTCAAAGCTCACTTCGAAACTTGACTCAAACCTAACACCATTGTCAAATGATCTTTCAATTCCTTCAAGGTCAACTTTGTCTGTCATTGGAGATGAAGAAATTCCAACCGTATTTTTTAATTGTTCAGCTAATACTTTACCTTCTTCAGTTAAAAAGTATATCTTTGGTGATCTACCAGTTACACTCACCAAATCATGCTTAATAATCGTATTGATTGAACTCCATGCCGAATAGTATTCCTTGCTTGCGGCATTATTAGTAAACGATCGATCACAATATGGTGTTGCAAGTTTAATTATCTGATCTTTTGTCATTCCATTCTGGTTTCTATCATGAAGAAATAACGCAATTAAAATGGCAAATCCCCCTGATCTTTGTTTTGGAATATATTTTGCGGTTCCTCTTCCTGTGGCTGATTTTCTGGCTTTCTTAGCGGGTGGACCATTACTTGAAGACAGGCCACCAGAACCTAGATTCAGAGTGAACTCATCCATATCTATTCTATGTTTCTCGGCAACTTCCATAAATCCTCTTGGGACAGTAATACCTTGCTCATTGCAATGAGAAACTACTTTCTTCCTAAGTTGATCAGCTGTTTTCTCACCAATAAATCTGACCAGTTTCAAGGTTTTCAAATCACATATCGGATCTGGAAATTGTCTCAATTGTTTTAATATCTTGTTGTATAAATCCACTGTTTTAAGACCACGGCGAGTTGCTGTGATTGCCTCCTCTTCAATCCATTCAACGAACTTGGGTTTATAATCTGTTGACATTATAGCAAGACGTGTTGAAAGGCAAGAAGAGTTTTGTTTTGGTATTTCTTCTTTTTCATTAACGTTTTCAGAAACACGCGAAGCACATTTTTGGAGACAAGCAAAGAAAGGAAAATAAAACGAAGAAGAAGAAAAAAAAAAATCAAACATTTTGTTGCACATCGATAAATAATCATACTCATAGTCCACAGTACACCCAATTAATATGTCATCAAAACAAGGTAAACAGTCTAACCTTCCCCCAATCAACCTTATATTTAAATTTTTGCAACAACAATCTTTGGTTAATATATGGTTATATGAGCAAACACAATCTAGAATACAGGGGAAAATAAGAGGATTTGATGAATTCATGAATATTGTCATTGACGATGCAGTAGAAATATGTAATGGTAATAAAGAAGAATTAGGAAGAATTCTATTGAAAGGTGATAATATTACATTGATTTCGAGTTTAGACGTATAGACTTATACAATAATTGTACAATGAAATTTATAATAATACATAACGTTACAACAGAAATTTGACTTTCTTCTTACTTGGTGAGCTTGATGGACAGTCATTCGTAGATTCAGGAGTTTTACTTCTACGTTTGGAATATCGTAGTTCTCTATCTTCTTTCAGAACCAATACATTGTATTGATTTATTTGATTTTCTCTGATACTGGAATTTTCTTGCTTCTTGGTAGGTGATTTGACTTTAACTTGAGATAACTTTATAGCAGCAAGTACTTCCTTGGATAGTTTAATGGTTACCAAATAAGTCACTTGTCCTTGTTTTAGAGTAATATAATCGTTTTCCGTACCAGCATTGATACTCATGTCATCTCCATCAACGCTCTGATCAAAGTAGAAGAGAAAAAGAGAAAGAATATATATCTTGTGTCGCGCATTATCAGAAGTTTGTGTTGTAGAGGAAATCATTTCTGTTTTGGTTTTTTCGTTTACATTTTTTTCTTTTCTATTCATTTTTTTTTTCACTACACGTCTTTAAATCAATATTTACATTTTATAGACAACGCTGTAATGCTGAATCAACAACAACAACAACAACCTCAGGCTCAAGCTCAAGCTAAGGATCAGGATCAGGCTAAACCTCCTAATGGATCTCGCCAAGATCCAAAACAGCAACAACTTCCCCCTCCGCGTCAATCTCCTGGACATTCATCAGGTAATAGATTGCTTCAACATGTCAGTCCCCACAATAGAATGTTTGATACAATACCTTTTACTGAAGAAGAACATCGAGAGATTCGAACTAAACTAAACCAATATTTACCTAAAGTGTATGTAAGTAAACGTGCTGGTAGTGGGGGTCAACAAGTTTCGTATATCGAAGGCTGGCGAGCATTGAATTTGGCGAATGAGATATTTGGATTCAATGGTTGGAATTCGGAGATAGTCTCGTGTCAAATTGACTATTTGGATACCCATGGTAAGCAAGGGAGGTTTCTGTTGGGTTTATCAATGGTTGTTAGAGTTACTTTACGCGATGGTACATTTCACGAAGATATAGGGTATGGATATGTGGACAATTGTTCCAGCAAAGCCATGGCATTTGAGAAATGTAAAAAAGAAGCATTAACGGATGGGATCAAAAGATGCTTAAGATGTTTTGGAAATTTAATGGGTAATTGCTTATATGATAAGTCGTTCATTAAGAAGTTAGATTCAATGAAACCAGAAGTCACTACATATGACACGGAGGATATATATGTTGGTCCACATAAAATTGAACAGGAAAGGAGAAGAAATGAAAGGATTAGGTTGTTACAAGCTGAGGCCGCAAGTAAACAACAAGTTACTCAAGAACAAGAAATGGGAACAAATAACAGTGCAGCTAACGCGCAACCACAAGTACAATCAAACTTGCAGCAACGCGTTGGTGTACAATCTGCTAATTTGCAACAACAACAAAATTCTGCAAGGCAATCAACCGGTAGTTCAACTATATCAGTACAGTCAACCCATCCCAACCCTCAGAATCTTTCAAATGACAACATGCAGCAACAACAAAGACCACAGCCACATATACAACCAACAAATCAACCAGTGCAGATTAATAAGCAACCACCAAGTACCAACCAGCAACTTCAACAACGTATGGTGCCACCGAACCTTCAACAAACGCGTTCTGTTGTGAATCAAACTAATCCAGCTCCTCTGTTAAATGCAAATTCATCAGCTTTCGTCACTCCTAAACTGCCAAATAAACACGTTGATTATGTTCCGACCAGTAAAGAAGCGGATGAATTGGATGATTCATTTTTATTTAGTGATGATATTCCAGATGGTGGTTCTCAACTTGGGCATCATCTGTCTCCCCCGGTTCAACGTGGTGTACCACAAGCTGATCAAACAAACACCAATGGTGGTCAACATACTACCAATGGATCTGTTGAAGAAGAAATGCCTGAAAATGCATTAACGGCCTTTGTGGCCGCCGGGTCAGCAAGACTATTACAAGAGGCAACAACTGATCCAAATGAAATTCCTAAATTTGATCCTACATTTATTTCCCCAAATATAAGACGAACTGTTGATCCTACAAAATCGGTAAAAACAAAGAGGAGTGATAGTCCTTCCCCATTAGCGGTTAATGTCAATAACCATATGGTAAGTAAACCATTGCACAATCCACTTCATCTGAATATGGGAAAAAGAATTGGAATGCCTCTACAACCACGACAGAATAGGCGTCCTCAATTGGAAGGTAGCCCTCAGCCGTTGCATCAACAACAATCTTCCAATGTGATTTACCCTCCACCTGCTAGTATTGCTTCCAATTCCAACCGACAACCTGAAGCTCAATCTGCCAACAGATAGAATCTATATAGTTTTTTTTTTTTCTTACTTCCGAGATTTAGATATTTATAATTTATGTGTTATTTGTTAAAGTATTCGTTGTTGGTTTATCTTGAGTTTCGTGTAAGAATTTTCATTTAACAATCCCGTCAGCGAGTTTTTGCATCCTTTTTTTTTATTTTGCTTGCTGTTGATCATTGAAGATCATGTAACGAAATGGGTGAACTTCAGACGAGGGGCGAAGTTTCGAGGGTTTTTCTTCTCACGCGCGTGTCAAGGGGTGGGTAAGAACAGGTCGACTGTAGCACAAATATAAGATCACAACAGTGCAAAAAAGTAAAGGCAATTTAAAGCAATAAAAAAATTAAGAATTGAAGAACGAGAGTAAAAAGAAAAAAATAAAATGTATAATAGAAAATGTTGGACAGACGTTCCTTAAGTTCCACTATTCAAAAAGATCATTAGCATTAAAGAATATATTCATTCTAATGAGAGACAATTCTTCCATATTACCACTATTATCTACTATTGGACCATTCAATGAAGTTCCTGATGAATACAATTATCAAGATTCTCTAGAATCTTTAAAAACAAGTAAAATCTTGGTTATTGGAGCTGGGGGATTAGGTTGTGAAATATTGAAAAATCTTGCATTGACAGGATTTAAGAATATTGATATTATTGACATGGATACTATTGATTTATCTAATTTAAATAGACAATTTTTATTTCGTCAGAATGATATTGGTAAAAGTAAAGCAGAAATAGCCACAAATTTTATTCTTGAAAGAAGTGATGATCCAGATTTGAAAATCAATCCTTATTTTGGAAAGATTCAGGATAAACCAATTGAATACTATCGTCAATTTCAAGTAATCATTAGTGGGTTGGACTCAGTTGAAGCTAGACGTTGGATAAATGCTACTTTAGTTAGTTTAGTCGATGATAATACTTTGATTCCATTGATTGATGGAGGAACTGAAGGATTTAGAGGCCAATCAAGAGTAATCATCCCTACATTGACACTGTGTTTTGAATGTTCGTTGGATTTATTGTCTCCTAAAGTGACATATCCCGTATGTACTATTGCCAATACCCCAAGATTACCAGAACATTGTATAGAGTGGGCAAGTCAAATGGCGTGGGCTAGAGAATTCCCAGGAAAGAAATTTGATGCTGATGATCCAGAACAAGTCGAATGGATGTATCAAACTGCATTAAGAAGAGCAAATGAATTTAATATTGAGGGTGTTACTAAAAGTCTAACTTTAGGGGTTGTTAAGAATATCATTCCTGCCATTGCATCAACTAATGCTATTATTGCTGCTAGTTGTTGTAATGAAGCTTTTAAATTGGTTACCAATTCTAATCCAATCTTGAACAATTATATGATGTACACAGGAGATGATTCAATTCATACTTATACTTATGAATATTCCAAAAAATCCAATTGTCCAGTATGTGGAAACTTGGCAAAGGGTGTCACATGCCAGAATTGGTGGACCCTACAGCAATTCATTGAAGAAATAAGTGCAAAACAAGATGTTCAGATGTCAAATCCTTCACTCACAACTGCTCAAAAGTATCTTTATTTGACCAGTCCTCCAGAATTGGAGAAAATGACAAGTGATAATTTACTGAAAAAATTGAAAGATTTGATAAACGAAGGAGATGAAATTGTTGTTACTGATCCACAGTTGCCGATTTCATTGAGATTAATTGTTCATTTCACAGGTGATGAACAAGATCCTGAATTTGCATGAATAGACTTGGAATAGTTATTGTATATTTATATGTTATAGAATAGTTATCTTTTTTTTTCTTTTGTTGTCTATGAAACTAAAATTGGTTTTCAAGTTTTTTCATTTCTTCAGTAACCATTGAATTGAATTTATCGATGTTATCTAAATAGATATGATGTCCGCTGTCCTCAATGATTTTTACGTCACTTTTGTAAGCAACTCCAGATGTATTATTAATAATATCCGAACATAATTCGCCACCTTTTTTGTCCATCCAATCTTCTTTCCCATACCACCAGGACAAATCACATTCTAATTTATGGATCCCTCGTTCAATTAAAGGATGTCTGGCATCTGCTCCAGGAGCCAACAAAAAATTCAACATGTATTCACCCGATCCACTACCTTGAAAAATTCCATAAGAATATTTATGTAACAATTTGCTTTCTTTTGAGGTTAACTTGGCAAATCTTCGTGATGACCATCCACTAACAACTTTGGAACCTAATGGACCTGCTTTTCTAACAATTGAAAATGGGGATATATTTCTTTCCCATAGTTTCTTAAAATATTCGGGAACTTTGACTTTTTTCCTGTGTTTAATTACAGCACCAGGGGATACCATTAGTAACTTGTTGCAAAATTTAGAATCTCTTGTGATTCCATATGTTGCCATAAGATAAGCTCCCATAGAATGTGCCATGACGATTGTCTTATCACGTGGAATGTTTCTCTTTTCCATCCATGTATTAAACGAATTATGAAACCAATCTTCTACTTGTTCTAAATTATTAGGAGTGAATTTCGGACGTGAACTACACCCGTAACCAAACAAGTCGATAGAATGAATGATCCATCTTGCAGAGCCCATTGAGATCTTATCAAAATTTTTAAGATAAAACCCTAATCCAGCACCATACCCATGAACCATTATTAAATGAAAACAATCTGATTCATCTTCCACCGATTTTCCTGGTGGATAAATCACAAATTCGTTAATGTAGTGATTCTTATTGTCAATAATAACCTTCAATACCTTAGATGACCTACCTAGAGAATCTGGTTTGGGATAGAACGGCAATAATGAAAGCAAATCATGTTGGAATTTCAAAGGTTGATGGCGCAACTTGTAATCCTCCAAGGATTCCTTCACTGACAATGGAAAACTGTTACTGAATAATTTAGACAAAGGCACAGATGTTGGATGGGTGGATCTCTTATAAGTAGATATGGTTACCTTTCGAGGAATACTCTTCGATGTGGCTGTAGCCATATCTGGACTTGCAGACGTAGTTGTTAAAGATTGCTTTTTATCATTTGCAGTCGATGTTTTCCTTGTTAACGAGGTAAACAAGTTATTAATTTTAGAAAGAGTGAATGAGTCTAGATTTGTTGAAGTTGTAGATATGAGTCTCCTTGATGTGAACATGGTCCTATTTCAATGTGTGTGCAATTTCTTTGAGATGAAAACTTTAAATGACTATTGTAAGTTCGAGAAACGTGAGTTGTCAAAGCAAATAAAGTAAATAAAAAAATGAAACGTAACTGTACTTTTAAAAGAGCAAACCCGAAAGTCTTCTAATGTAGCTGAAAACACATTTAATTAAAATCAAACAACAATATGTATGTCAACGGTTCCCGACGATAGTTGTTTAATGATTTAATAGTGATGTCCCAAAGGATTAAAAATAAATAATAGGAACATACAATTAAGAGTTGCTGTAAGTTTTCATTGCTTTTAGAGAAAAAAAAAATTTTCGGACCCGTTTGTTGGGGTACTGCATTTGGTTTTGTGTGTGCATATCACGTGGAAGAAATTGGCAACTAAACTAAATTGAAAAAAAAAAACTGTTCTGAAGTGCACGAAAAATCTCAACATCCCATTGGTCAGCAAACCCAAATCCAAAAAGAAAAGAATCATAACTCTAGGCCCATTAACAGTTTGTTAAAGAAAAGTATTTAAATTAAAAAAAAAAAAAAGTTACAAGTATCGTTATTATAGAATGGATACAGCAAATAACTTGACGTATAGATTTTTACCAAATTTTGTTTTAGGTAAAATTTAGTTGAAATTCGTGGAGAAATAAATTAAATTAATGGTTCGCATTCAAATATATCCCCTAGACTAATGAGCAGGAAATAGATAGAAAATCCATGATTCACTTACAGAAATCTTATTCTGCGTAAGTATAAGTTAATACATAAAGGTAGGTTAATTGGAAGTTCAATTCGGCCAATCATGGATGAGCCCATTACATAAAAAAAAGTATAACCCAATCAAACTTAGTTAAACCTCTTTTTCTTAAAGATGAAAAGGTTAATTGTTTATTATTGTTTGATCAATTTGACACTTTCTGCACAACTAACCAATAGTTCTTTTTCATTGAACATCGATGCTCCGAACCTTACCAAGAAATTCAATATCCACGGCTTTAGTGTACTTTCAACGTCTCTATTGTAATTATTCTGTGTAATATTTAGCATTTGAATAAATTGAAATGAGACAAAGAAAAAAAGAAACAAGAGTCAAGGTAGCCTATCCCTTGATTTGAATACCATATTAATTTAGTTTTGTATTGGGCATTACATGGAGACTATAAGGAATACCGATGATATCATCATCATTTATCGTAAGGTCGCCTGAGAAAAAGAAAAGAAATTTCCAGCGGAACCGAAGATAACTAAAGATATCATGTAACGATAGTTAACACCCGGAGATATTCAGTAAAAACAAGTGTACAAACTCAACCGGAGCGTAAGTGAAAACAGAGACAAAACAAAAATGAAAGAAGCTGGGAATCCTAATGAGTAAAGCCGTTCAATGATGACTTTTTTTATATAACGTAAAAGATTAAAAACCTAAAGCATTATCACGCCATATTAGAGAAGGGCTTACGGAATGGTATCAGAGGGGTTGGACACTGATTTTTTTTCTTCGTCAAGCGATATAGATCAAGGTACTCACTATTAAACACAGGGTGTAGGAAAGTATATGTAAACGAAGAAATATGGTAAGCTGCATTTAATGATGGGAGAAGACCTACTTGATGTACAAAAAAAAAACCAAATTTTTATGGTGTTTAACCAATCAGAAAGCACAGAAGGATCGTGTAGATACGGTTGTGTAGAGTCGTCCCGCGAATAAGAAATCAAATGTGGCATAGAATAGTGCGAACTTCGCTTTATCTGATTGATCAGTAATTAAAAATGTCTGCATTTTAGATATGTGTATTTGTCCAGTACACGCCATAAAAAATATATTTAAAGTGTCTGATTAATTTAAGTAAAGCGTTTAAAACCGTCCACAAAACAAAACAGTGAAGGAAGTAAAATTTTTTTTTCCTTTTCTCTAAATCCCATGCTGATATTGTTTTAGTGTTAGTTAAGTTTCTAGTTAAAATGAAGATGATGATCAATGAGACTTAGAATAGATTGGCGTATTATTCTTTTTTTTTTTGACTTGTCTTTTCTCATTCTCTAACTGAATAACACGTAACCATATGTCATGTGATTGATATTTTGATGAGTTCCAGTTACTCCTTAAAATCTGTAGCCAAGAAGTATAGTAAAAAAAAACCCCCAACAAGAAAAATTAAGGGCATAAAAAATCACGAGAAGATACTTCAAAATTTAGATATGGACTTAGTGTATCTTTCATTCATTTTTCAATTGTACTATTGCGATTTTAATTTTTGTAATAACAAACTATATTGTTGCTCATTGGTTGATTGTTGGCAATTTAATTGTACATCGGGGTTAGCCTTAGGAAGAAAAGTGTCTGCATGAGATGGGCTGGGAACAATTTTTGCAGTCGTTGATTGGATAGTTAAACTCAACCACAATAAGCCATTATTTTTGGTTCTTGCCTTACGTATAGGCTTAAAAATGGAATTTTCCTCTAAACTAGAGGGAATACACCTCCAATTTATGCACATCTACCTATGCAGTCTAAATAGTACCAGTTTCTTTTTCATGAACCAATGCTGTTCCCAAGATCAAAATTTCGTTCGCTCAGACTTTTTAAATATCCCTACTTTCATATTCAGACAGTGCCAAGAAAAAACCCAAATACTTCAATTTCGCCCTTTTTTTGTTACTGTTATTTTTCGTTTTGTCTTCTCTTGGTTTAATACCAGGTTTAATCAATTTAATCAGTACGTTCTGCATTTCTGCCCATCCCCCCAAAAAGTAACCAAAACAAAAAAAAAAAAAAAAAATTGGAATTATGTAGGCATATAAAAGTCAAGACGATTCTCTTGTTGAGCTAATTTCAATTTTCCTTTTTTGAAAAGTTGGGTTTCTTTCTAGTCAAGTTCTGCATTATAACATCAAAGTTTTAATTTGCACGATTTCAACTTCTATAATTTCTCAGCTAGATTGAATTATAAATAAAAAAATAAAGTATGAGAAGTGCCTCACTTTTTTTGTTAATTTGTTCTTTAATATCTGTAATCTCAGCAGAAACTCACACATGGTGGTTCCAAACTGGATGGGTTAATGCTAACCCAGATGGTGTTTTTGAAAGACCAATGATTGGTTTCAATGATACATGGCCATTACCAACTTTAAGAGTTAAAAAAGGTGACAGAGTTCAATTATACTTGAACAACGGTTTTGATGACAGAAACACTTCCTTGCATTTCCACGGTATGTTCCAAAATGGTACCAATCAAATGGATGGTCCAGAAATGGTTACCCAATGTCCTATTCCACCTGGTGAAACTTTCTTGTACAACTTTACTGTCGGTGACCAAGTTGGTTCTTACTGGTACCACTCCCATACTTCTGGTCAATACGGTGATGGTATGAGAGGTGTTTTCATTATTGAAGATGACGATTTCCCATACGACTACGATGAAGAAGTTGTTTTGACTTTAGCTGAACACTACCATGATTTCTCCGATGAGTTAACTCCTAAATTCTTGAGTAGATTCAACCCAACTGGTGCTGAACCAATTCCAAGTAACATGTTATTCAACGAAACTAGAAACAACACCTGGAAGGTTGAACCAAACAAGACCTATCTTGTCAGAATTGTTAACATTGGTAGATTTGTTTCCCAATATATTTGGATGGAAGATCACGATTTCACCATTGTTGAAGTTGATGGTGTCTATGTTGAACAAAACACCACTGATTTGCTTTATATCACTGTTGCTCAAAGATACTCTGTTTTGATCACTACCAAGAATGAAACTGACAAGAACTATGCTTTCATGAACAGAGTTGATATTGATATGTTGGATGTTATCCCAGGTGATTTGGAATTAAACGGTACCAACTACATTGTTTATAATGAAGATGCTGACTTGCCAGAACCATATTTGTTGGACTCTATTGATGACTTTTTTGATGACTTCTGGTTGAAACCATTGAGCAAAGAAAAATTATTGGACGATGCTGATTACACCATCACTCTTGAAGTTCAAATGGATAACTTAGGAAACGGTGTCAACTATGCTTTCTTCAACAACATTACTTATGCTCATCCAAAGGTCCCAACTTTGATGTCTGTTCTTTCTTCCGGCGATGATGCATCCAACGAATTAGTCTATGGTACCAACACTAACTCCTTTGTTTTACAAGGTGGTGAAGTTATTGATATTGTTATGAACAACTTGGATACCGGTAAGCATCCATTCCATTTGCATGGTCACGTTTTCCAATTGATTGAAAGACACGAAGGTGTTGACGATGATGAAGATCCAGTTGCTTACAACTCCTCTGATCACGCTGAATGGCCAGAATATCCAATGCTTAGAGATACTATCTACATCAACCCTCAATCTTATGCTGTCTTGAGATTCAAAGCTGATAACCCAGGTGTTTGGTTCTTCCATTGTCATATTGAATGGCATTTGGACCAAGGTTTGGCTATCGTTTTGATTGAAGATCCTGAAGGAATCCAAAAACAAGAATCTCAACAAATCACTGACAACCACAAGGAAATTTGTGAAAAAGTTGGTGTTCCATGGGAAGGTAATGCTGCTGGTAACACTGAAAACTACTTGGACTTGAAAGGCGAAAACGTTCAACACAAGAGATTGCCAACTGGTTTCACTGCTAAAGGTATTGTGGCTTTGGTCTTCTCCTGTATTGCTGGTGTCTTGGGTTTGGTTGCTATTTCTTACTATGGTATGACTGATATCAAGAACGTTGAACAAAGAGTTGCCAGAGATTTGGATGTTGATCTTGATGATGACGATGTTGAGCAATTGAGTGAAGAAGGTTCTTCTGGCTCAAACTCAAAACAACATTAAATTGAACAACAAATGTTTTGAATTCTACTTATAATGTGGAAGAAGAAGAAGGTTTTTGAAGAATAGTGTGTGTGCGTAAAGGATTATATGTTTAAAGAAATTCACTGTATTTCCTTTTTGAACCAACCTTTTTTTTTTACCTCATAATTTTGTGGATCCCCATGCTTTATGTTTTATTAATTTGTTTTGATGATGTTCTTTATTATTATTTTTTATTACTACCATTGTTTAATGACTTAACTTGATGATTGAAAGAGTTTTGTTATCTTATTTTTTTCATTCATTACTATTAGAAAGAAACACCCTTAGAAACCCCCCTAATCCCCTTTATTTTCGTTTCCCGGAATTATTATTTACTTGTGTTACTCTTTTTCTACTTAATATATAATTTTTCACCCGTTCTAATATGTTTGTTCGAATTGTAGTTGATTAAGAAATGGTTGCAAAAAAAATAAATAAATAAAAGAGACACCAAAAACATGATTGCAGCATATCACATCCGATAATTCAAAACAAAGACATATCGTTTTATTGTTTTCCCTGTGATCTATTAAACCACCATCACCAACTTTTCAAAAAATGTATGAATTTGCATGAAGTTTATTCTCAAAGCCACCAAACTTGCTTGTATTTGCATTTTTCTCCTCCGCACGACCCTTGGAAATTTAAGCCACGGTAGGCTTAGAAATTAAGAATAGTTGTTAGCAGTTTATTATTTTTTTTTTATTATTTTATTTTCGTTTTACTAGGTAATAACCATTGGTAATGTAGCCCAAGAGGAGTAAAATTGAAGTAACAATTACGTATTCAGTGTCTGTATGATGTTTCGTTTTATTTGCTTTTCTTTTTTTTTGTCAGAACGATTTAATAATGGTAAGTCATTGGTTAACTTTATATATCGTAAGTAATGAAAAGACATTTTGTACTATAAGGCTCGATAGTTTCATATATTATTTCATTTTTTATTTTATCTTTTATTAATAAAATTTTTTTTTTTTTATTTTTAAATTAATGTCGGATTCTCCTTGTTGTTATCTGATAGATCTAAACTACGGTATAAAAACCCAAAGGATTTCCAATTCCTTTTTATTCTTCTCTTTTTGTTTGATTTCTTTTAGTTCCATCGTTATCCTAGTTGGTGTTTCTACAGGGACTTTACTATTGATTTAAGGCCCAGGCTCCCAAATTATTTTAGCATTCCTTGCTGATTACAAATTTACGTCAATTTTTTTTTTCTTGGCAACCGAATCTTAAAAATCTTTGGTGCAAAATTATCACTAGTATCACTTATACTAACAAACTAAGAAGGGTATAAAAAAATGAAGTTACTATTACCATTAGTGTGTTTGATATCTTTCGTTGCAGCTGAAACCCACACTTGGTGGTATCAAACTGGTTGGGTTGATGCAAACCCTGATGGGACTTACGAGAGGAAAATGATTGGATGGAATGGTACTTGGCCATTACCAACTTTAAGAGTTAAAAAAGGTGACAGAATTCAATTGTACTTGATTAACGGATTTGACGATAGAAACACCACTTTACATTTCCATGGTTTATTTCAGCATGGTACCAATCAAATGGATGGTCCAGAAATGATTACTCAATGTCCTATTCCACCGGGTGAAACTTTCTTGTATAATTTCACAATAGATGACCAAGTTGGTACTTATTGGTACCACTCCCATACCTCTGGTCAATACGGTGATGGTATGAGAGGTGTTTTCATTATTGAAGATGACGATTTCCCATACGACTATGATGAAGAAGTTGTTTTATCATTATCTGAACACTACCATGAAACTAGTGATGAATTGATGCCTGGTTTTATGAGTAGATTTAACCCAACCGGTGCTGAACCAATTCCACAAAACTTTTTGTTTAACGAATCAAGAAATGTTACTTGGAAAGTTGAACCAAATAAAACTTATCTTTTGAGAATTGCCAATGTTGGAAGATTTGTAACTCAATATCTTTGGATGGAGGATCATGAATTTACTGTTGTTGAAGTTGATGGTGTTTATGTTCAACCTAATACTACCAATATGCTTTATATTACTATTGCCCAAAGATATGGTGTTTTAATTACCACCAAGAATTCTACGGATAAAAACTATGCTTTCATGAATAAAGTAGATGATACTATGTTGGATGTTGTTCCTGGGGATTTGCAATTGAATGGTACAAATTATATTGTGTACAATGAAGATGCAGATATGCCTGATGAATACTTTGTTGATTCAATCGATGACTATTTGGATGATTTCTACTTAAGACCATTAAGCAACACTACATTATTTGACGATGCTGACTATACCATCACCGTTGACGTTCAAATGGATAACTTAGGTGATGGTATTAATTATGCCTTTTTCAACAATATTAGTTTTACTACTCCAAAAGTTCCTCCTTTATTAACAGTTTTATCATCTGGTAACGAAAGTTCCAACGAGTTGATTTATGGTACCAACACTAACTCCTTTGTTTTACAAGGTGGAGAAACTGTGGATATTGTCTTGAATAATTTAGATACCGGTCATCACCCATTCCACTTACACGGTCACGTGTTCCAATTAATTGAAAGAGGAGCTTCAAGAGATGATGATCAAGATCCAGTAGCTTTTAATGCTTCAGATCATGCCGAATGGCCGGAATATCCAATGATGAGGGATACCGTTTATGTTAATCCACAATCCTATTTCGTTATTAGATTCAAAGCTGATAATCCTGGTGTATGGTACTTCCACTGTCATATTGAATGGCATTTAGATCAAGGTTTGGCTATTGTTTTGATTGAAGATCCTGAAGGTATCCAGAACAATTCCTCTCAACAACTTACTGATAATCATAAAGAAATTTGTGAGAAAGTTGGTGTTCCATGGAAAGGCAATGCTGCTGCAAATTCAGAAAACTTCTTAGATTTGACTGGACAAAATCTTCAACACAAAAGATTGCCAACTGGTTTTACTGCCAAAGGTATTGTGGCTTTGGTCTTCTCATGTATTGCAGCACTCTTGGGTTTGGCTGCTATTTCTTACTATGGTATGACTGATATCAAGAACGTTGAACAAAGAGTTGCCAGAGATTTGGATGTTGATCTTGACGATGATGACGAAACTGGTGAAGTTGAAGAGGTTAATGAAGGTACATCTTCACAGGATGGAAACTCAAGTGGTATAAAACAGCATTAAGAAGACTACAAATGATCTTAAAGATGGCTTTTTGAATAATATATGTGTGTGTGCGTAAAGGATACATTGGTTTGCTATAATTATCCTTTATTGAACCAAGCCAAATAAGAGATTGTTTTGTAAATGATTTATGCTGTACTACCAGATGAACCATTCTACTTTATTTAATCAGATTCCATTCATATTGTTTTCATCCTCATGTTTTAACTCTTTGCCCTTTTAAACCCCCTTAATTTTCCTTTACCTAACGTCGTTCTATTACGCTTGATTTTTCTATTCTAAATATTCTTGTATCTTTAATACATATATAATATCCCGTGCAAGTTATAATTGTAGACTTTCATAGATAATTAATCAAAGTGGTCGATATTGTTATAAGGTATGAACTTGACTTCTCTACCGTAATTGAACCACGAAATGTATCGACGCGAGAAAATGTACCAGAGAATTTTTTTTTTTTCTGTGTTGAATTTGAAGTCCAACGACAATATCAAGTCAGTAGTAACTACAATTGAATCATGATTGAAGCATTATATATCACCGATTCGGCGAACACTTTAGTTTATGAGTTTTCTGAAACATTGTCAGCACCTAAATTTAAGTCCCTAGTCCCTAAGATTATTGCATCAACCACAACAACAACTTCATCACTGAGCAGCTCTAATAAAATAAGCTTGAACTCACAATACTACTTGTATAGACATCATGAATCTTCTTTATCATTCTATTTGTTATGTGAAGATGATGCATCCAATGTTTTATTTCCTCAGACATTTATTCAAAGGTTGATTGACGCAATGGGGGATTATTTTGGTGAGTTGAACAGCACTAAAATTGAAGCAAACAATGATACATTGACTTTGTTGTTATATCAAATGTTGGATGATGGGGTACCTCATGTTACTGATTTTAATAAATTAAGAGATTTGGTTAGTTACAAGTCATTTCTTTCCAAGATACTTAGTGGAGCAACGACTGCGGCATCCAAAGCGACCGGAAGAGGCCCAACAACTTTGGATCTCATCAAGGCAAATGATACTTCGAATGATATCCCTTGGAGAAGAAATAATGTTAGGCACACTAATAATGAAATGTATGTTGATGTTATTGAAACTGTCAATGTCATTCTCAAACCAGTTGTTAGGAAACTGAAATTGGAACATACATTTGACTCAGCCTTCTATTCATCCAGCAAACAGCACAACGTGGACAATCATATGATCAGTGGGCACATTGATGGCGAGATTAGCTTTTTAAGTCGTTTGACTGGTGTTCCATTATTAGAACTTTCATTGAATTCCGTTGGATCCAATATTGAATTACCCAATATGCATAGATGTATTAATAGAGATACCTGGAAAGAGAGAAGAGGTGTTTTGTCATTTATCCCACCCGATGGAAGATCAACATTAATGAAATACCAAGTTGATTTGAACAAAGTTGGTGCAAATAGACAGAAATTACATACGATCACAGCGACTAGTATTGACACAGAGTTTATATGTCGTGAAAATTCTTCAGAGTTTGAAATCAGATTGCACTTATCACAACAGATCAACAAAATCGATTTTATCACCGTGGAAATCGTATGTGAACAAGAACAGGGACAAGTTAAATTAAACAGAGTCACACATGGTGATTTTTCAGCTAGGGGTAATGGTAAGGCAGAATGGAATTTAAGACAGGTAAAATCTGGGGTATCACCAGTATTTTACGGATCAATTATTTCAAAGAATTCAGACGAAAGTGATGATCATGGTGGTGATGACACAGGTGACGCAGATATTAAAACGAGCACAAATGGTTACCTCAAACCAAGCTATATAAGACTAATTTACAGTCATAGGGGTCCAGTTCCTAGTGGATTGAAGGTAGATAGTCTAAAGATTATCAGTGCAAAAGGATTAGGCGATACTGTTAAACCATACAAAGGGGTTAAATATATTACAAAATCTGGCAGTTATATAGTTAGACTGTAAATACTGACCTGAATATAGAAAAAATAAAAGACAAAATAAGAAATAAATCATGTATGAACTATTCTTGAATAGGTTGGTGGGAATATACTTTGTGTTTTTCTTTTTTTTTTTAAAAAAGAAGTCTTTCGAAATCAATCAATTCTTAACCGTCCTAATCTGTTGTTAATATGAAGATCAAATATTGGAAATAATGATGTGAATAAATCAACTCACTTATTGTGACTTTTTCTTACTTTTTTGATTTTGTTGGTTCTTAACCAAAACTTTTCCAACAAAAGTACCAACTCCCAAAACAGCAATGACTAACAATAATAAAGGTAATTTGATGGCATAATCTCTTGGTAAGAAGAACTGGTTCAAGAAATTATCTTCATCAATGAATGGTAATACAAAAACCCAAGTGGTGTAGTAAGTGAAAACAAAAGCAGCAACACCAAGCATTCCTAATCCAATTAGTTTATCACAACTCTAAATAGTAATAATAATAAAAGTTAGTAATCTATAGCACATTCTAGCAAACCATTCAAGTGTATATAACAACATACCATTTTCTAATGTTGTATCCTTGTTTTGTTGAAAAATTGATTTGTTAAATTTGAGATACTTCAAACTACGTGTTTATTATTTATACTTTCATTTTTTTTTTTTTCTTTTGTCAATTTTTCGTTAGTTCTACGTGGTATTTTTTCTTCTCTCTCCCTCTCTCCATTTCCCTTCCTTCTATTTTCTGGCTGTGCACGCCCACAGGCACATTTTCTCAAACTACCCCCAGTTCGCACGACTCGATCCAGTTTGTCGTATAAATAAATAGGCAAAATCGAACAACCAAAAAGAAAACTAAAAATCTCACTTCGATTGTATCCGATTCTGCCTCCTTTACTCTACACCAAACCAATGTTCAACAAATTCAAACTGAGAAAACCTCCATTATCATTGGGTTCTGTATCCAATGTCATTAAAACTAGAGGAACCAAGGGTCTCTCACCAGAAGAAATCGATGTGAAAAAGATTGAACTTAAAGTGGTCAACCAAATAGGTATCCCCAAAAATTCTATTGTTGCAGTTGCCTATGATCCAGTCCAATCCTTGTTGGCAGTTTCAACAACAAGTAATGATGTTCGAGTTTATGGACAAGTGAATGTTGAAGTTGTTTTTGAATTCAATATTAAGAACCCAATTACATTTTTGAAATTTGTTAAAGGTGTCTACTTAGTATGTGGGTCAGCAGGATCTGGTTTGACCATATTATCATTACACTCCAAGAAAGTTTTAGGAACAGCACTGTTTCCTGGTTCAGTTACTGCCATGGAAACGGATCCTTCTTTAGATTGGTTAATCATGGGATTATCTAATGGAAGTTTAATGTTTTATGATGTAGATAGACTTCAACAAACTCCTTTCAGAATTGATAACTTACAGAAGAAGATAATGCCAAAGGAGAAATTGTCCCCTGTTGTGTCCATAGAATGGCATCCTCGTGATATTGGCACCTTGTTAATCGGGTATAATCAGTCTGCAGTTGTATATTCACTTGTTTCCGGAGAGATTAAGAGTGTCTTGGTTTATCAACTTTCGAAAGAACATAGAGCTTTTGAATTGGCATCACATGTTTCTCATGGGGGTAAGAAGAAACTTTTTGGAAGCTCAAAGGCAGTTTTACCGAAATTAAAAGAAGCTCACTTTCATCCTAATGGGTTGCATGCGGTGACTGTATATGAAGATAATTCTATTGTATTTTGGGATATTGCTAGTGGTTCAATATTGGAAGCAAGAAATGTGTTTGATGTTCATATTCATCAACCAGGAACACCGTTACCAATTCCAGAAGTTTTTCATCCAATTGAAACAGTCAGATGGGTATGTGGTGAGGATCCGGAAAACACAAAGTTGCTCATCAGCGGGGGTGATCCAAATGCAACTAACTGCATCCATGTTTTGGACTTTGGTTACACTTTAAAGTATTCTATTACCTCCAATGAAAAGCAAGGTGAATTCTACGCTCAACCACAGTCTGGCCAACGAATAATACCTCTTACTTTCTACTTGAACAATACAGGAGTTGAAGAAGTGATAACTACTATACAGCCAATTACTCAGAATGGGTCACCATACTTCAACGAGGGACACGACCCAGCATTTTTGTTATTGGTGTCGAATTTGGGACAAATATATCTTGTTTCCTTTTCAGAAAATGCTGGAGGTCAAGGATGCACTGATTTGGGGTCAGTTATTTTACCAACATCAATCTCATTTATCCATCCACCGTTATGTTCATTTGATGTGCAACAGGTTAGAAGAATTGATTGGTATAGTATAATGTCGAACAGAATATCTAGTGGAGTTTCATCAAAGACCAAAGAACTACTTTATGGTGGGATGTCAGCTCAACTCGGAAGCATTCAGAAACCTATTGGATACAGTGATATTCACCGAAACATTTTAATCACTGGTCATGAAAGAGGATTGGTTAGATTCCTGGACGTTTCAAAGGGTGAGCAGCAGGAATTAGAAGGAATTGTTCAAATAGGTCTTCGAGAAACGTTGTATGATTATGGTGATCCAAAATCATTGAGAGTTACATTTGTGTCTTGTGCATTTGAAAATCGCGAGTTATTAGTAGGATTGTTCTCCGGTGATGTTGTTATTTGTAAGTTTGGCAAGCACAACAGAAATGCGGGTATATCATCCTCAAAAGATTATAGTGGCTGTGAGATTCAACATTCAAATGGGAATGCCAAATTGTTGGATATTCATGATAGAATCCTGGGTTCTATTACTGCATCATCATCATTTTTACCCGTCAGCTTGTTGCAAGTTGAACCAAGAGAACAAATCTCGGTGCTTAAAATGAGTGAAGTGGGTTTTGGTGCCGTTGGTTATAAATCCGGTAGATTAGTCGTCTGTGATATATCAAGAGGACCAGCAGTAATTCTCAATCTTGAAAATATTAAAGAGCACTTGGTATCGATTCAAGGTAATTGTTATCCAACATCTATTGAATTTACCATTCAAGAATACGGTAACGAAGGCTACTCTTCCATTTTGTTATTAGTTGGTACCAATTGTGGTGGTAATTTAGTTATGTTCAAAATAGTTCCAATGGGAAATGGTGGGTTTGAGGTGATTTTTGCTGATAAGACTGCGCACTTAAACTACAGAACTACCGATGCTGGGGACAGTGAAGGGTCCTTTATTTCACAATTAATTCCAATCAACGCCACAAATGGTGCCTCAGCTATTGCAGACATGAGTACATTTAATAAACTTAGTCAGGGTATTCTTTTACCAGGATATGTTATTGCCACTTCGAGCCGAGATGTCAGAGTGCTTAAACTTCCTAAACAAAAATTGTCCCATAAAGTTATTGATGATACCTGTTTGAAAGTCAGTGTTGTGAATTATCGTGACCATGGTGTTGTTTTGGCTATTTTGGTAAAAACTGGGTTTGTCAAGCTTTGCTCGTTACCATCATTAGCTGATATTGCAAACATCAAACTTCCTAGTGAAGTATACCTGAAAGTGAAGGACTCATTGGAGTCTGGTACTGCCACCCAATCAGATCTTTTGCTGTCCGGAGAATTATTTATTAGAAGCTCCAAAACTGAATCGGTGTATGTTTGTACCCATGAAAAATCACGTTTCAAAGGGGAAGAGGAAACGGATAAGTTGTTTAATGAGAATGCGATTATCCCCCCACGTCCAAGTGCAAGTGCTTTGCTGTGGGCAAGGGGTCAAACCAGCTATGTTTCAAATGAAGATTTTACCAATTTGATAGCAGGTCCAAATAGAAAAGCACCCAAAAATATTGAATCCCAATTAGCTTACAACGTGAGTCCTGAAGCTAATCCTCAGAATAATTATGGTGGTTACAACCCACAAAACCGTACTAAAAGTCAAGATAAAATCAGTCCTTATGAGCAACCAGTTCGAAGAGGAACAGCTACTGGTGGCATCGGGGCTCAAGGTTTTATGAGAAGTGTTCAAAATGGTATTCAAACAGTAGAAGAGACATTCAATGATTATGCCAATCAAGCAAGTGAAACTATAACTGAAGGAGTCGCTGATCAAAAGAAAGCGATGTACAGTGCTGCAGTTAAAAGTAGATTTGGATTTTAAATAGCCTTTCCATTTATAATCAGTTTAGTTTTAAATTTATAATTTCGTTGTTTCAAATTTCAGGTGGTTGCGTAGAGTATGATCACAAAACCGATTGTGAGAGAAACGACAGGAGTAAAAAAAAAAAAAAATTATAAACGTAAACAAAGATCAAAAAAAAAAAAGACAAACAAAAAAAAAAAAAAAAAACAACAAGTTGAAATACATACAAAAAACACCACCGTAAAGACCCTTTAATTCATCATTTCCAACCAAATGAATAACAAAGAAAATTTACCAACAACACCTACAAGTAAGGGAGATAATTTCCCTCTTAATGCAGGAACACCTACATCTATTCACAAACTGCCATTGAAACTAATTTCCCCAAATAAGCTGAAGGGTAAACTAACCTTTTTGGAAAGCGATAACTTGGATGAACATTTTAACTTACTCCACACAACACACGAAGAGATACAACAACAGTTGTATAACATAGAGTTGAATTCCAAACAAACCAATGTTGATTTAGAGCAATTGTTTGATAGACTGAAGAATAACAATGAACATTTGAATAAACTTTTATCAAGTGTGGTGACCTATTCTCAGGAGGTAATGACAGAAGGTAATGCCACTAAGGCAGATATGAATAAGATCATTCAACGATTAGATAGATTGAGTGAGCAAGATAAGGCAGTTAATGTTGAAAGTGTCAAAATGAGTGTTGATAGTAGTACAATGGAAGAAATCCGTAAGACTATACAAGAAACTACAAAGGCAAACACCCCTGATCTTGACTCCATGAAAGTTGAGATTGCAAAGTTGAAAGAAATTCTTAGTACAGATAATGAGTTGATGAGTTCACAATTAGCAAAACAGGAAACCAAACAAGATGAATTGAAACAATTATTTGAAAAACAATTGCAAAAGTCTGAAGAAGTTGCCCAAATATTAGAAGGGACTGCTGGAATGGACCCAATTAAATCACAAATTCATAAACTTGAAAACTTGGCAGCGTCATTAGATCAAAAGTTACCTCCAACAGATATAGTACATCAAATCACCGCCCCGATCATTTCAGAATTACAAGCTGTTTCATTGGATGACAAAACTACTAAATTATTAGAGAGCATATTGGAAAGCACGAGGCAGGCAAAAGAAGTATCAACTCACAAGGACTCGACCCTTGAAGCTATTCTTCAAAAACTTGACAATCTAGAGAAGTCACAGATTCGCGTTGAGGATCGGGATCTTGAAAACAAGTACAAGGCATTGGAAGAAAAGTACGCGTTACTTTGTAAGAGTTATAACCAAAAGTTTGAAGACTTTAAGGAATTATTGGGCAAGTATAAAGAACTCCAAGAAGAAATTGAAAGTACACAGATTCCTACAACTAACCGAGAATCAAAGATGGAGAATTTAAAGAATTTCCACAAAATCAAGCTAGACGAAATTGAGAAAAATGACTTTGTTAGTGTTAGAAAAAGAATAGCAAGCACACCTTTAGTGAAGTTGCGGAACAATAATTTGAGTAATAACTCTGACGAGGAATCATAAATAATATATACAAGGATATTTTTTTGGTTGAAGGAAATACAATTGATAAATATATATATATACAAGAGTGAAACTAATTTTGAATGATCTTGTCCTTACCATCCATATATGGTTGTAGTACTTTTGGAATTGCAATTTCTTTGGTATCAGGATTATAATTCTGTTCAATTAATGCTACTATAACTCTAGGAACAGCCATGGCAGTACCATTAAGGGTTGATACATGCTTTGAACCTGTTTCACCTGGAATCTTATAACGAATCCCCAATCTTCTCGCTTGATAGTCTCCACAATTTGAACAACTTGTAAGTTCTCCCCATGAACCTCTACCTGGCATCCATGCTTCAATGTCATATTTTTGCATTGCTGGGGAACCTAAATCTGAAGTTGGCATATTGAGAACTTTTGCTGCAAGACCCAATTCCGTAATGATTTCCACTTGCATCTGTTTAAGTTGTTGTAATTCTTCACTTGATCTTTCAGGGGTGGTGAAATGAAACAATTCAACTTTGGTGAATTCATGGACTCTGTATAATCCCTTTGTGTCTCTTCCACTGGCACCTGCTTCGGCACGATATGATCGAGAAACACCGACATATTTCTTTGGAAAACTGGCATCTTCTGAAAATATAGTTGATGCATGAAAAGCGGCCAATGGAATTTCAGCCGTTCCAGTTAATGATTTCTTTTCATCTTCTAGCTCATAAATTTGCTTCTCGTTATTCTGATCGTTTGGTTTGAATCCACATGCATTAACAATCTCTGATCGAACAATAGATGGTGGAATAACCATGGTATAACCATGTTTTCTTGCTTTGGAAAGAGCATACTGAACTAATGCTTGTTCCAATAAAGCTCCATCCCCAATTAAATAATACCAGGAAGGTCCTGATACGTTTGACGCTTTTTGAAAATCAATAATTTTCAATTCTTCCCCAATTGTTTTGTGATCATATTTTGAAGATTCAGGAGTAAGTTTGGGGTCATTTACAGATTTGCAGTTAATAAATTGGTCAATTGACTCTTTCAATGGATCTTCTGGTGCATTTTGAGAAACATGATTCGGTAAAGCTTCAGCCTTGATGTAGATTTCCTCATCTAGTTCCTTCCATTTCTTTTCTAATGGTTTCAACTCCGATTTTATCTCTTCCAATCTCTGTTTGACCATGGCTAAATCTCCTGTGCCTCGTTTCAAAGACTCTGAAATTTCATTCCTTTCTCTTTTTAAGTTATTCATTTGATTGTACAATTCAATTTGAATCTTACGATTCGATACTATGAAATCGACATTCTGAATTAATTTTGATGATAACAATCTTCTTTCAATGGATCTCTTGTATTCCACTGGTCTATTAACAATATCATTGATATCTATTTGTGCTCTACGCAATATAGAAGTATTTTTGCCAGTACTCGCAAACCTGCGTAGTATTCTAATCATTGATCTGGTGAAATTTGGACTCATAAGTTAGTGAATTTTTTTTTTTTTTTTCCATTTTCCTTTTTCCAATTTTCTGTATTTCATGGTTTTCTCGTTTGTTTTAAATTCCTAGTGGATCCCGGAAATTTATGTCCGCAGAAAACGTGATTAAAAAATTTTACATAATCAATAGGAAGAACAGTGGGTATTTTTTTTTTATTTCGTTTTATATTATCATCAATTTTTTTTTCTTTATACATAAACATAATCTATCTAAATTAAGAATATCTTTTTATAGAATGGGGCACGGTCCCATCTTTCTTTTTCTTCTTGTCTTTCAAGATTCAAAATTTCTTCATCGAAAATGGTTCTTTCATAGTTGATGTCAATTTCACTAATTGGAACCAAAAGTCTCCATTTACGTGTCCACAACTTGTGAGCAACATAGAAAAGGATCAAGACAACAGCACCCAAATAGTTTTGGAAGAAAACAGCAGCATCTGGTTTCTTGGCTCCAATTGGATACAAAGCAATCCAGAATTGGGCCATTAAAACTAATGAAAACCAGACCAAAGCATAATACGAACCAAGAACTCCAGTAGATGCTTTATAACCTAATGCATCAGTGGAAATATTGTTATAAGCTAAAGCTTTTCTGAATCTGATATGAGAAATACAAATACCTCCCCAGGTGAAAACTTGAGACAAACCAGAAATGGCCAATAACCAGTTGAAAACAGTAACTTGTTTTTTATAGGTAGCAATGAATGCAAATAAACCGACAATAGTGGAAACTAACAATGCTCTGGAAGGTCTACCAGCTCTGTCAATATAATCAAACCATTTTGGTGCAAACCCTTGCTCAGCCAAAGATTGTAAAGTTCTGGAAGCTGAGTATAAAGAAGAAGATGCGACTGAGGTGACGGACATAAGAATGACGGAGTTGATAATGGATGGAACAGCTCTGACCCCATGAAGGGCAGCAGAAAGGACAAATGGAGAGGTGTTGGAACCACCACTTTCACTCATTAAACGATCGGAATTAGATGGAACAAGCAAACCAACCATAGTCAATGAACCCAAGAATAAAATGACAATTCTCCAGAAAACTAATTTACAGGCAGTTGGGATAGCACGTCTTGGATTAGGTTGTTCAGCAGCTGATAAAGCAATGAATTCAGTTTGACCAAATGAGAAACAAGCAGTGACAAACACACTACAGAATCCTTTGAACCCATTTGCAGTTGGACCGGGGTTGTGCCAGTATCTACCACCAATATAATCATGTTCTGGACCACCCCCGACATTAACAACAATACCCATGATAATAAAACCAACCAACAAACACACTTTACACAGACCAATGATAAATTCGAATTCCCCATAAGCTTTGGAACCAATAAAGTTGACAACAACAATGACAACAAAAAATATCGCTACCCAAGCATCTGGATCGACTCGTTCTCTACTAATCCAATATTCAATAGTAATAGCAGCGGTGACCAATTCAATACTAATAACACTCAACCATTGGATACAGTAATTCCATGAAATGGCAAAATTGACACTATCTTCGACAAACATTCTTGTATATGAGTTGTAACCACCGGATAATTCAGAATAATTCACAGCCATTTCACCAGCTGCTTGTAAAGTTGGGTAGACGAATGAACCCCCAATGGCGTACCCAATAATAGTAAACAAAGGACCTGCTTTATGTAAAACTTGACCGGAACCAACCAAAAGACCGGTACCGATACCTGTAACCAATGCCATTAAAATTAAATGACGCTTACTGATACCTTTGGCCAATTGTTTTCCTGCAGCTTCGTCACCATCAATTTCTTTTCTTCTAAATGAATCAACAAGGCTCTTGAAAGCACCTTTTGACTTACTATCAATGGAATCATGTGTGACATATTGCTCATCGGAACCAGAGAAGTTTCCGAATTCATCTGGCTTCACTTCTTTTGAGATGGTAGGATCTATCTTCTTTGACATAGTATATAAGTGATAGTTATTTACAAACCAAAATGTAAAACTTTAAAAATAAAAAATATAAAACCAAAAAACTAATTAAACAAACAAATTAATGAAAACTAAAATGAAAGATTAACAAGTAAACAACAATACAATTGTATTTGAATTGTGGTAATTAAAAAAAAGGGAAATAAAATAGAAAAAAAAATTAATTTAAGGAAATTATAGAAAACAAACAGAGAAAAAAAAAACCTATTAGTGGAAAAAAAATCAAGTTTTTATATAAAAAAAAAAAACGAATGCCTCTTCGGAGTGACCTGTACATCTAAAGCTAAAAAAAATTACATGAATTGAACTTCATACGTAAATTGAAAAAAGAAATGGGGAGGTGGAGAATAAAGTAAGACTATTTCGTTTCTTATCACCAATTTAGTTGGTATCGATTCATGACTACGAATCTTAGCTCCCCGTAATCTCTGATTCCGTCCATTTGATTTGTTGGAGAATCCCATTCAAACGAAACGAACGGGTCTTTTGCATGAGCTCTCTAAACAAAATGCCTTGAGGATTTACCAACTGATCGCGTGTTGGTTGTGGTAACAGGTGTTTGTGTTTCTTTAGCTTTTGGTCACCATGAGGCATTTTGCAAGTTACCAATTCTCGGAACAATTGAGATGACAAAAGAAACTCTTTTTTGCGGCAAATACAAGTTCTCCTGCACATAGCTTTATGGAATTTTTTTTTCTTTTGTTGTTTCCCCTTTGTGACGTCAAATTTTCTCCTGCAAAAAAAAAAAGTAACGCAACAGAAAGAGAAATTTAATCCGAATCTGAGTCAGCTTCCGAATGTAACAAAAGAAATGAAAGGACAGGGGAGACAGGGCAGAAGACAAAGGATACACTTGTAGATCATATTGTTATTAATTATATGATCTAGAGATAAAGAAAGATAAAGAACGATAAAATAATGATAGTAATAATGTACATAATTATTGATACTCTGATTGTGGGCAATTTTGCTGAGAGCCTTTATGACTATTATTCTCATGTTGTATAAGCCTCCAAACTTTAAGGCATTTTCTTCATCAAAGTGATAATAATCCAAAAAAAAAGAAATCCAAAAAAAAAAAAAAAATCAAAAATTCGCTGGGATTCTGACGTACCAAGTTACACGAAAGTATCGATTCCTTTTATCCATTTAATATTTCGTGGGGGTGTTTAATGATTACAGAATTTATAACCTGTGGTTATAGCATTTTGTTTCTCTAATTCGATGCTTTGATTTCTTGGTTTTCATTTTTCACACCAATGACAGACAATAGACGAGCAAAAAGTGTACGTATATATTGCGCTGATGCGGATGTGTCTAAAGTTTTTTTTTTTTTTTTTTTTTTTTTTTTGTTAATTTCATCTCCGGTTAAGGAGCAAATCATGATGTAGCGCCTCGCAATTTTTTTTTCTTGTTCCGGAGTAAGCGTTCTAGACGTATGGAACGATTGTTTCCTATCTTCTTTATCTAAGTTGACCTGTCATAACCCCTGTATATCATACTCTTTTACAAGGTTTTCCACTGCAGATCACATGTCATGACGATTGGAATGTATAGAGTCAATTAATAAAATAATAAGCGTAGTAATTATTCTTATCTATATACATGTGCATTCTAATCTCTGACTAATCATAAATTACTATCAGAACCAATAATTTTCATACTAGTGGAATCGCCTTTCTTTAATTCTTCAATATCTAAAGCATCCGCAAGACATTCCCATGGATCTCTAGTACCACCCCATTGTAATATGCTCTCTTTATATTTTCTACCTGCTTCTCTGCTCCATGGATCAACAGCAAACAAACCACGCCATATCTTGTCAGCAATGGCTCTGTCCAACAAATATGAATAATAGACTGCTCCATATGAAAACAAATGTGGAAATTTACCGTGCCAAGTTGACCACTTATCTGCAAACACTTTCAATTCTTCTTCAACTTTGTGATAAATCTCAGTAGAATCGACTTCGTACAACCCTTTTTCTAAGGACTTGACAATAGCTTCATCATGCAATTTCTGGTCCAAAGTAGCCATTTTTGACTGCATAAATGTTTCACAGGCGTCTAACATTATTCTATGCTTGTGGGCATCTTCAAGTAGTGCTGGGGGTAATTTCTCACCTGTTTCATAATGACATCCTAATTCACAGATAACCCTTGGATCCTTGCTGAAAGATTCCATCAAAACTGAAGGTAACTCAACAAAGTCAGTGGCACATCTAGTACCTGACAAGTTATGTAGCTCGGTACGTCCTATCATTGAGTGCATGGCATGACCCATTTCGTGAAATATTGTATCCACTTGATCCAATGATAATAATGTAGGCTTTTCATTATCAATTCCAGCAAATCTACCAATCGAAAATGAATGGCCCTTAGAAAAATTACACACAAGTGACACTACCGGCAATTGGTAATCTCCATCCAATTGTACCAACTGGTTCATTTCGCCAATAGTCTCACTATCGATTGATGTATTCAATCGTCTCAGACACACAATAGTGAAATGTGAAGGTAATACTTTTGGAGACCAAAAATCAAGATACAAAAACCCTAAAGTTTTGCTACTCAGATTATCAACAACCTTGACTTTACGAACTTGGTGCGAATCCCATGTTTCCCCCTTCAATGCAGCAACTGGAACAAGGGAAATATCGTACAATGCGTTGAAAAGTTTATCTAATCCCGCAATCACCGTACCTATAGAAAAGTACTCATTTATGTTGCCCGTAGATGAAGAAGCTGCTTGTCTATGCTTCTGTAATTGACCCAACAAGTAATCCCTGTCCCATGGTTTAATATCTTCGACAACATCTTCCGCTGGCGTTGACTCGTGTTTCAATTGTGACAACTGTTTCAACTCTTCTACAACTCCCTTTTCTTTGAGTGATTTTTGAAGATTTGACAAGAATGTAATAACATTTGTTGGGTTTTTTGCCATTTTATGCTCCAATTGATAATCCGCAAATGAATTATATCTCAACATTCTGGCCAATAATGCTCTGTAAGATACAAATTTATTCAACACCTCAATCTGTTCCTCTGGCGAGTTGTGTAAAGATATCCATATTTTTTTGCGCAATGAATCTGACTTGCAGTTTGTCAAAATGGAGTATGGGATATTAGCGATTAATGGTACGTACATTGATCCTGTGGTTCTTGGGCCATCATATTTTGATTGGTACAGTTTAATCTCCTTCTTTAATTGTGGGTCTTCTATGCTTTCCCATTCTGAAGTATTGACCGTGCACCAGTAAGACTGTAGGTTATTTATCTGGTTACCAAACTGTGACCCTAGCAATGAGATTTCTTGAGTTATGGTAACAAAATTTTCTCTGGTTTGGGGATCCATGTGTATACCAGAGCGTTCAAAGTCTTGTTTCAAATACTCTCCTACCTTGATCTCCTCTTCACTTAACCGTCTGGTTATTGCAGGGTTATTTAGAATGTCACGAAGGTTGGTGTATAGTTCAACATTGGTATTAAGCTGATTCATAAATTCAAACATAATCTCATGAGTCTGCTGAGCAGCATTCACCCATTTCAGACCAGGGTGTACAACTCGAATAAACTCCGCAACATCTATCACACGACACAAGATATCTGATAACTGGTCCAATTTCTTGATATATTTTAGTTGCCCGTCGACTGTGTTTGCCTCCGACAACATATTCTTAACTAACTGTTTTGCTTCCGATAATGAACTCTTTGAGAATTCTACCAACCCTTGTGGAGTAGTCAACCGTTCATTCAGGAAAAGACCTGTCTGTGGAGTGCTGAACAAAGTGGAATTAGAGCCAAGCCTGGTAAAGTCATTAAAGTATTTTTGATCATCAAAGACTTTTCGAATATGATTGTAATTCGAAGGTAGCGTAGAAGTAATAGGAGCAGTAGTGGTGGCCAACTTTCTGCAGCTTAGACTTACCACCAATGGTAATCTCTTAGCATAACGCAGTGCCGCTATACTAGACCTCATTGTATTTGAGTTTGTATAAAAATTATAATATTGGCTAGAGATTTTTATTTGAGTCGAGAAAAATTTCCTGAAGACAGAGAGACAGAGAGAGAAAAAAAAAAAGAAACACAAGAATTCTTTGTGTCAGAAAAAATGAGTCTTCCGGGATAGGCTAGTATCGTGATTTATCACTGGGACGGCTAGCTGAGGGTGACAACAATACCATGTCTAACAAGGTTGCAAAACTCAACTGAAACTATATTGTCCATTTTCAGATGCAATGGCAATGAGATATGAGTATATTACTAGACGAAGCAACAACTAATCATGATAGACACATCTTGCACTACTCTTATTCTCTGGGGAATTAATGGATATACATAAATCAATGAAAACTTCCCACCTTCTGTATCACTGGTATGGCAATTTCAGACCGTAGATCACTTAATAATAAAGATCAAAAGAATGCAGTTCTTGTTGCTTCATTGAAGTGTTGTAAATGAGAATTTTTTTTTTTCGGTTTTTGTTTGTTGTTTACATCTCGTTTTGATTTGCTTCTTGCAACAGAGACAGTAAGAAAAAGATTGAGCCTGTTTTTTTTCTCTCTCTCTTTAGATTCTTGTTCTTTTTCTTCATCTGCGATTTTTTTTTTTTGTTTCGCTTTCTTCCCTTTTTCCCTTTCTCACAAAAACTCAACAAACAGACAAACAAAACAAGAATCAAATATCATAATACAAATTCCTCGTGCTCATTTACCTGTACTCCTAATTCAGTTTGCCTATTCTTTTCTCATCGTTTCTTATAATTGTATAATTATACTTGCTAAATCTTCTTGATTCTCCTTCTGTCCCACCCCCTTTCCACCAAATGATAAAAATATGTCTGGCTTAGAAAACTTACAAAACTTGTCGATCAATCCATCCGCAACTCAACAACAACAATACCACCACCAGCAGGCACAATATGCTCAACAGCAAGCTTTGAAAAGAAGAACTGCTAGAGACTATCAATTTGGAGCAAGAATAGGAGAAGGGTCTTACTCGACCGTATACTCGGCCTTGGATAAATATACCAATCGAACTTACGCTATCAAAGTTTTATCCAAACGACATATCGTCAAGGAAAATAAGATCAAATATGTAAACATAGAAAAAACAACATTAAACCGTTTGGGACAACAGCATCCGGGTATTGTTCAATTATATTACACATTCCAGGATGAAAGCAGTTTATTTTTTGTTCTTGACTTTGCTGAGTATGGTGAGCTTTTATCAATCATTAGAAAATTTGGATCCTTATCAGAACCGGTGCTGAAGTTCTACATGTGTCAGATAGTAGATGCGGTAAAGTTCATTCATCTGAAAGGTGTTATCCATAGAGATTTGAAACCAGAAAATATCCTTGTTGGACACGATTTTAATTTGAAAATCACAGATTTTGGTGCAGCGAAATTGTTAGATACTAATGATGATCTGTCAACAACTGAGAAGATTGATTACAACTCAATTGATCCTGCTATGCGTGAAGTGTCTACAAATGATAGAAAGGGTTCCTTTGTTGGCACTGCCGAATACGTGTCTCCCGAATTGCTCAAGTATAATATTTGTGGATTTGAATCAGATGTTTGGGCGATAGGGTGCATGTTGTATCAATTTTTCCATGGTGTGCCTCCATTCAAGGGTAATACTGAATACTTGACATTTGAGAAAATTATTAATCTTGATTATTCTTACAAATCTCCAGTCCCATTACCTTCGGATGTGATCCAAATAATTGATCAAATTCTTGTTATTGATCCAGCTCAACGCATAACAATTCCACAGATAATAAATTCTAATTGGTTTTCTGAAGTGCCGTGGGACGATCAAAACTATATCTGGCACAGAAAGGTACCTAGATTTGAACCTTTTGGTTCTGTCTCTCAGCCCCCACCTGCAATCCCAATGCTCAAAAACGGTACCAATAGAAGTGCTAGCAAGTCCAATTCTTATCATCAATTACAATCACAAATCCAAGCTTCTGAATTTGGATTCATCCCGTCAATAGCTGCTAAGAAGTCATACAAACCACCTACAGCTATAAAGAAGAATGTGCCAATTGCACCAACCAACCAAATGGCTTATAACAATGGTAACTTTTCACCATCTCCAATTATTCAACCATCAGCACCTCCTCCACAAACCCCACCATCCCCAAGTAGGGGCCAACAATTCCAACATCAACAACAGCAGCAACAGAACAGAAATGCACCTGCAATTAGTGCAGCTGCTTCTTCAATGCACCATCAAAATGGAAATACTCAAGTAAGACAACAGCAACTGGTACCTCCACAACAACTGCAAGACCAAACGCCAGTGGAAAAGAAGCGTATGAGTAACATAAGAACAAATACTTCGTTTGCCAATTTGGTTCCGAGTTCAAATGGAAATGCAAGAGTCCAACAACAACAACAACAACAGTCGTATCACGCGCAACCGTATATAACTCCTCAAACACAAGTTAATCGTTCCAATGAACAAATATCAGGAAAAAACGCTGCAGCTGCGCTGGCTGCGGCCTTTGCATCCAAACCACCTACTTCAACTCGTCCTGTTATTGCTCATACTCCACCTCCCTCAACTATCCCACCTGCTCGACAACAGCAGCAGCAACTACAAACTTCATCCAAATCTCCAAGGATCGCACAGGCAGCACCAAAAACAACAAAAGAAAATTGTGTTAAGTTCAAGGAGATTTCAGAGCTTTTAAGACCGGATGAAAAGATATTGAAAATGGACACATTATTCAAACTGGTGTTGGGCCATGAATATCTCAGCAACTCTCAATCTGAAGTGTTGGATGATTCTGTTCTTGACAAATTAACTACTGAAAATAAAGGCATTCTTACTGGAGACGCTAAAATCGTCATTGCTGTTGTTACCAATATGGCAAGAGTATTCTTCATTGATGCATCTTTGAATGTCATGTTGGTTGATTTGAAGGCTAATAAAGGGGCTGATTATCTGATGTATGACTATGAATTTGAGAACGTTGTGGATGATGATGGGAATATTATTCCTGAAAGTGACGAGGTGTTTGGTTATTTGATTATTGAACTCGTTAAAGAAGGGGGAGATTTGGTCTTTTTGAAAAGAATCAGCGACAGAGAAAGAACCAAGTTGGGTAATATGTTAAAAGTTGTGGATAAGCATGGACACGATGTAGTAATAGGAACAAGTCATGGGTGGATAGATTGCTTATTAATTGCAAAAGAAATATCCATGGAACAATATTTAGAAGTCAGATCTGCGACTTCAGGTGCATCATCATCAAACAATAGTATCTATGATGTCAAGACAGAGAAATCTAAAAAGAAATCGTCATCTTCATCTAGTTCTAAGAAAAAGGCTTCTAAATCAAAGAAAAAACTGACATCAAATGGGTATTCAACCCCGCCGCAAGGACAATCATCAAAATTTGCATATGCTGCAGCAGCAGCTGTTCATAATCACAAATGATAATAGACTTGACCTGACCCTATTTAATTATTATTAGTATTCAACATTTTGTTAGTATATATTAGTTTATTGTTGTCATTCAAAAAGAAGAATTCGATTTGTTTTTATTTATAAATACATCATTGTTATAGATACACTATATGTCCATTATATACAAGGTTGACTGTCACAAATATCCGTAGACGTCCATTTAATTGGATTTTTTAGGAAAGACGGCATTGTTAAATGCCTGCATCCAGTCTTGATAAAAACACTTATCATTTAAAACTTCAATTGTTTGTTCTCGGATAATCTTCTCTACCATTGCTTCATTTTGGGTCCAACTATCTAAAGCATCACATTGTGCAAATTGCTCTGAAATCTTCTTTTGATATGTCTTGTAAGCATAGGGGTCAGTTCTGAGATCGAACTTTTCTGTAACTTCAGCTGCATTGTCTAGATTATATGACAATGTAGTGACATTTTCGACCGTTCTACCCTGGGAAGTATGGTCTCTTAAATCTTGTGAATATTTGGAGCAATAGTCAATTATATCCCCGCGTAATTTCCATTGAGGCACAATTTCGTCTTGAAAATACAGCGAACATTCTGATTTCTTAAGTTCATTCAAATGGGGTCTGATTGAGTCGTCAGTCACATGCCTAGATAGTCTAAGAAATGCTCTGATTCTTGAAGACGAAATACAACCCTCTGGTGTCAATAGATTAGATGGTACTTCTAGTTCTGATTTATTCTGTGGTCTTGGAGGTGTCATAAAGAAGGTGTTATTCTTCAGTTAGAATCAAATGACTGTTGGAAATAGCTTTCTCCACTGAAAATCTTCCCCCTTGAAGGCAATAAGAAAAAAAAAAAATAAGAAAACAGTGAAAGCATGCGTGAGCTTTCAAACAGTCAAAAAAAAAAAAAAAAAAAAAAAAAAAAATTCTGACAGTTCGTGTCGACATAATAAACAGCAAGTCAACTTTCATAATGACATTACTACAAAAAATTGAAAGTGATGATCCAACAACCAAGTATTTGTTTCATTTGGCTATCTGTGGAGAGGTGATATATACGATCGAAAAATTAGACGTACAATCCGAATCTTGCACTACGAATGAAAAGTTCACCAATACCTTAAACAAAAATAATTTGAGTTCAATAAAGTTAATACTTGAAAAGAGGTTACAAAAGCTATGCAAATGTGATCATCTTTATGAAAACGATGGAACTAGAAAGGGCTCCAAAATTGATTTTATTGAACAGCTTTTGGTTGGCAAACAAACAGGAATGTATGAGTACCCTGTTTCAACTACTACTGAAGAATTGCTTAAAGAAATCAACGGCGAAGGACCATCCGTGGATAAATCTGAGTATTCTAGACCACAAGAATTATATGCAAAGTTACGGTTGATGTTATTGCAAGCATTGGAACAAAGCCCTGATTTAGTAATCGACAAATCCAAAGGTATTGATGACAACTTGTATCCATATTTAGTGGCGTATTTCAATGAATTGAAATCAGAAAGTGAATTTTCCAGTTTGTACGAAAGTGGTATCAAATATTTTGGTTCTTCTCTATCATCACCGTCTGTTCTGTTAGAAAAATTATTGGATTCTTTCATCAAAGTCTTGAATTCCCATTTAGAAATCCTAACTGCTGGTTTTGGTACTAAAAAACACAACCAAAGAGAAACCTTGGATTCATTGAGAGAACTAGGTAATAATTTGATGGCCAATCTGGCATACGCACAGGCTATCAAGGTTTATACACAGGCATTAGAGATCAAGCCAGTTTTAAGTGACGTCGATTTCCCCCAGCTTTATACAAACCGTGCCATCGCGTTTATCGGTCTTAACTGTGTTCCTGAAGCAATCAGTGACTTGAACGCAGCATTAGTTTTGGATCGTGTATTCACCCCTGCTTGGACACAATTGGGCTATTGTCATTTGTACATGGGTAATTCCTTGGTTGCGTTGGAAAGTTATGTTACTGCATTGAAGACTGCTGTGGGTGAAATATTACCGGAAGGTTTCCCTCAAGAGGAATTGGTAATTGAGCACTATAAAGAAACCAAAAAACAATCGTTGTTACCTCAGTTTGTGAAAAGATTAAGTAGTGCCATTGCCTTGACCGAGAAAAGGGCGTATCAACAACATATGTCAGATCAAACAATTAGAAAACAGCTCAGCGATGTGAGACGAATTTTGGCACATTTAAGAGCCTTGGGTCCGGATTCGGATAGAGATGATTTCACATATATTCCTGTGTACAGAGATTCTTCGTTGAGAGATGTCTCTATGAGAGCAAATACTCAACGTCCAAATATTCTTACCCCTGAAGTTACTCAAAACTTACTCGCTAGAAATGGTATGGAAACTTCGGTTATAACCCCAGTGGAGACATTTAGAAGACGAGAAGATACTCGTCAAAGTAATGGTACTGGCACTCCTAGCGACGATGAGCCAGAGGGCCCTTTTGAGTTTGACTTCAATAGAGCAATGCCAAATGCTGTTAGTTTCGCTGAATTATTCAGGCCCGGTTCCAGAGCAACTCCTGGTACAAATACAACTAGAAACGCGGAGACTGATAGAAATACTGAGTTCAATAGGTCCAGTGTGACTTCTAATGAAAGAACACTGCAAGAAAGTAGTGGTCAAGGTGGAAGTAGACCGACCACACAAATAGTCGACGAAGGTCCTAACCGTAGAATAGTTGTTGAAACAAACGCTACTGGAACTGGTGCAAGTGTCGGTGCAACCATTGCAAATGCAATTTCACAGGCCTTTTCAGGTAATGCTAATGACGGTGGCAATGGTGGACCAGTTCCAATGATTGGTCAAATTATAATGGATCATTTGCAACAATCTTTTCCAGATAGTAGATTAAGAATGGTTAATGAGAATGGAACTGTCCAGCCACTGGGAAATACACAGACGAGGAATACTAGTAATAATAATAACACCTCACAAACAAGAGGCAACAACAGTGCAAATACCAGTAACCCAAGTACAGATAATGATGTTGAAATGGGGGATGTACCTGATTTAGATTGATATTCTTTTTTTTTTTTTCTACATGTTATGTATAGTTAATTTTTTTTTTTTCTACTTTTATTCACGAATTAAAATTCTACTACTGTACATATTTACCTACATCGTTTAAACAATGCAATATTATTTTACTTTTTGAGGTTGAAATGAGAGGAGAGCATACTGTTTATTTCTTCTCTTTCTTGGATTTTTTATCTTTTTTATCCTTCTTTTCTTTCTTTTCTTTCTTATCCTTCTTCAGTTTTTTGGATGATTCTTCTTCTTCATCGTCATCTCTCTTTCTCTTCTTGTCCTTCTTCTTGTCTTTCTTTTCTTTCTTCTTCTTATCTTTCTTGGACTTCTTTTCTTCAACTTCTTCGGTTTCAGATTCTTCGTCATCAGAATCAGCAGTAGTAGCGGCAGTTGCTTCAGTAGTTGGAGCATCGGCGTCAGCATTGTATGCACGTGCTTCAGTTATGTCAATCTTTGGTTGTTCTCTGACAACCTTTGAAGTGGTTCTCATGTCACGTCCTTCTAACTGACTTAATCTACCTTCAACTTTAGCTCTGTTTTCCAAACCGAAATCATCGGATTCATCTCTTTCTTCATCGAAACAATCATATCTTAATGAAATGGAAGCCTTGGCAGCCAAAGTTCTGGCAATTCTACCCTTGTTTTTACCACTGGCTTGACCAACAATTGATGCATGGTAGATAATACCATATTTTGGAGTATCATGTTTGGTTTTCAATGCTCTAAACAAAGCCTTTTCAGCACCCAAAATTTGGACAGTAGAAGCTGGAGCTTTAGCCAATGAGGTCAATGAACCAGCATGAGCAATCAATCTAGCACCAACCAAGTCACCAACAATAGCACTTAAATTTGGAGCAATAGCCTTCATACGAGAGGATAAGTAGTTGGACAATTGTTCTCTGTAAGCAGCAAAATCAACAATTTGTTCAGCTAAAGCTTTGATATTGCTCAAATCATCTTCGGTGATTTCAGTACCCATGGAGACTTCAGCAGCAGTCTTAACTTGTTCTTCAACTTCTTCTGGTAAGATCTCTGACAAGTCAGTTTCGGAAGCATTGGATCTAACACCCATGGTCAAAATGATTCTAGCGTAGGCAACAGAGTCGGTGATCATTTTAGCCAACTCTGGGAAATGCCAACCATACCATTCTTTACATCTCATGGCATAAGTGTTAATTTCTTTATCCAAATCATCCAACAATGCAATAGCTTGGATGATCATAGTGTCAACTTTATCAGCAGAAAATTTCAACTTGTGACGACCAATAGAGTGAGCCAAACCCAAGGACATTTGTTTTAAAGCAGAATCATCCAAACCTGGTAATAATTCTGGCAAAAATTGTTTAATGGCTCTTTGCAAATCCAAAGAGGCGGCATCGCTAACAACTTGGAAATTTAAGCCCAATTTGTTAATAGCATTACCCAACTTGGCTTCAGAGACAATCAAGGTTGCCTTCTTGTCACTTTTAGCATCTTCCAATAATTTTTGTAAACTTTCAGAAACTTTACCTTCAATAATAGAATTAGCTTCTTCCAAAGCATTAGCAGCAGATTGGAACTTTTCAAAACGATGAATTTTGAATTGTTCGGCAACTTTTTCAGCAGTGTTCAAGTCTTCAATCAAAGTAGCGGATTTGTGAATCTTTTTATCGGAAGCTTTTAATAAAGCATAACCGGCAGCAGTTTCTGTTAAAACGTAAGCCATTGCAAATATATGATATTATTAGTTTGTCTTATATGAAAATATTATATATATCTAGGTTGAATCAATGAGGGGGGGGTGTAACAGTAACAAAGTTCTTATTTAAAATTTCTTTAATCTATAAGTAAATTTGAATACTATCTAGTGGTTGAATTTAACGACAAAGGTAGTCTTAAAATAAAGGATTGCTAGGTATATATATGAAAGATTCCAAGAAGATGGACTAATGCTTGTAAAGTAGTATAGTTCCCTTTTAGTTTTTTCATCTTTTTTTTTCTTTCGTTCTCTCTGAGTGCAATGAAAATTTTTCGATGAGGAACAAAAAAAAAGAGATGGGGGACTGCAGATAAGAAATATGTAATTGGTAGCGATGAAACTGGAGTACTATTTGTCTTACATGGAATATTAATCACCCATAGTGAATGATCTGAAATAGAAACTCACCAAAATTTGTTTTTCTCTGTATTCTGCTACTTCAGTTATATTCTGAGAAGTGTTTGGATACCCTTTACAACTATGTATCACGTGATGCGGCGATGTATTATCTGTTTTTTTTTTTTTTTTCGTCGTCAAGATATGAACATAACATCATTCAATCAATAACTCTGAGTCTGCTATGGATCCGTTGTCATGTCTGTTGTATTCTGATGTTCGTCATTCAACAAAATCTGTTTTCCCACCAGTCAAAAAGTGTACGCGGAATTTATCGCTCTACGTTTCTTTTTTTTTTTTTTGGTTTGTTACACAGTTTTTTATTTTATTATTTTTCTGTCTCCTCTTGCACTCGTATTCTGATTTGTTTTGATTAGAGCTGCTACTAGTTTTAACACCAATGACAAACTCAAGGTCGGGCGACAACATGTCTGGTAATCCAAAACGAGTTAAGGATTCAAATGAGGCGATTATACCCGTCAAGAGACTCAAGAAAGTCGCGTATTTCCCAGTGAATAATTTAACAGAGCCCATTCACAACAAAACCGCTACAAACACCACGAACCAGAGATCCCCAATACGACCACTTGATCCTAATACGCTTAAATCGAAAATACTGCCTGTTTCAGAAATAAAAAAGAAAAACTACAGCGATCAATCTCAATCACAGAAACAACAAGAGTTGAGTTTTCTACAAGAAAATTCGGATGATAGCTTTGACGGGATCAGATGGAAAGAAAGTCCAGGTAGTGAAGATAAAACACGCGTTCAAGGTGATAAAAGTCAGGGTAACGGATTGCCATCCTCTCCATTGAAGAATATATGTCCTTCTACGGAAGAAGAAAATGTTGATGATCGTACTGCGGACGTGTTGAATAAATATGGTACGATATTCAGCAATTCATCTATGTTACCCACAGCTTGTCTAAGTAAGTCGTGTTCTGATATTGGCCAATTGCAAAGCAATACTAAGAACATGTACCAAGATATACCACAAGCTAGACGAGCAAAATCAGGAGAAGATTTTAGAACGAAAAAGAAAGTGACACCAATCACAGAATCATTTCAAAGTACTTTGAACTCATGGATAAATAAATTTGAAGGTGACCCGGTAGATGAAGTATCAAAGAAATCCAATAATAAAGACGCTGTCGCAAATGCCACACTTCCATCAGAAGAGGATCCGTTTTCTGATGACGATGATTTAATTCAGGTATTACAAACACAGAGTCAAGTCAAGTTTGAAAGAGCACTTCAGAATAGAGTCACTACTGAAGCTGTACCATCTGACAATGATGATAGTTCTGAAGATCCATTTAGCGATGACGACTCGGAATTGATGGAATTGTTGACAACCCAAGCTCCTACATCTACTTTTTCCAAATTTGGACGATCGTTCAAGAACGGCATTAAAAACATGGAAAAGTTGATGGTTGATAAAGACATATCTCTTGATAACGAGGATGAATTGAAGGATTTGGTGTACGATAGACCAATGGTTAGTAGATACAAGATTATTCGAATCACTGAGAATTTTTTTGGGGATCAACAGGAACGACAATTTATTGTTGATGTTATAAATCCAAATAACAAAAAATCGAAATTGGTTGTCCGAGGAGATTATTGTGAGTTGGAATTACAGAAGAATGATATTATTCATGTAATCGTAACGCATGCGTCTAACCCGCAATTAATTGACAATTCCCATAACTTGTTAATTTGGAATCCGGATATTTTGATTTCAGCTACAAGCATTGCTCAACAAGTTGGATGTCCCAGAAAAACGGTTATTCTTTCCCGATACAAGTTCCCTGGTGTTCTGTCTAAACCTATTATTGTTGGTGAAATAGTCCACTACATTTTTCAAGAATGTATTTGTAAAGAGAAGTGGACATTTGACTTCATGAACAATGTGCTAGATGAACTCTTAAAAGAATATCTTTTGGCTATATTTGCTATTGAAAAAAATGTTGAAGAGATCAGGGATGAAGTAGTTAAACATTTTGAGTATTTGGAAACTTGGTTCGAGAGTTACTACAAGAAACCTTTTTCCAATTCTAGTTATATCGAGGAAGCTTCTGAGAAGAATCCTATTAAGTTTGCAATTGAAGAAGCGTTAGATATCGAAGAAGAAATCAAATCACCAATGTTTGGTATTAAAGGGAATATAGATGCCACTGTGACAGCACGATTTGAAGGCAATGGTGTGAATGGTAAATTCATGGTTCCAATGGAAATCAAAACTGGTAAATCATATATGTATCACAACGCACAAGCTTCTTTATATGCATTGTTGTTCCAGGATAGGTATGACTTTTTGATAAAATCCTATTTGCTTGTCTATACAAAGGAAAAGGTCACTCAGAAGTGCAATATTAGAATTTCAGATTTACGGTCACTAATAATTCTTCGAAATAAACTATCACAATACATCAAGAGTAATATAGGGTTACCGCCGTTGGTCAAAAATTCCGAATGTGACAGATGTAATATCAGAAGTGAATGTATGACATTGAACCACTTGGTGGAAGAAGGTACTAAAGAGGAATCTGGAATTGGTGAAGATGAGTATGAGGCTATCACCAAAGACATTTTTGATAATGACGTTTACCGAGACTATTTTGTGTTTTGGGATCACTTAATAGCATGTGAGGAGGATTTCCTGAGTAGAACAGTAAAACACTTGTGGACAATGACGGGTGCCGAAAGACAAGATCAAGGCAAGTGTTTTGATCGTATGAAAATAGTGCAATCAAATGACAAGGAAACAAATACGTTTCTTTACGCAATTAGACATAGACATAAGTCTGATTCCCCGCAGTTTGAGTATACTTTTGAGAAAGAAGAGGGTAAAGAAGTTAGGGATTTGTTGAGATCACAATTGAATGTCGGAGACAAAGTGATCATTAGTGATGAAGCCGGTCAATTTGCTATTACAACAGGCAGTATTGCAAGGTTGTCGCGCAGCGCCATCACCATTAATACCAGAAGACGAATTCTCACATCGGACAACAAGTTGAAGAATTATAATAATAGCAATAACCAAGTATTTCAGAGTGTTATACGACAATCACAGTCTAAAGCTAAATCTGGTGGTCAAAAAACATTTAGAATCGATAAGGATGAGATGTTTTATGGTCTAGGTCTAGCAAGATACAATGTCTTGAATCTATTTCTTCCTAAAGGGGCTGCAAAGACTCGTCGGATGGTTGTTGATTATGAAAAGCCAACTTACAAAGACAAACCTGAATTTAAAATTCCAGACAAGCAAAAGTTCAACAGTGACCAAATAGCCGCAATGGAAAAGGTATTTAGCACTAATGATTACGCGTTGATATTGGGGATGCCTGGAACTGGTAAGACAACTGTGATTGCAGAACTTATTAGAATAATGGTGTCCGAAGGGATGTCGGTGTTGCTTACGTCATACACAAACTCTGCTGTCGATAATATCTTGCTTAAGCTTAAAGATTTGGGGGTCGACTTTTTAAGAGTGGGGTACCCACTGCGTGTTCATAAGGATATCCACCCTTATATTCCTGATAACAAGCACATTAAAACCTATAACCAATATTTCGACACATACAATTCACCAAAGGTTGTTGCTACCACGTGTCTCGGAATCACAGACCCTTGTTTTAATTTAAGAGGCTCATTTGACATATGTATAGTTGATGAAGCATCACAAATTGCATTGCCAATCAACTTGGGCCCCTTGAGTTTTTCAAAAAGATTTGTTATGGTTGGTGATCATAATCAATTACCGCCATTGGTTAAGCATCCTTCACAAAGCGTGAAGCAAGCATTGTCTCAGTCTTTATTCAAGAAGTTGAGTACAATACACCCAGAATCCTTAGTCGAATTGACTTATCAGTATAGAATGTGTCAAGACATTATGGAAGTTTCGAATATTTTGATATATGGTCAGAGATTAAAATGTGGTTCTGAGGAAGTTGCAAAGAGATCATTGGTAATACCACATCCTGGTGTTTTGAAAACCTTACAATACGACAAGTCGCTAGCAAGAGAATCTCGATGGATGGAAACAGTTTTTGAACCAAGTAATAAAGTTTTATTTCTTGATCATGACAACCTTCCGGCTTTGGAAGAAGCACGAGGTGACTCGATCAAGAACTATATCGAGGCTATGCTAGTTGAACAGGTTGTCGGTGCTTTGGTAGAAGCTGGGGTTGAAGAATCACAAATTGGGGTGATGTCTGTTTACCGTTCACAGGTGCTCTTGTTGAAGAGGAACCTTTCACTAAGAAAAGATATTGAAGTCCTTACTGCTGATCAATTCCAAGGACGAGACAAAGAATGCATCATCATATCACTTGTGAAATCAAACGAGAATAACAATCCGGGTGAATTGCTAAAAGATTGGCGAAGATTGAACGTGGCAATAACACGTGCAAAATCTAAGCTTATTATTCTCGGATCTAGATCGACTTTATCCGCGACCGAAACAACAAAGACTTTTATAGAGTTCTTAGAGGAGAAGAACTGGTATTATTCGCTTCCTAAAAACGCACATATGGTTTATAACATTGCTGCACAAGGTGTCCCAACCTCCCCAGTTAAAGCAAAGAGAACAAGCCAGAACCCGGCTCTTTTGCAGAACCATCCCATTCTCAGAAATGTCATACAAGATATTTCAAATTGAGTGTATGTATATTAATGTACAATGGTTTTTATTTTTTTTTTATTTATTTTTTATTTATTTATTTTCAATTCTCTAGATTGCAAAGAAATGAAATTCAAAATTACCACGTCTAAAATTGAATTGATTTCCATTCCAGCCATTTTGAAAGTTATTATTTTGTTCGTTTTCGTTTTGGCGATTATTGTTCTCGTTGTTATCAGGACCTGCTCTCATTCTTCTGATTTGTCGAAGAATGTTCTGAACAAAAAATACCATAAAAAATGAAAATGTAAGTGCAATTACCAAATAATCACCCACATCATAATCTTCAACATATTCATCGGTATAGGCGCTGCCTTCATGATGAGCATCGGCCTTTGATATAGCTTCTTTTTGTTGACGCTCGTTGGTAGCACGAGTTCCAACTTTGTTAAAGGCACTAATCCATCCACCATCAGAAGTTTCGGTATCTTTGAAAGCCTTTCGGTTAAACAAGTACTTGAATCTTAACCTTAATAACGCCCAATCAATGTGTGCTCTACTATATGTGAGTTTAGATTGTTGTTCTCTTCTTTCGAAATCAAATTTTTCCTTGTATTGTAAACTAGAATCATAATAACGTTTAGCCATAAAATAGTCCACTGAATCATTAACAGGTCCATAACCATATTCGTACATCTCAGCAAGTTTGTAAGATCCATGAGAAGAATGTTTATCGGAAGCAATTTGATAATAGTTAAATGCACGATCAAAGTCAGGACTGGTTTGTCTTTGTTGGTCCGAATAAATGTCACCTAACAAAATGGTAGCATCAATATTACCTTGTTTGGAAGCTCTATCAAGATACTCAATTGCCATTTCAATTCTTTCAGGAGCAAATGTCTTTGCTTTCAATTTTGATTGTAGTGGTTGTAATTGGAAAAGTAGGTACGCAGCAGATATTTGAGCGGCTTCGAAGCCCTGTTCTGCTGCTATCAGATATCCAACAAGTGCATTCTTAAAGTTACCGGCTACTAATTCTTCAAACGCATACTTTAAATGTGGAGCGTAGAATTGTGATAATCTTTCAACAAAAACATCATAGTATGAAATAGTGGTTGAACATGATGGTTCCCCTGCTGGTTCAATATTTTTTGCAACACCAGATTGTATAAACTGACCCATGTAAAAAAGTGCTTCCGTATCATGGTAATATACAGCTTCTTTCATATGGTTATAAATATCTATAATAACGTTGTTCTTCTGTAGATCGTGTTCATTTATCTGCATCAACAACCTCGCAAGGTTCTTATTTGCGGATCCTGATCTTTTCTTGACAGCTGCTTTGTAGTACTCAATTGCCTTTGTGTAGTTGGCTTCTCCTAACAAACCCTTTTCTTCAATAAAGCCCAAGTCATTAAGCGCATCTGGTGTTGGCAGTAATTTGACTGCAAGCTTCAAGTAGTAACTAGCTTTCTTTATATTTTTCTTCACACCTAACCCTCTCAAATACATTCTTCCTAGTTTCGATTGACAAGCACTGAGAAAAATCTTGTCTATCAGTTGCACAAATTCATAGTTTGTCGAACCATAGATCTCATCTCCCAATGCTACACATTCTTGAAACAGCCCAAATGCCTTTGTTAAATTCTTTTCCACAAAATAGTCACCTTTATAGCTTTCCATTCCATTGTAATAGAGTGTAGTATATTCATGCTCGTTGGCATTTAACCGGTACTCTTCAAGGGAATTTCTAAGATCATTAAAAAGTTTAGATTGAATCTCAATAGTTGATGACATTTCACTCATCTTTTCACCGTATAACCCACCATTGAAGTCTGATATTCTGATATTATAGTCTACCTGGGTAGACACATCTTTGGTAGACATCCAGTTCCTACCATGCTCCGCCAATGTTGTATAATAACTTAAAGCTGACTCACAATCTTGGGATACACCAATGCCTTTGAAGGTCTTATATGCCAAAACTAGCATTGCGTTCAAATCTCCATTCTTCATACCAAAATGGTAGTACAAGTTCCCTCGTTCTTGATCAATGGGAAACGTGCCAAATAAACCTGTTGAATAGATGTAACCTAACATAAAGTATGCATGTCCATTTGGGCCAATACTCACTGACTTGTGATAATAGTCTTTTGCTTTGTTGTAATCAGTTGGGAATGAAAAATTTCCAAAAAGATACAAATCTCCCAACATAGAATATGCCTTATTGTTATTGTTGTCAAAAGCAGACTTTTCCAAAAGTGGAACGATTTTTGAAGTTAATAAGTGTGGTGGCTCATGTCTTGGTATATTTTTTCTATCATAGTCATTAACTAAAGGATTGAATTGGGGGATATATAGGTTTCCTTCAATATTGTCAAGACTATAAATCTTAGATCTTGTGAAATTCTGAGAAAGTTGGTTCAAAGTTTTAATTGCTTGGTTGTAATATGTATCCTGACTAACAACGTTTGCACTAGTTAGTAGTGAAAATAGCAATAACACTATCCAATTCATGATCCTAAACATAGTGATTGCAATTTGGCTGACGTGGTTGGTTGTGGCAAGATATGTAATTAAAGGCAAAAAAAAAAAATGTTCTAGTGAGATTAATCCGTACCAGAATTGTAATTCTTTTTTTTTTCCACGACCAATTTTAAAGAAAAAGGCCATATAAATGGCAAATACATGAAGTCATAATTTATTGATATTACTCTTGTATAATATGTTTTCCATACTATTGGTAATATAAAACTTACTTCTAATTTACAATGCTCGGTATAGGAATCGAACATGCGCTCTGACTACCACCATCCAAAAAAAATAAGCGTACCGCACTCACAACTGAGCTATAGGCATAATTTCGGAAAACTTTCCAATGATTCCGAAAAAGGCAATATGTTAATTTATAAATGGGGACGTGTCTTACTCAATAACTTGAAGTTAGATGAACATGTTAAGCTATAGAGTAGAGTTATATAATTGAGCAAAACTCGATTGAGATAATAAAGGAATTTATATTTTTTGAGTTTTAATAACTGCAATTGAAAAAAGAAGCAGTTTTTAATGGTCTTTTGAAAATGAATTTTGAATTCTTGAAATGTAATGAAACTTACTCATATTTTGCTACAAATTTTGATTAAAAGTACCTCTCGATATAACACTCTTCACCAAATTTATTATTATAAATCAAAAAAGAAGAACAATTACTTCCAAATTTTTTAATAAGAAGTTAAATGTATTAAAAAATTCTTCTTAATTAGCATGTAAACAGAAAAGACAATAAATTAGAACCATTTACTTTTCATTAAATATTATACACAGACTATCAATACATATTTTTGTCTTATGGGAAGTCCCCTACTCTTGGACCGAAATAACCATCTGGAGCATCAACAGAGGCATCCAACCAACCTGTCATTGAAAGATCAATTCCAGAGTAGGAAACAGTATTTCCCCACCAGTTGATATCCTTTTCATGGTACATGACAGCAAAGAAGATAATAATTGAACTGAAAGCAATACCAGCATTCAAACCAGTTGAAAGAATATAATTGTACTTTTGCCACCAAGCTTCATATTTTCTTCTGATGTAAGACATAAAAACGTAGGAGACATACAAACCTGGAAGATAATATGTCAAGTTATAAGGAGCATAGCCCAAGAATCCACCAATGATAATAGATGGTTCAAAGTATTTCACATAATTTCTTGGACCCCATCTCTTGATGATAATACATGGGATAGCAGCCAAGAAACCAATCAAGAAACACCATTGCAAAATTGGATACAACCCGTTAAAAACTTTCTTTGGCCCAATAACACCCCACAAAACAGAAGCTGAGTAGAAGGTTCTTGTACCTGGACAAGTAAATTTCTGGGTATTTTTTGGATCACAATAGTTAGCAATACCACCATCAATTTGGAAATTCAAAATACCCAATTGAATGAAAGATGCAATGAAAATAGACAAGAGTTGTACACGATACACTGCTCTTGGTGGGAGTTTAGCATAATGACCCAGTTTCAAATCATTGATGAAATTTTGAGCTTGACCGTCAATGTTATAACCCAACGCTTTAATGAAAGCCAAAGCCAAACCATTACCTGGAATAGCATAACCAACAATTAATTCCACTAAAACATTCAAACCAAACGAGAAACCAGTTCTAGCATAAACTGTGGTCAATGGAATCAAGAAGACAAAATTGATACCCAAAGCAAAGAAAATACCCCAAACAGGAGTTTCAGCAGGATAAACTTTGACACACAAGATAGCCAACACCAACGAAATAACAACAATAATAAGGTATGCCCATTCCGGAACTTCTTTATAATTATTTCTCATCATTATACTATGAGGATCATCAAACCCATCATAAGTTGAATTCCTCCAATTTCTGAACAATCTCCAGAAGGATTTACAAGCATCCCACATTTCCCTGTAGTTCATACCAATTTCGTAAACAATATGGAAGGGATAAAGAGCAAAGAAGGCACCATAAACAACCAAATTAGCAGCAGTATAAAATGGGGGACCAATTTCATTATATTTGTCGACATCAAACAAACTCTTTTCATTGACAACAGCAGTGACTGAATAAGGTTCACCAGTGTTGGTGTATAACCCGTTGTCATTAATTGGAAGATAACCAGTCCATTTATAGTTGGAATACCAAACACCGATAATACAGAAGAAACCAAACATCATACCAATAATATTATTAACAGGGTTATAAAACGGAACCTGTAATGGTTGTAACATTGAACTAAAGTAATTCCAATCAAAGGTAGGAATTGGGTTTAAGCCCAACCCACCAAGAGAACCGGTAATTACAGCAAGATTTAAATTGTCAGGTTTGATCCAAGTCATCCAATTGAAATATGACAATGCTTGGAATAAGTAGTCAGGAACCCAAAAATATGCAAACGATGCCCAGAAAGTGATAAAGAAAAACTTGTAAGCTGATATTTTCCATCCATTGATAACTTCTTTCTTGGCTGGAGACAATAATGTTTTGTTCAAGGCGATACCTGGTAAAATAGAAGGCCAGACAGCTTTCACTGGATAGACAGCAAATTTTCTCATAATACCGGAAAGACCAATACCAAGGAAATTTGTAGACAAAATCAATAAAACTTGATAACCAAAATCAACCCATTTATTGTCGTAAAACAATTCAGATTTTTGCATAAGAATATTAGAGGAGACATACGATGTCGAACCACCAGAAACACCACAGAAAATAGTAGCCAACATTTGTTCCTTGAATGTGTATGGACCAGGGTTTAAATCGATTCTCCATTTCCAAATGGTGAAACTCCAATTAGGTAAAATCCATTCACAAAGCAAACCGGATGGATACAAAAACACTTGCACCACAGACATGGCAAGAGAAATGGAAGGTTGTCTTTCAGCAAAGAATTGGTTGATAACTGCACCAATACCAGTCCAAATAATACCAATCAAATAAACTCTAAAGGTCTCAACAGGAATAGTTGGATCGTCAAAAGGGAAAGTAACTGCTCTAACCTCAGGATATGGGGACCAATAAGCAACCAAAACAGATTCTAATCTTACTTGCAAAGTCCAATCAACAATTTCATGACGATTTGGATCAGTTAATGAATCTTCAGCACCTTTTTCATGTACATGATATTTCACATCTTTACCAGTTATTGATCCACCGTCAGAGCTATGATCTGGTGTGCCAAGATGAACTTCTTTTGAACCATGAAAGTCGACCAACTCTTTCCAAAGCTGCAAATCTTGGTCTGGGATGTTAACATCTGCACCATGTTCTTCAATAGCCTTTTTCAAAATCTCAACAGCTTCTTCAGGAGCCATTTGCTCGATTTTCTCAAATATAAAAGTGGCAGATGGAGGCAAATCATCTAAACTCATCAAAGTATCAAAATGTAATCTTCTTAAAACAAACCATTTTTCAGATTCAGTTAAAGAAGTACCAACTTCAGCTAACCCTAATGGGTTTGATGTCATTGCATCTAAGTTGACTTCATGATCTTCTCCCTGTAAATGACTGCCAATACTGGAAATATGGTTAAAACCTGAAGGTGAAATACTAGGAACAACTAGTTTTTCACTCATGTTTGTAATGTAAGTTATCTGTTGAAGAAATAACTTTAAACCTGGAAATCAAGTATTTGCAGAGGTATTTATATTACATACCAAGCCATGGACGGCATCACAACTTGACGAATAGTCATCATCAATTATCGATAAGGTGTGGCATGCTCCCAAATAGAATATTGCCTTATTTAGCTCCGATAAGGAGAGGAAGTATAGGACGACAACATGATATTTTTAACTTACTCGTATTGATTTCTTTTTCTTTTACTTTGTGCTTTAGTTCATGCGTCAATTGATTTATTTCACAGCTTTTCTTTGACGCTCCAAATTTCAGAAGTCATTCCCGCAATAGGATAAAATTAGGATATTCTGTTATTATCATTTCTCAAATTCTAATTCGACAGATAAACAACTTCAAACCAGTCCGTCATCCCCATTTCAATATCGTCTTTGCGTTAATTTGTAGAAAAAAAGTATAAAATTCACAGGGTCAGTTCTGTGGGGAGATTCGGTCAAACGCAACTCGGCCCAAAAACTTAAGCCACAAAACACCAATATAAACATATAAAATTTCGTGCCGTATGTGATTATTCTTAAAGATTGCGCAACCGGAGTGACCAACTCGTAATCACCTGAAAATACGCAATCCTGTTAATATTATCAATTCAAGACTCGATGAGAGCGCATTAATATTTTATAACTCAGATATAGTAATAAAGTTTACATATTTCAAAAACGAGTATTTGTCAAAATAATAATAATATCAAAAAATTAAAGACAGAAGTTCTTGGCAGGGGCACTGAACCAAGAAAACAACAATAACGGAAAAAAAAAATGAAGAAAACTAGTGCTAACTTGGGTGATGACTGATAAGGAATGATTAATCTATGCAATTAGTGCCGGTGAAGGTGATCACTTGTACGGCAAAGATTAGAAACAGAAGAAATTTACTAAAATTTGGATACTCTTTTTGTTTTATGCATGCAGACCACTAGACTTTCATGGAGACTAAAATCAATCATGGAATGCAACTTCAACTATTGGTTGACTTTGTCGTGTACTTTTCGAGCCCTACTTTCTCTTTCTTGAAAAAGGTTAGTTTGCTAAAGCGATGTGTGGTTTGTCATAAATTCAAATCCTAGTAAAGGAACGGCATCAAAAAAGCCTCTTGATCCTTTTTTTTGTCAATCATGAGCTATCTTTTTATTTTAAACTTGATTGGCTTATGCTGCTATTGTCATGTAGCAAATATCGATAACAACGGTTGGAGAAATATGTGGTCATCACCCTGCTCAAATAAAAGCCACATAAAGCTCAATGAAAACTGGGGGCTCCAGATTAGGAATTACATTAGGTTTAGCATAAATGTTCTGTGATGTCGAGATCTCATTCCTCGAACTGAACATTATTCAGAAGTCTGAAAATAAATATACTGTCTTTTTCGAGTTAAGTGTATCAATTCTATCATTTGCAAAAAAAAAAAAGTTTGCTTACATTGAGAAAACCCATGATCAGAATTGTTCGAACAAGAAGGTGGTCAACTATAACAACAACCCTTGGAGATCATTTATACAGAAATGGGTAGCGATATAAAAACATTTTGCAAACTCATTGCAGTTCATCATTCCCTCCCAAAAATACAACCAATTTCTGAGTTAACTAATCTTGGCAACATGGTTCAACTAGTCGTGCACAATTGTTGTAAACGAGACACGACTTTATCGACGTTCTCCTCCACACTGTAAAGAAGTGGACACCAATGCCGATACTTTTTTTTTTCTTACTTTTCTATTGAACAAATCACACCAACAACAACGAAAAAAAGCCCAATTAACCTTGACGTAGTGACTTTTTTTTTTTTTTTTTCAAAATCGATTTCACATAGAGTATTATAGAAAACCAACAACGAGACATAGCATTTCATAGAATAAAATCAACTATTCATCAGTACTACAAGGGATATATACGATAAAAGATAGAGAGCAGTATATTGATACAAAATGCCACCAATAAGACTAACGGATAATACGTCACCCAAGGAAGAAATCAATGAATCAATTTTCAGATCCGCACCCATGACTTTGGTTCAGTTCTATGTTACTATTGAATTAGCTAGAGATATGGTAGGAGTATTAGGGAAATTAGGAAATGTCCAATTTAGAGATTTAAATTCAAAGTTAACTCCATTTCAAAGAACGTTTGTTAGTGAATTACGTGGTATTGATACCATGATTCAACAATTGGATTATCTTCATTCAATCATGTTGAAACAAAATACCATTAGGAGTGACATTTATGCTAATTTACAAGCAGATATGAAACCGTTGCCAACATCTTCGGAAATGGATGATATTAAGATTAGGTTGGATGAATTTTATCAAAGAATCAAGCATTTAGATCATTCATTTAATAACTTGGATAAAAAGAAGTTGAAATTTGTCGAGAATAGAAGTGTACTAAATTGTTTGAATGAATTCCATAGATCAAATCTAGTTGGCGGTGGATACGATGATCTTGATCACCATGATGAACATGACGATTATGATGATAATGAAGCATTGTTGAATGAACAAAGGAATAATAATTTGGAGATTGGTTATGAGGTGCACCATTTAGATGACTCATCATTTAATTCAATGGCTGGTACTATTGCTAGAGACAAAGTGCCAATATTAAGAAATATTTTGTGGAGAACATTAAGGGGGAATTTATACTTTCATGATATTCCACTTGATGAAGAATTTCCAGTAAATGAAAACTCTGATGAAATGGTTTACAAGAATGCGTTCATTATTTATATTCATGGTGATTTCTTGAGAACAAGGGTGCGTAGGATCATCCAATCCTTGGATGGTGTATTGTTTGATAATGCAGCTGGAGGTGCAGAAGCAAGATCAGCTACATTGAGTGAAATTAATGGTAAAATTGATGATTTAAATAATGTTGTGCAAAGCACCAAAGATCAGTTGATCACTGAGTTGATGGTTTTTCAAGAGGTGTATGCTGACTATTGTTATATTGTTGAAAGAGAAAAGCTTATATATGAAGCTTTGAATAAATTTGATGAGGATAGTACAAGAAGATGTTTAGTTGGGGAAGGTTGGATCCCTTCATATGATTTTGAAAAAGTACGGAATGGTTTAAGAAGTTTAATTAGACTGAAAACCAGACAAGGAGCAACAGATACGGACTCTACAGAGAGTATTAATTTATCTGAAGGTGTTGCAACCCAGACTGCATTGTTTTCCGTTGATAGTGACCAAGAATTGACAGGATTTGAGATTGAGGATGAAGAAGATGAAGAAGTTGGATCATTGATTGCAGTTGTGAATGAACTTTCAACAAATCGTGTACCACCAACATTTCACAAGACCAACAAGTTTACTGCGGCTTTCCAACTGATTATCGATGCGTACGGTATTGCCACTTACCAAGAAGTCAACCCTGGTCTTGCCACGATCATTACTTTTCCCTTTATGTTTTCTATTATGTTTGGTGATGTGGGTCATGGTTTTATCGTTTTTCTTGTGGCTCTTTATTTGATCAAGAATGAAGTTCTGATTGGTGCCATGAGAAATAGAGACGAGATTTTTGATATGGCTTATAGCGGAAGATACATTATATTATTGATGGGGGTATTTTCGATTTATACTGGTTTTATTTATAATGATATTTTTTCAAAATCAATGAATCTTTTTTCATCTGGTTGGAAATACGTTGTACCAAAAGATTATGATGTCACCAAGGGAGCAACATTGGTAGCTGAAAAAATAACCGGTAAAACTTATCCATTTGGGTTAGATTGGGCATGGCATGGAACTGAAAATAACCTTTTATTTACCAATTCATACAAGATGAAATTATCAGTTTTAATGGGTTATACTCATATGAATTATTCCTTGATGTTTAGTTTGGTCAACTATTTGTTCTTTAAAAGCAGGGTAGATATTATTGGTAATTTTATTCCAGGATTTTTATTCATGCAAAGTATCTTTGGATATTTGGCATTGACCATTGTTTATAAATGGTCAGTTGATTGGTTCGGCATTAACAAACAACCACCGGGATTATTGAATATGTTGATTAATATGTTTTTATCTCCTGGCACTATTGAAGAGCAATTGTATCCCGGTCAGAAATTTGTTCAAATAGTTTTGGTATTGATTGCAGCTATTTGTGTGCCATGGTTATTAATTTATAAACCATTGATATTAAAGAGACAAAATGATAAAGCTATTCAATTGGGATATAGTGATTTGCATTCCCAACGCCAGCATTCGTTTTTAATTCATGAAGAGGAACGTGCTCTTGAATTACAAGATGATGAACTTAACAATGATCCACCAGAAAATCCTTTTGATAGTGATAATGAAGAATTCCAATTCCCTAATGATGTGGAACCAATGTTTCATTCAGCTGCTCATGGAGAAGATGGAGAAGATGGGTTTAATTTTGGAGATATTGTTATTCATCAAGTTATTCATACTATTGAATTTTGTTTAAATTGTGTTAGTCATACCGCATCATATTTGAGATTATGGGCACTTTCATTAGCTCATGCACAATTATCATCAGTTTTATGGTCGATGACTATACAGAATGCATTTGGTAAAACAGGAGCCGTGGGTGTTATTGCAACTGTCGTATTATTTGCCATGTGGTTTCTGTTGACTGTTTGTATTTTGGTGTTGATGGAAGGTACATCAGCAATGCTTCATTCGTTAAGATTGCATTGGGTTGAAGCAATGTCTAAATTTTTCCAAGGGGAAGGGTACGCATACGAACCATTTACATTTAAATCTATAGATATATAATGAGAAAACATATTTCGATATTAATAGAAACTTGTTTATTGTTTTAATTAGACGAGGAGGAGAAATTTACAACAATAAAACACAGTATCGTTCATTTTCTCCTCCCCGGTATGCGCGGTTGTCGCCTAACTCACCATTTTCAAAAAAAAAATAAATAAGAAAAAATAAAATAAAAATATAAAAAAAAAACGACATACATTACCATGCACGAACTCATTACATAATCGGCGAAATTATGATAGTATAGTGTCAACGTCACATACATTCTAAAGTAATTTTGTGGATAATTATCTCATGGTTGTATTGAATATGTAGGGGTGGATAAGTGATTAGGTAAGGAGATGAGGAAGATAATTTTGATTTTACAATCGGCCCAAGGTATTTCTAATATTTCATTTTAATCTTACGGTAGTTGATATCCACCAACATACAACGAAGAACAACAACAAAAAAAAAAAAGATTAAGAACAATAATGATTGTTAATGTAGAAGAGATTAATAATAATAGATGAATGGAACGACAAATAAATAAATGGATTGTCTTGTTCTTTATTTTTTGTCACACAAATTATTGTATTGTGTTTGAATTACAATTCCATAATGTTTTATTTTTTTGAATTATTTTTATTAGGGCAATCATTTTTGACTTGACGACATTTTTTCGGTTTCGGTTTTGGTTTTACTATCTGCTACCAAATATTACAAACCATAAACAAAATGAACCTAGATTGTTTTAGTTAATTTCAAAGATCATGACTGCCAATTGATCATGATATTTCACTTCTGTAACCAAGTTTGATACATATTCCACGAAGGAAACAAAAAGGAAAAAAAAAAGGGGAAAATATGAATTAAATAACGAAAGTGAAAAATGAACAGGGCAACTATGCTTGTTTCAAAACAGAATTTACAGTACAAAACAAGAAGGGGGTTGGGACGTAGTTTAGATAATATATCCATTCATGGAAGAATTATTGTTTTATTTTAATTGACGATCGTCAAAATAAGGGGTATAAGAAAAAGAAAAAAAAAAAAAAAGACAACAAAAACAGAAAATCTATTCTTGAAACAGAAAGATCGACAGTTTTAAAAAGAAGTGGCCAGGGACTGCTATGTGCATTTATCTTTTGCGACAATCCTATTTATACGTTTTTGTGAATGACAAGGGTTATAGTTCTTTGCTTTTTAGTCAAGAAATGGTTTTTTTTTTTCCCCATTTGTTTAAAAGATTTTTTTTGAGACATTCAAAAATCTAAAGAAAAAAAAAAAGGTTCACAAAACGTGACAAATTCAACGAGAGTGAGAGAGGTAAAGACATCATCAACAACAACAACAACAAAAAAAAAAATTCCTTAGTGTTGCATAGTAAAGAATTAAAATTTTTGCACCCAAAACATTTGATGAGTTTAGACACATCCTCTTTTTATTGTCAAGACAACAGTGACAGGAATCAAATTACAGTTTTTTTTTTGTCTTTCATTTTTCGACACAGGGAGTAAGTATAAAGTAATAGTTCCCCATTTGGAATTTAAGAGTGATATATACTTCATTTCTTAAATTGCATAAGCTTTGGGAGTTCAATTACATGCTCTTTGTTAAATTTCCTTCTTTTCGTGAAAGTTACCTCTTTTTTTTTTAGTTTGTCATTTTATTTCATATCTTTTACAGGTTTTGCATATTGTCAATTAAACGAAGAGAGAGAAAAAAAAAAGTCATCCGTTATTTACTTTGCGACATGCGAGAGAAATAGAAAATCCGACACTATTGGTTTTAATTTTAGTCTCACAATAACTTTTGTCACTATATACTTGGATATATTTTAGTTAAATGAGACGATGAAACCCCCAACAATGTACAAGGGTCTACCTGTTTTCTGTTTAGAATTGTTTTGGAGGTATATATATAAACATCTAATCATGCATCATCACCTAAATGGTAGTTTTATGTTGATTCTTTTTACTGTCTATAGAACCAATAAGCAACTACACAAATAGATGCACTTATTATTCCATTCTAATACTGGTTTCAGTAATTTTCAGCGCAAGAATTTTTCGACATTGAGTTGCAACAATAAGAAAATTGTTTCTTGTCGGTTTTCCTTTTGTATGGCCCGCCCCCTGTTTATTAAGAGAATTTTGCCTTATTAGAATAAATCTATTTTTGTCAATAGTTTAGAAAACCTACCGGTTTCCATGTCTACTATTCGTTTCTGTATTTGGGCTTCCATAATACACAAAGAAGAATCCCCCTTAAATCAGACAAAATAGGCCAGCGCAAAAAAGAAAAAGAATTCAAAGAATGTCGCAAATAATAAAGTACAATGAATATTATTTATACAAAATTTACAAAAGGTTGCTTTACTTACATCTATATAGGTTTAGTTTTTTTTTTTTTTTTGTAACTTTCATCTTTTTATAAAAAGAATAACAATAATAATAATAATAATACAAAACAGTACATCCATCGTACCATTATATGCAAAATGAAAAACAAGAACAAAATCACCTACCTGTTCAACAAACTTTCTAACTATTATCATCAAGATCTATACGTTTGTTTGCAGTCAACATTCTTTGAACTTCATCCAATGTCCATGGTCTAACTCTATTTCTCATCTTATTATGCAACCTTTCTTTAATATACTCCACACTCGTTCTTCTTCTCACAGCTTCCTCTTCTATAAACTTGATGATTTTCAATCTTGTATGTCTAAATTGTCTTTCAGAACTTCCATGAACCTTTAACCATTCTGTGACAGTTATATCATGATCACGTAATTCTTTTTCCAATCCCTTGAAATCGTCCCACATTTCAAATAAAGTGGTCGCTTGTCTCGATAATCGTCTATGTAATGCTCTTTGTCTCTCTATTTGTTGTGCAGTCAAAGGAGGAGGAGGAGGAGGTTGTTGTTGTAGCTGTTGCTGTTGTAATGCAATTTGTGGGATTGGAGACATTGGGTTAGATCTATGCTGAGGTGGAGTATTAGAGGGATTCAAATAATATTGATGATGTGTTTGTAAAGGCATAGTATGTTGTAACTGGGAAACTGGTGCTGCAATAGGGAGTTGTGGTGGTTGAGCTTGATGCAATAGGCTCGGAAGTTGTGGAGGTAAGGTTGGTGGTAATGATGGTGGAGGTGGGTTATGCTGTTGTTGTTGTGGTGGTTGTGGCTGTTGTGCTGGTGGAGGTACTGATGTAGATGTAGATAATGACGGCTTCATGGCCATTTGCAGTTGTGGAGTAGTGTCAACAGGTACAACTGAAGTCGGACTAGTAGGTTGAGTAGCTGATGTACTACCAGCAGCAGTGACAGATGATGATGATGGTAATGGTGGTTCAGTAGATGGTTGAGATGATTCACCTGTTTTTCCAGCTTGAATTTGATTAAGATTATTCAACAATTCAACAGTATTGTCAACACCTTTTTGAAGGTTTGTTTGTTCAATGGTTTTAATCAAGTTTGATGTTTCATGTAATGTCTGGTTAGCTAATGTCAAAGCATTCTTATTTTGGGAAGTCATTAAAATTATTAAACCATTTATAGAATTGGAGATTTTATTTAATGCTTCACTTTGGGATTGGAAAATGCCATTTTGATTTTCAATAAAACTTCTCAACAATTCATTAGTACGTTCTTGCTGTTGCTTGTAAACATTATTGATCAAATTATCCAAATTCTTAATTTTGGTATTCTGGAATTCAATGATTTTATTCAAGTCTTTTGGATTGGTTTCCGATTCTTGAATTACAGATGGCCAAGAATTTGTATCATCAACATCACTTTCTGTCTTATCATCATCTGGACCAAACATAGACTGGTTTATAATATTGTCCAATTTATTAGAAGCTTCCACTGAGTTCAAGAATTGTAAAAACTCCATAGAGCTAAACAAGTCACTTTTTGACAATGGGTTTAATGGATACTTTTTCTTGATAATGACCATATCTTGAACCAAACTTTTCCTCAACATAATCAACAATTGTTTCACTTGCAACATTTCCTTGGAATATTCCTCGGGAGTGATTTCATCTATAAAGGGGAAGATTTTATCTAACAAGGATTGAGGAGGCTCGATTGAGTTTCGTACTAAATTATACTCTTCAAAATTTCTAAACCCAGATAAATTCAACATGACTTGGTTACTCAACAGCTCGATTGATTTTGATGCCAATTTCTCGGTAGTTTCAATATCATGGGTTGATAATAATTTAGTTAGATTGATATCTTTATAATTTAAGCCACTTATACTCAATGCATTAATAGACGACTTGTGCTGTTGGCTATAGCTGATTGCAGAAAGCTTGTTATTACCCTTTATTAGCTTTACATTTTCTAAAGATATTTTTTTGGATGAATCACTAAATATAAATTCATAAGAACCATATTCATCAGGTATGTGAAACCGACTAAACAAATAAGCTGAGATTGCGAAATGAGGACAAAATTCGACATACTTATTTCTAAAGCATCCAGCATAATGTGTGGTATAAGGGGTGCCAGTAGTGGGAGCAAAAGCAGTAGGATCTGCAGCATTGAATTTGACAACCACAGTATCAATATAATTTATTTTTGTTGGGATTAAATCGCCAATTTCCAATTCACGTTTGGCCAAATTTTTTAGTGACAAAGAATGAGACAAATTAAAGTCAACCAAAGTTCTTAGTAGTTTGTGATCATTCAAATAACTTGTATTGGAGTTTCTTGCCTGTAGCAAAGGTTTGACTAGTTTATAGTAGTCATCAATAGTGTATTCATTAACATCCAAGGAGGAGTCTTCTGAATCTGACATGGTAAATGAACGGGAGTAGTAAAACTGAAGCTCTTGTGCCGTTTTCTTCTTTTTCTTTTATATTGAAATTTTAGTTCCAAGGTTTTTTTTTTTTTTTTTCTTCCGTTTCTTTGTTTTCTTTTGTATTACAATTTCCCTGTTTTTTCCTTTTCCTTTATTTTTCTGTGGTTTTGTTTTCTAAAAGAAAAGCGAGAATTTTTTGTTTTTGACAAAGCGGTTTTAAAGTATGATTATTATTTAAAGTATAATTATGTGAGGGGTGGGATGAACGATGATGATGATGATGATGATAAGAAATGATCAGAAACGAAATGACAAAGTAATTAATTAAAGGAATATGAATTGTGTATTATTGGTTGTCAATTGGTTGATAGGTATTTCTTGGACTACTACTAATAACTTGTACTAGGAGAAGGTGGCAGTGAGTTGTGTGTTTGTGATGTAATTTGTTTTTGGGTTGTCTAAGTGTTGTAAAAAAAAAAAAAAAGTAAAGGGAGTTAAAGAAAAGGACAATGATATTTCTTTGAATTTAATGAATGCACGCCAAACCAATATAGTAAATGAGGATGGGAGAGGGGAAGGATGGATATGACACTTTGTTGAATGAATGAATAAAAGGAATGAATGAAGTGTCGAAGTAGTGATATGGGTAAGGGTAGGGTGATTGGTGAGATTAGTGATTGAAATTAACTTTTTAATGGAATTGGATTTTGTAAGAACGAAAAATTTTTGTAAAAATTTTATGACACTGAAATTTTGGTTGATATTTATTTGAATAGAAAAAAAATAAAAAAATAAAAATCCCAGTGGTTCAAAAACAGCAAATGTAAAAAAATAAAATAAAGATAATAATACTAATACTAATAGTAATAAAAAATTTAGTTGTCTTCTTTTTTTTTTTTTTGTCTCTCTCAGTTTTAAGGGAACAAAATTAAAAAAAAGGGAAACCTTTTGGGGAATTTTTTTATGACACACAAAATTGATTAATTATTGTCGCGTCAATGAAACTAAACTAAAATGAACTAAAATGAAAATGTCGTGGACTTTTTCTCTTTTTTTGTTTCCTGTGAGTGTCGAATCTAAATGTCAAAAAAACAAATGATAAAACTTAAAACACTAAAACTTAAAGTGTGGTAGAAAGAATGTGCTAAAAAAAAAGTTTTGTGGATATTGTGTCAATCACGTGAGTCTTCAAGTCGAAAATGCAAATAATAATAATAATAATTAATAAGACTTGTAAAATTTAATAATAATAATAGTAATGAATATCTGGATTAACTTGGGGGGAAAGAGGGTTAGAAATCGGGAATTCTTTCTTCTGTTTTCTTTGATGAATAATCAAAGGAAAAATCATTGTCTATTTAAATGGAACAGAAAAAAAAAAACAAGAGATGGAACTAAAATACATTTACACAGAATAAAGGCAAAAAATAAAAAGAAAGATAAAACAAATGAAAAAAAAAAAGAAACTTCGAATGTAATTACTTTGATTTATTTTCTATTTCAAAGTATATGTGATCTTGTTATAAATGATGTGCTATAACTAAAACACGCTTGAATTTTGTATTTTTTTTTTAACCTATGGGTTCGTCAATGGTTTACTTTAGTTCGTTTGCTTTTTGTTTTAGCTTTAGTTTCTAGTGTTATTACGATATCTTGTAAATAGAACAGAATTTCCATGTCTAATTAATTCAAGGGCTTCAAACACTTGTTACAGTGGAAATATGGTTTTAGTAAAAACTAAAATCAATAAAAATCATACGAATTTCAAGATTTTTAAGATGGTTTTGGATGTGATGATGGTGTGTTCCACATGATCTTTAGATATTGAAACCTTGTAAATTAATTTAAACTCGAAATAATAATGATAATAATAATAATCATTAAAAAAGCAATGTCATAATAATTGGATTTATAATAATGGTAATTAAAGATTTTGCAATACACACACATGTATCATGTAGAATTTTTACTTTTAAATGCAAAAACTATAAAAACAATAACAACAAGCAAACAAGAATAATAACTGTGTAAACTAGAAACAATGACAATATTCCAGGGTAATACTGGAAATAACATTTCTTCTTCTTCTACTGTAGGGTTATTCTTAGCTGGTTACTTTAATTATTATACCACCTTCGTAACTGTTATCCTTGATGCATATAATCGATAGTGGCAAACTCGTGTTCGTATTTCATTTGTTGTCTATTTTATTTCCGTTTGGCTTCTGTTTTGCAATTATATTGAGTATTGAAATCGGAGCTACACTAAACTTGGCTTAGCAATGAAACATTTATATAATTGCGCCAACTATTAGTTATTACAAGAAAAATAAGAAATCTAATCGGTCAAATGATTTTATCATCATAGATCTTATGGTATCTGTGATACATACACATCAAGTATCTTTGAGTTAAGAACTGGTGTATCATGCTTTTTTTTTTTTTTTCTAATTCAGGCTGAAATTTCGCATCCTCGGATTTACCAAAGGTTTTATTTTTCTTGAACAATTTCATGTATATGCGTCTCTCTTGTTGTCTTTATCTATTTTTAACCGTGGGGCGGAAAAGGACGTGTTGAATTGTTATAAATATGATTACGTGCATGAAGATGTAGAATGGATTATCTTGTACCATGCTGATGATGGTCAATTCAAGAAATCACCAATACAACCCAGATTGCCGAACCAAACAAACAGAAACTGTAAACCATGTGAGCTATTAACTATACGAATTTGACTGAAATTAAGTAGAGACATTTTTTTTTTGTTTTGTTTTCTTTGGGTTTAAGACTTCGTTGTACTTTATTCAGAGTTTTTTTTTTTTATCTTTTTCATTACGTAACCGTTTTTTTTATTACTTTTTGGTGTTTATTATAAGAATAAGGGTTGTTACATATATTATTCTTTGCCATCCATAATTGAATAGAAATTCAATTATATATGTTTAATTATACATTTAATCATGTTACACTGATGATGCAATAATTACAAATTAATTAATAACTGCAGAATAGATACAAGCATTGCGAAATTATAAGTAACATGGATTATCAACCGAATATTGGTTATGATTAAGTATCAACCCAAAATAATGAAAACTACAACACAAAAACAAACCAGAAACAAAACAATAAAAAGAAAAACGAAGAAAACTACTACATCCTTCTCAAAAATGAAATATCATATCCACAGACGTACAACTAAATGGAAATAGATATCTGATGATTTCTATTTGACAATTTCAATTATAAAACTTTAAAAAGATTCCACCGAGAAATTGGTAAAAAGTACACACAAGCGCAACGGAAATATAAATTATTCTATAATTGGAAAAAAGTGGTAAGTTCATAAAAAAAAAAATCGCATGAGTATGAAACAGGTTAATAATTGTAGAATATTGTAGAGGAATTATAGGGTGCTCGGGATTATAATAGTTCTTCTATTTAAAAAAATCACACAAAATTAGAAATAGAAAAATTGAAAGATGATGTCGTCGTTGTCGTTGTGGTTGATGATGATGATGATGATGATGACGGTGATGATTATGCATCATGCATGGTAATGCAAGTGAATTAAACAATGAATTAAACAAGCAAAACAGAATCAATTCACGTTATTGTTTTCTTTTCTGTTTTAAAATACTTTTAGTTTTCTATTATTTTGTTCATTCTATTAACCCTGGCTTTTATTTCTAAAATCAGAAACGGAAATTGCAAATAATAATTAATTAATTAATAGATGGAAAAAGAAAAGCGTAAAAAAATATATTTATTTTTTTTTTTTTCGTTGTATGTATCTCATCTATATGCACTACTCTTCTTGGAGGTTATGATATTTTGAGCTGGATTACCCATGAGTTATAAATTGAGATTTTCATACACTACAGGTTATGTCACTATCTCTGTGTTTCCGCTGGTGATTACCTGTTTTAATCAAGTAGTTTGTATTTATATATATATATTAGTGGGAAGGGGGAAGGGGGCGGAGAGATTGTTGGTGTTTAGAATTGTACAGTTTTTTTCTTTTTTTTTTTTTTCTGTGTCATGCGGTTTATGCCAATTTCAATCGTTCAGGTTTGTGAACAAATAGTACAAAAGAAATAAACCCACTACATCAATGAAATTCTTTAGTGTAATTACGGGATGGGAAAATCGCTTTCGTTCTCTAAAATTACCAAAAGTAAAATAACAGTCATTTGTAACGATTAAACACAAGGCAAAATAATAATAACAATAAACATAATAAAAAAGAATGCATAGATTAAAACGTGTAAAAAAAAAAAAAAGAAGAACAATTATGAATATTATGAATATTGTGATGAAGGTGGCTGTGGTGGTGAATTACTAGGTGAATTGCGATTTTTCGTTTTCTTTTTAATTGTGAAATATAATTATAATGATTATTAATCAATATTATCATCAAATAAAAGTTGCGGAGAACTCCCTGAATTAAAGTAACTGTAAATAATAATTCGTTGTGATTCTTGCTATTCGTAAGTTCCAACCTTCATCGATTAATATACTTACGAGAGAATGTAGTCTACATTCTCATTGATACCTGTCCTGTTTACGCCTCAATCTTGTACGAACTTGTATGGGATACATCACGGTGTACTTATTCAATGTCGTGAAATTCTGGATAGTCTCGAGGAAATTTGTAATTTGAAAAAGCAATTCAATTACGTGAGATATTGAGATTATTATTGTTCTTGTCGTTTATCTTGTGGTATGGATATATGACCACATGTGTTTGTAATCCCACGTCATCATTATAATTCTCATTTTCATCATCGCTTGAATAATTGGATTTGATTGTGTTGTAAAAGTAAATAGATTTCCTTGATTATCGCTCATGCCTCTCTTTTTTTTTATGTTTGTGGTTTAGTGGTATTGCTGCAGATTATTTCAAGACTAAACAAAAAGCAATACAGAAAAAAAAAAAAAAAATTACGTAGTTTAACACAAAATATTTAGCACCCAGTAAATTTCATCTATGTTTAATTTTAGTGGAATAACGGGAATGAGACGCATACAGCTAGAATCTCAAATAAAATTATTCACAAAAATTTCAAACAGTTACAAATTAAATCAAATCAAATCACTATTGAGTGAACTGAATTATCATTTGGTATTTTATTGATACACCGTTATTTCCGATTTTACATTTCACATATCACAGTTTTGTATTCATTAAATACAACTTTGGTAATATTTGAATTTAAGCAATTGATGACATAATCCACATCATATACTTTTGTTCCATACAACCAGTTATTTTTATTACTAGATTTCCAATTATATCTAATCTATCATGGACATTTCACGTGACTCAGTTTATTTTAGTATGTTTTAATTATGTAAATCTTTTTTTTTTTTTTACGACTGAAGGAGAAGAAATAAAATATCTTCTCTTCTTAGTTTTGTTGCTCTAAATTATAGATGTTCATCCAATATTTGTAAATATGTGATATGTGAGCCAAATGCAGGAAAAAAATATAGAGATATGGATTATTAATCGTTAACAATCATCATCTCAAAGTACATATTAATAAACACCAGTAATGGATCATGCATATTCTGCTTATTACATTACATCAATTTTAGTTTGTCCTCTTATATTTGTTTTTTGTTTTTTGCATAACAAATTTGCTCATTCTATTATGGAATATATTCGCCAATATCATCTCCTTTCAATAATAATAGAAAATTTCAGTTAATCAATTAATTAGACAGAGTTCAAATGGTTCAAGTAAATTAAAATTACCATACACTATAATGAAGGAAGGTGTACAGCATTAGCTGATATCATAACCATGCATTGCTGACTGAAATTTAAATATATATTAGTACATATCCACATAAAAATTCAAAGCCATCAATAACTTTTCATGCATATAGCTATGTTATTCCATTGGTGCCACATTTACCTCAGAATTTTATTTCTTTATACTATAAACTTATAACATTCTTCTTGAATCTATTCTACATTGTTTAATCTCGGATTTTAGATCATATTTCCTCCCATTTAGCACTAAACCTTTTGTGTTTCACATATACGGGGCTTATCGATTTCCCAACTGATCAAATAGTAATAAAAAAAAAGTAAAGGATATTATCTGGCATTTATATTAGAAGTGATATATATGTGATAAAAAGAAAGAATTAATAGATGAAAACTAAGAACAAGAACAATGAAAACCAAAACCAATTCAAATTAAACCAAATAAACTAAAAAAAAAGAATGAAATAATATAAAAACAAAAACGCAGTAACAATTATAAGGCAAAAAAAAAGAAGAAAACTATTTCACAAACTAAACAAAATATAATAAATTAAAAATAATTGAAATAAAACAAACACATACACACACGCAATCTCTGGTTTCTATAATATTACAATGAAGGAATCCTTTTTTTTTTCTTTTTCTATTTTTAAAATTTAATAAACGAAAAAAAAAACCTCTTTAATCACTCATCATCACTTTCATTATTATCAAGTCCATTGACAATCATACCTTTATTAACCACAAGTTTAGTCAATTTAGATTTAACTCCTTCTTCCATATATTTTGTCAATTGTTCATTATTAAGCCAATCTCTTGAAATTTTAATGGCCAAATCTAAATTATCATTATCCTCAATCTTACCAGGTATTAGTTCATTAATCAATGTAACCAACGCAGTAAATGTCAATAAACTGACACCAATGATATCATTCAATCTCAAATAATTCAACATCTTTAATGCATGTTCATATTCTTCATTCTTGTAGTAATAAATAACCAAGGCACTTGTCAATATTATAAACTCTTCTTCATCAACTAAATTCAAAGATGATATTAATGATTTTTGTGATCTTAAACTTGGTTTAAATTTACTAGCAATAACCTTCTTGTAATATTCTGCTTCGGTTTCCTCTTCATCATATTCATCTTCACTAGAAGTATTATGTATTTCGTGATCAGTCAAATCAAACCCTTCATGAGCAATTCTAAATTTATCCAAACTGGATTCAACTTTAGATTTAATACTTTCAAACAAATATGGTGCATACTTAACATTCAAAATACTATTAAACAATTGATAGTATTTAAACAACTTGATGCTCTTATCGTCACCATCCTGTTGTATAAATGATCCCATAATGGTCAAATCAGTCAAAATTTGACTCTTGTCTTGATTCAATTCTTCCAAATAAGTCAAATTCAATTCATGGATAATTTCCAATAATCTCCAGTTGCAAACAAGACCAAAGTAATCATCCTCATTTTGATAGAAATCAATATATTTAACATGGTTTTGACCATCAACGACTCCAGAATTGATTGGCTTACCAATAAATACATTGGTCAATCTTTTAATCAAATTATCACTTGCAAACATAGAAACTCCATCAATCTTACCAATCAATTGGTTCAATTTAATCAAGGATGCATTCTTACCCTTATAATCAAGATTCAACACCAAAGATGATTTCATAATCAAGTAATGGTTCAAAATTGGTGAAACAAAACCAAGCTTTTCTTTAATTATGGAACCAATTAATAAAGATAAAAAGCAATTTTCAAAATTTATTTCACAGGAATTCAAATAGAAATAGTCCGAAATCAATTGAGTCCAATCATTACCTCCTTGTAAATTCTTGATGATCAAATCACGTTTACCTGATGTCAATTTCTGTGGAATCTTCAATCCAAATGAAATCAAACCCCAATCAATAATTGATCCAGAGTCTTCAACTTGTGTCTTCTCATTCTTATCCTTCTTCACTAAGGAATTCTTATACATTGGAATAATAATACTTGCCAAACTTCCAATAACCAAAAATAATTTAGTCAATGTCCACATTTGAATAGTCAACGGAGATGGATTAAGAATGGCATTAGGGAACAAGTATGAAAATGGCAATGCACTCAAACTACGGAAATCATTTTCACCAGATCCTCCAAATAATGAAGTACCCATAACAGCAGCCATACCTCCCAACAAGAATTTGTTTGGCTGTCCTTGTCGTTGTTGCTGTTGCTGTTGAGGAGATTGCTGTGGAGATGAAAACTGAGACACTGGCGCCGAGTTATAAGCTTGATTCTGTGGTGGATAGAAACCAAAACCTTCTTGATGTTGTTGTTGTTGTTGTGGTGGTGGTGGTGGTGGTGGTGGAACCATCTGCTGTTGATGTGGTGGTAGTGGAGCCATTGGAGCCATTGGAGCTGGTGGTAAAGATTGTGGGTTTAAATTAGCTTGTTGAATCAATCTTTGTAATTCCATATTTTGTTGTTTCAAAATAGCATTCTTGGCTTCCAAATGTTTAATATACTCAGTAGCTTTAGTTAAAACACTTGCCTTGTTCAATTTTGAAGCTGGAGTCAAACCTTCTAAATCGGCAATTGAAACATCATCACATCCAGCAGCAATTCGAAGAGCTGGAACCGCATCTCTTAAAGCCATGATTTTAGTATTAATATTGGTTCTGTACTTCTTCTCAATCATATTATGGGAGTTCTTATCCTTTGCTTTTGGTTTAGTAATCTTTGATGTTTTCTTACCGGTAGAAGTAGTGGCTGATGCTGAATTTGGAACAACAGTAGACGAACTGGTCTGTTTGACATATGGAACTGGTTCCTGTTTAAGCATAGGAGGTTCAGGAGAAGTCAAAATGGATTCAGCGGAATAATTAGATATTGGTGTAGCACCATCATTATTGCTTGAGTTTGTTGATGTAGACCCTGAACGTTTATTGGATGGATTGAATATGATATCCAAGTTGTCTTCATTCGCATTATAGTTCTGATTATTGTTTGGTGCAGAAACGTTGCCATCATAACACTCTAACGAATTATCTGACAAATAATCATTAAAATTTTGACCAGTGTAATTGTTCAAGTTTTGCATATTTGAAACTTCCAAGTCATCACCACTAACGGCAGATACTGGCGAGTACATAGTTGCATTCAAAACATTCATATTATCATACGTTTGTTGATCACTAGAGCCGTCACTAGGTAAAGCTCCTGAAATGGAATCCAAAAAGTCATCGGCATTAACAAAATCAAAGGCATATTGTTGTTGTTGTTGTTGTTGCTGTTGCTGTTGCTGTTGCCTATTAGTATTATTGACTCCTAATGGAGCATCAAACTGGGATAGCATTTTTTCTAATGTATTGATTGAATAGTTTTCTCTTTCTTACTCTTTGTTGAAGAATATATATATATATCAAAGTAATTGAATATGTCTGTACGTTAATGAAAGGAATAGGGGTGGGTATGAACAGTTGTTGCTGTTGTCTAGATGAAATAAATAAATAAATAAATATAAATAAATAATACGATACAATAAATAAATAAAATTAATCTGTTGGCTAAAACAGATACGTAGTAGATATTTCGATACTTGTTGAATTCAGGGTGGACAAAAGTGGATTTTGATTTGATAACTAATGGTGGGTACAGTACAAATGATTCTTTTGATAGTTGTAATATGAAATAAAATTAAAAGAAAAAGATATTTCTAATTGAAAGTAATTAAAAAAAGAAAGAAAAGTTGTTGATTTCTTAATTAATGTTGTTACAGTTTGTAGTAAAATATAAAAGCAAAAAAAAAAAAAATTTCTGCAAATTTCTAACTAATTTTTTTTTTGTTTTTTTATGATTTAATTGGTAAATAACTCTTTTATATATCAGGTCATTTTTTTTGCCTGTGCCATGGGAGAAAGAAAGAAAAAAAAAGAAATTATGCGACGGTATGTGTGTGTATTTCTTGATGGGTCCTGCACACAGATGCAAACATGGCGTGATTTTTCAAAAAAAAAAAAAAACAGTTGGCGGAATCCCAGTTCGTGTTGGCGGGATTGTGTCACGTATTTCCCGATGGGAAAAGGAAATGGAAATGCAAATGCATACTATTCCTGGGTCGATACCTGTGTCCTTGATATTGGATGGAAAGAAGCGTCCCGATTATGACTTGGAAGTTAACTAGCGAATGTGATTCCTTACATGGAAACTCATTTTTTAATTACAAACTAATAGTGTTTGATGTCAAAGCTGTATCTGTTTTGCGATATCTTGATCTCTTTTTTTTCTTTCGCTTAGATAACAGTTTAGCTACTCACTATCGTAAGACACATAGTAACGCACACTCAAACTCATATCCTACGGGCTCAAGATATTCTACGATGGAGACACTACGCCTTAACAAAGTATCAATCATTCAGGGACTATTAACCTTTCTGGAGTAAATTTCGGAGAAAAGAAAAAATAAAATAAGGAAAAAAGCATACACAAACAAATGACATATCATCAATGTACATGTGTGAGGCATGCACGCATCTTTTTGTATTTGGAATGTATGATACAAACTCCTACTTTACTCCGGACATTTACGTCAACTGTTCCGATGTTCTACGTGGATTCTTGTCGTGTCCACAAATGAATCATCATTTACGGGTGTACCTATTACACACACACATATATATATATATATATATTGAGACGTACAAATACATAAGGAAAATAATCTCCGCATTGAGCGTGCTTCAATTTCTCCTCTCTTACTTGTGGAAATTCAATATGCTACTTAATATGGTAATTGTCACTGGTCCTAGAATTGGCAAGAATATCGCTAATTTGTGATCCATTGGTGTAAATGCAGTAATTTCACTAGGTATCTCTCTAACTTTCTTGATACCTCGTTGAGGGTCCTCTAATGCTTTAAGTAAATTAGCTTTGAATATATTTATAAATGGAACCAAATCTTTTTCTTCAAAATCCATCTTGTTCAAGATCCCAATGGTACCAAACCCATCTATTGTAAATGTATTAGTTGTTGAGTTTTCTATGGAAATACCATGTTCTGGTAAGAATACAATATAATTCAAATCATTTGTACTATAAATCTCATCCAAATTGATTAAATATGGGATTTCTGATGATTGGATTAAACTATGGTTCAGTTTTAACAATTCAACATTATTCTTGATACTAGTAGTAATTCCATATTGATTTCTATATTTCCTAGGAACAAAATCGTTAAATGCTCCTTCAATATCAAACTGGATCTTTTTTGAACTATCAGAAACAATTGATATATGTACTTGTTGATCAGTTGGCTCTTCACTGAATTGTGTAGTTATTGGGGTTTGCTCATATGTCAAATAGTAAAATGCAGCAAATGGAAGAATTATTAACGTTGTAACTAATATAATCACACGTCGAACATTCGCAATTGTACTATTGGGTTTTGTTTTAATTGTTGCTGTCATATTAATTAGCGGGTTTGAACACCTTGTTGTTTGTTGTTTGTTGTTTGTTGTTGTCGTGGTTGTTCTTTGGTGGTAAAGAATGAAAATTTTTCTTTTGATAGCGAGAGAAACCAAAAGGAAAACAAACGTGTGTTGTTACGTTTTCGTGCGCGGTGGCTTGGAGAGACAACACATTCTTCAACGATACAGTTGGTACCAATTATTGTAATGATCTTCAATGATCATCAACCTTTTATTTTTAGTTATAAGTCCCGTAATCGGATATCTATTTGATCTTCTACATTTAACCCTCAACTTCACTTGTGTAATAGTAAGAAGAAGAATAATAATAATAATAATAATATAAAATATCAAAGACATATAAAACTATTCCGATTCAGAAAAGTACTCCAAATCACAGACATATCTACAATTAGGACATGAAAACAGCGGGTAGCTCTTTTGTAGTAATGGATGTATGCATCGATAATGCCACCAATGACCACACGTACTTATAAACATAGGGTGTCCAGGCTGAATTGTATTCAAACAGATGGAACACTCGGTGGCTTGTTTATCTCCAATTTGCAACTTCTTAAACATTTCAATATTATATGGATTCATCTTTCTTTGCCAGCTATTATTAAAGTGACATCTCATTTTAACCAGTCGGTACACTTCTTCAGTACCTCCTCTATAATCCATACCCAATTGAATAATATCCCCATCTATAACTGGCATCAAGGAACTTTCTTGTGATGCAGGTGAAAGTCTTATGTGATTAAGAAAAGTCCCTGATGAACTCTTGGTATCTCTAAGAAACCACTGTCCATCTTCGTTACAAAAAAACAATGCGTGGGTACGGGATACTACTTTACTTTTGAAAACAATTGGCGCAGAAGAACCCTGTGGTGCATGTGCAGCAGCCTTGTTCTTTTCAGTGTATCTTCCAATATTAATGGTACTCTTTGGTGGTAACCTCCGAATAACAGGTGAAAAATATAGACCCGATGACGACGATGAATGATCTATCAATGGTGTTAATCTCACAGAGTATAACCCATCTTTATCCAACCCTCCTTTGTTTTCTTCATCAACAAAAGTAGCTTCCTGTGGCGGTCTATTTGATTGCTCCTGGGGTGCTTGTACCTGTTCCTGCGGTGAAGGTGTTTGTTGATCATCTTGATGTTCTACCCCATCAGCAATAATTTCTTCCATATTCTCTTCATCAATCATATTATCCCCTGCATCATCATCATCTAATGGTCCAGTCGGTGAAGTAATACTACTACCTGCATTGATTGTGGTATTATTATTATTATTATTGCCTGAAATGTCGTCATTAGCATACTGATGTATATTACCTAATGTGGGACTATTTGACATTAATGGTTGTGACGATGATGATGACGACGCTCCTGGAGCTTCGGACGAAGCATTATGTGAACGCATTCCAAAATTACTCAAGAAATTTAATCCAAATGATGGTCTTCTAGTGGGTTGTTGCTGTTGTGATCGAGTTGGAGGTTCAAGTGGGGATGACGGACGACTGGAGCCAGGTGAGTTTAAAGGTGGCGTGGAGTTGGCTGATTTCGTTCTTGCTGGTGGTTGTACCGAATCCCTAGATATTGTTTTTGATGAACCCTCAGGCATATTTATAACACGTGGAAATTAGTGGTGCTGATCGGTACTGATAAATGACAACAACAACAACAACAACAAGAAAAAATGAAAATAATAGTCAACAACAAACGACAACAACAAAAAAAAAATCAGATTCGTGGAAATAATTTAAGAATGAGAGAGAAACAGAGACAGTTTGTGAGAGAGAAAGAAAAAAAAAAAAAAAAAGAAAATTTGTTGAACAGTGTTGTTTGTTTGAAATTTGTTTCTGTCGTTAATTTTTCTTTTCTTTTTTTTTTTTTTTTTTACTGTCGGTTTTCTTATATGACTTTTTGGCTGGTATTGTTAACTGTACTACATGTCGGTGATATACTAGCTACTAACTGATAATTTTGGATACATTTTTATACCAACTACACATACTCTTGTTCACCAATTATTCTTAATAGCAATTGTTGCAACTGTTTTCTTCCAGTAGGACTTCTCCAGATGAAATGATCACTGTTCTCAGCAATCACCCATTCTGCAGTTTTAGTACTTAATTTTGTAATTTCCCGTTGCCATTTGCCCCAATTTAACAGTTTTTTAATCATAAAATCAGAGGATATTACACCAATCATTAACCCATCAATATCTGCATCCATCACTTCATTGTACGATAATATACCAGATACCAACTGCTCTTCACATCGGGCTCGTAAGTATCGCGACAGGTGAACCATGTCTCTTCCAAATATTCTACTTTTACTTGAAAATTTCATCGGGTGTAAAAACCAATGCAAACTCGGTACAATACCCAAAGGAGATATCAATCCTCTTAACCACAACGAAAGACCCGTGATGTTATCCATAACCTCTAATGAATTCTTGAAAACATTTGTGTTTTCATTCTTTCGTCCACTACCACTAAACGGCCATTTCTTGAGCAAGTCAGGTGACCAACTATCGACAAATAATACAGAATGAATCTTTGCCCTATTTCTACTAGCAAACATTCTCGCATATAGTCCACCAATATCAAACCCAACAACAGCAAACGGACCTTCAATTTTCTCTTTCTTTAAAGCTTCAATCAAATATTCAGTGACAATACCAAGAGACTCTGGTGGCGGGGCAGAATCGGAAAATGCATACCCTGGACGATCCCAAATACAATACCTTTCCACTTTATCCAAATGATGCAACTCTTCAATCCATTCTTGAAATACCTCACTGGAGGTTAATTGACCACCTTCAACAAGCACAATTGGTTGATCTGATTTTCCGTGAACATCTCCAAAACAAGCAACGTGAACTCGAAATTGGTTATTATTGACAGGAACTAATTTACCCCATGGCTTTTCATGAGTGTCAAAACTTTGCAACCATAATGACAAACTGATACACCAAACAACCCACAAAATGAATACTTCAAAGACAACCTTGACTAGGATCACAAACAATTCATAAACTGTTTTTCTCTTTTCAATTCTACCAGTTAATCGAATTTCTTGGTAATGCTTCCCTTCTTCAACCCAATAATCTAATAATGAATTGAATAATGCATTCAAACAGGTCCAAGCAACAAGAGAGATATCTAAAAATCCCATTTTTTCTCTAATAGGAGATACCAATAACGATACAATCAAATCAATAAATAAGAGACCAGATACAATATATCCTAATATTCTTTCATAATATGCCGGAACAACAAAAAACCAATTGTTAATCGAGTTGACCATGATACAAATGATTGTCAAACTCAACCCAAAGAAGGATTTACCCCGGTTGTTAAACCCCGGAAGGGCAAAAAACTGACTTACTAATAATACTATGAATAATACCATATTCACATACACCAACGTGTGTACAATTAATTTCAATATTCTAATCTTTTCTAACTTCAATGGAGACACTTGTGGGTCATCTGGGTCTAACAATGGTTGCAGCTCCAATTGAGTTGCTTCTCTATCTTCTGGTGGTACACTATTTGGGGACACCGAGTGTGGTGGAATGTTTGAAAGTGACCCCCCAGATCCAGTACTTCCTTCTACTGCTCCAGTATCATTTTCCGATGTAGATTTATACTGTGACATAATTGTGGTTAACAGTTGCCAAAGTCGATAAAGAGTAGTAAAACAAAAAAAAAAAAAAAGAAAAAGAAGAGAATTAATAAATGAAATTCTGCGATAGCAATTATAAATTTCACTATTTGGAACGCCTAATGGAAATCAAAAGAACTAATTCATTAGTGGTTAAAATATGTTTTATAACTGATTATCATTATAAAAAACCCAAGAATCTCTAAGTAATATCAAAACAATAGGATTTTGACGATTGGATCTTGGATTTTGATAACGAAAATATATTGCATATTCGTGATACAAAGAATAAATTAAACGAAAAAATAAAAAAAATATCGAGACTGTGAACCAATCATAAATAACAACACCACAAACCATGGCTGTGATAACTATCCCATCAGATACCGAGATAGCTGGTAATACGTATTATGAAATCAATGTCAAGCTTCCGCTACGATCATTTGTGGTTAAGAAGAGATACCTGGAGTTTGAACTGTTGGTACTGAACCTTTGCCATCAATTGGGTATTAGTAACCGAGATTTCCCGTACAGTTTACCAGGGAAACGTATACATTGGTTAAATAAAGCACAAGTTGTTGAAGAAAGGAAGGTATCCTTGGCAGAGTTTTTAAATAATATTATCCAGGATACATCACTTCAGAATGAGAAAGAAGTGTTATCCTTCTTACAGTTACCGCTGTCATTTAAATTTACCAAAGAAATGTTGACCAATAACCGAGCGGATTTGGAATCAGTTGAAAAGAACTGGTACGATGTTTATCGAAAGCTTAAACTGGATATTGTCAATGAATCAGCTACTACTATTAATGAAAGGATCCAACTCCACAACAGAATCAATAGACTGTACCAACCAAGAATGATAGAGTTGTTGCAAACAGTATCCAATGTTGATCATAATGAAGCAATCAAGAGGAAGCAATTGATTGGACAACTACAGGAGAAAGTCGATGAATTGTTAAAGAACGATCAACCACGAGAACTAAAATCTAAACGAGTATTGGGAAGTGGGTCTACTTCAGTTAAAGAAACAGCCGAAACTTTGCCATTGGACAACAGGGAACTTCTCCAGCATCAAATTCAAATTCATAAAGATCAAGATAAAGAGTTGGAACAATTGAGAGTTATGATTGCTAGACAACGACAAATTGGGGAATTGATTAATACCGAAGTCGAAGAACAGAATGCCATGTTGGATAGGTTTAATGAGGAAGTTGACTACACTGCTGGGAGAATCAAACAAGCGCGTAGTAGAGCAAGAAAGATTTTATAATAGCCTATTTACTGCATCAATATTGTCAGCCATACTGTTTACACGAACTGGTGCACCTAGTTGTTCGTTAGAAAGCTGTTCAAGTTCATGATCTTCCAACAGTCTATCAGTATTTCCATCTAGTCCCCAAAACCCACCCACGTTTTGAAAGAATGTTTGGATACCAAATCGACGAGGTGGGAACGAACGTCCTGCATTAGCTAGATTGAATATACTTGGGTGATACTGGAAATAAAAGGATGCACCCACAAAAGTTCCTAGGATCGAGCCTGCAATTATGTCCCTTAGGAAGTGTCGATTATCACTCACACGAGTACTGGCCACAAATGCTGCTGTAAAAATTGGGAAAAGTGTAAGAAACACCTTGAATGAGTTGTTTCTGCTGTCAAAAGTTTGCAACCTTGCTGCTACGTTTAGTGAAGTTATTGTCATGCCAGTGAATACAGTTGACAGGTGCCCACTTGGAAATGTTCTGAATCCTTCTTGTACTAGTGCCCAATCTGGTTGAGTACATATACCAACATGGGATAACCGAGTAATGGGGATGTTTTGGTACATGGGCTCGCACCTATCAATAAAGTCTGGTCGCGGTAATCCTGTAATGTTTTTCAATAGCACAGTAGCAAGTAACTGGGTAGCCATTGCCCCCAACAAACACAAACTGCCAGCAAAGAAATCCCACATGCGTCGCTTGATGGGCAGGGGGAGTAGAAGCGAAAACGCTAAGAATTGCAAAAGTGGAAGACCAGCGGATATAAGTACCAATAGCCAGATTGGAATGGTGATTGCGTTTTCTGGGAAATAAGTGAATCGAAGTGAAATATCATAAAGCAGGAATTCATGGTATCTTGGTGGAAGTGTACGACCCAATGTGGCAGATAAAATCAAAACCGTTGAATAGAATAAAAAATCAAATACATATGAGATTGTTGACAACCCCGATAGTTGTATATTTGTGAATGTGAATGTCCAATCTCTAAGCATTTCAATTTACTGACCTGTTGCAAAAACAAAACAAAATCTAAAGTGAGTACAAGTTCAGAAATATCAGAATCTCTTCTTTTTTTTTTTTTGTTTGTTTGGTTTACCCGCATTTGACTTTGCCCACTATAAAAGGCGAACCAAGATGAGGTAGGAAAATTTTTCTTTTATTTTACACTTTTTTTTTTCTTTTTTCTACTCCTTCTTCATCGTCGATATTATAAGTGTATGTATTGAATAATAACTTCAATTCCTTATTGTATTGTGTTTTAATGATGATAACGTTTTCGCCTATAATTGATTTCTTAGATGAGAACAAATCAAACAATTACACCAAGATCTACGCTGATTTTAATGCAAAACAGAATTAAGAATTAATGAAGAAGAATTTTCAATTGTCTATAACAAAAATACTAACTATTTTAAGAATTCACCCCAGAGTTTAACACCTTTTTCTATTTCTTCCTTGGTTAAGTAACTAATGGATAATCTGACACAGTGTTGTCCCCAGCTTCTTGTGTCCCCAGATACTTCAAAGTTTTCACCACCAGCAAGAACAACGCCATGTTTAGCCAATTCAGTAACAGTTTCGTATGCATTGGCATTAGGAGTAACTACCCAGACAAAGTATCCACCTTCTCCTCCATATACCTTTGTATCTGCAGGTAAATACTTCGCAATACTTTCTTTCAATACTCTAACTCTTTCACTGTAGACTTTTTTAAAGCTCTCAATGATCTTGTCTATTTCACCAGAGTTTATCAAGTCAGCAACCACAAAGGTCGATAACTGGTTTGGTGTTCCACCTGAACGATTGCTTCCTGTCACCGCCAATTGTTGAACCAATTTTGGTGTAGCGCTTTCTTGCCAACCAACTCGTAAACCCGGAGCAATAATTTTGGAGAATGTGGCATTGGAAATGGTATTTCCATAGGAACTGGTCACTGTGGCTTTATCTAACTGGTTGAATCTGGCGATAGGATTTTTAGCGTCTGTGTAATCCAAAAATTCATAAACATCATCACTAATAAGCAACATGTCGTACTTTCTTGCTAATTCCAACAATTTATACCTAGTCTGCAATGAATAGGTTAAACCACCTGGATTCGAGAAAGTTGGTACCAAGTACATGACAAATCTGTAAAATTTTCTTTTCCCTCTCACGGGATCAATCTTGATATTGATATCATCATGAACAGGTTCTAACCCTTGTGAATATTTAATTAATGCTTTCTCGAGATGTTCAACATCAATAGTGTACTCTCCGTTGGGTGTTTCTTCGATGGCTGTCATCTTTCCTTCAAACCCCACGTCGAGAAAGGAACTGTTGATCAAAAAATAAGTTGGGGTGACTATAAATGCTCTTTGGGTAATTTCTGGGGATGTGACCGAAGCAAGAATATTTCCCACACCATATGAAGCACCTGCAGTTAAATTGATACAGTCAGGATCCGACCCTTGGATACCAAATTTCCTATCAACCCACTGGGCCACAGTTTTTCTAATTTCCAAGTTACCTGGATCTGTTCCATATTGTAATGGATGTTGGTTTAGTGGATCGGTATCATAGGATAAATAGTTTGAATCCAACAACACTCGCTTGTATGATTCGGCAATCACTTTTGCAGGAAGCAATTCCCTTGTAGGGTGACCCTTAAAAAAATTGATCATATCTTGATGTATTCGACAAAAAAGAAAAAGAGATAACAAAAGAGAGAGAAAAAAAAATTGCGGAGAATGATGTAATTTATAGATTTTGATTGTAATAGATAGCATAGTTGATAGAATGGTAAAAGTATGATAGAACGCCATGTCACCAATTTACATACTGATGGTCTTCCACGGTGCTCAAACCATTAATCGATGATGATGATCATCGTCATCAAAACTCAATTCTTTGGTTGAAATAGCAGAAGAACAAAAAGTCGTCTCATGCTCAATATCACCACGTCCAATAGATTTTTCCACGAACAAGAGAAAAAAAAAAAAAAGAGAGAAAGGAAAAAAAAATCAGGGCTAGCCAATAGTGAAGAAGAAAAATAATCGTCACTATTATTCAAACATCATATATTCCATTCACACATCATGCCTACTGCCACTGGTTTACTTTTAAGTTCTGTATTTGGTACAACTGTCAGAATTTTGCAAACTTCCATGAGTGGAAGTCCAGCTAAGTTATCTTCCAAATTAATGGGTTATGGTTTAACCATTGGTTCAAGTGTTGGTGTTTATCTTTTGCTCATTGACCCAACCCTTGAAAACAACAGAAAACTTTTCAACAAGAGATTGGCATTGTTACGTGAACAAAGAGAAAAGAAAGCTGAATTCTATGACTTTCAACCAGCCAAGAAAGAACTCCCATACAAAAGAGGTGCTGTTTTCGGTCTTCTTGATAGATTGGGTGCTAAATACCAATAAGCATTGCACAGTTTATAGTACAAATACATTATTTATATAATTATTCATTCTCCTTCGATTTACTGAAAACCCCATCTTCTTCCTCTTCCTCTTCTGATACATCAAATGCAGCAGCATCACCATCATTATCTGATTGAACATCACTATCATACTCTTCATCAACATCGCTATCACTAACACCTCCATTAAAATCCTCATCATCCTCGTCGTCGTCTTCTGGAGGAATCTCTGGTTTGAATTCTCCCACTACAGCTAGCTCTTCAATCAGCTCGGTCTTGGTAAGTTCGTGACCATCATTTGTAAACGAAGAATCTGTTATATCGTGTGATTTGATAAAACCATCAATCATCTGGTAGTATTTTTCACTAATCATACTAAACTCAAGGTGTCTTTGTTCATCCTTGCTGTTCAAAACTGATATGTTTAAATTGAATGTCAGACGGGTGATATTACTGTAACTGGCCCTGATAACACGTGTAATTGGGTATACTAGGATCGGCTTTTTGAACCCAAAAATGATATATGCTGGGTTAACTGAGTTGTCTTCCAAAAACATCAACACCCCATCTTTTGCCCCTTTATAACAATCAACCATTACAAGTGCGGGTGTCTCAGATCCTTCAATGGTTAGTGAAAGAGCGTCATCATTATTTAGCGAGTAAGTGTTTTTAAACAAGGACGTTGCTGGCAAATAGTTAATTACAGAAATACCACACATCTTGAATTGTCTCTGGAAATGATCAATAATACGTTCCTGGACTGGATCCAATATCACTGAATTCTTGGGATGGAAAAATTGGGACTCAAAGTCTGCTGGGAGTTCGCCATTCTTCACCTTTTGTTTCTTGATCAAATCCAAATTCAACTGACAAACAATTGGATCCCTTGAAGCATTGCTATCTTCGGGGTAAAAATCATCATGCATCCAGCAACACAAATAGCAGACACCTCTCTTGGATGGGTTGGTTGTGTTACCCAATACTGGAAGAAATGCACACAATTTAATGGCATCTTTCAAATCTGTGAATGTGTGCTCGGAAATATTGTTTGCTGGGTTGACAATGGATAGGGCAGGGGTTGCCGTCTCCCCATCTTGAATCAAATGCAAAGTTAAATTCATCCTTTTCCTCACAGGAGATACAAAGGATATCTGATTAATCTCAAATATGATTGTTTCTGGTGGAATTACTTGAGTTTCTTCCAGTATTTTTCTGCGTTTAACAACTCCACTTTTGAGATAGTCGTGAAGGTTACAGAAAACCTCTAAGCTAGATTCATCTTTTTGAACGACAGCATTGATCTGCTCTTGTAATTCAGAAGGAAGTTGCAGAATCCAATCTGTCCCCATAATTGTCCGTGAGGAAAAGCAAAGAAATACGCAAGTGTGTGAAAATTTGGTAACGTTTAATTTTTTTTTTTTGTTGTTGTTGTTGTTGTTGTTGCTGTTGATAATGAGTGTATAAATCAAAACACGAAATGGAAGAACTATTAGATCAAAATGCTGGTATACTACACGTCTTACCAAATATATTATCGGGGTTAATTAAACATGAACCAGTTTATGATATACTTTTAGATTCGGTGGAGAATGCCTTGATAAGAAGTCAGTTATTAGAGATGGAAATCGACCGTAATGTTACTGAACTATCATTTGATCAAGATAAAGCAGCTCTACTATCAATGCTCCTCGGCAACAGCTTTATCAACGCGTTAGATCTTGTATTCAATCTGGAAATATCGGGCCCGCTATGGAATATATCAATTGTACCTGTATTAAAAAGAGATATCGCCCACTTGTTGGCGAAACTAGGGCTTTGTTGGAAAAACGAACAGCTAGTAAAAGGAAGCTTACAGTTTATTCACAGAGAAGAAGGTTCTCATACCCATGTTGATTTATCTAATTGGTACTGTGAATGTCAGGAATACCAGTCCAAATACATTGATGAGATGCAAGTCATAAATATAAGAGGTGATTCTTTTCTAGAGCAGTTGTTTCAAAATATGAAATCCAAGCCGTTGTCTCCACTTCCTATATGCACACATATAATAGTAATTCTAATAGTAAAATACAATTCTACGTACTTTAATATATAAACGTCTGAAATAAAAACCAAGGTCGTGTGTATCGGTCAACAATCAGTGAACGAACTCCTCCAACAATTACATTGAAAGGGGAAAAAAAAAAGAAAACATTTTGTCTTTTCTCTCTCTTTCCTATGAATGATCAATCTACTTTCCACCAACCAAATCTACTATAATTTTGTATTATCCACTTTTTGACAAGAACATCTAAAGGATATCTTTTTTTTAAACAGTTATATTCATACATAATATAAGCATTACGTTTTAATTTTAATTCTTCATTTCAAACGTTTTCCCAATCCAGATTTACAAATACAATTCTTTTTTTTCGTTTGTCTTACTTTTTTTTTTGCCATTCTTTTTCTCATCCAACAATTAAAACAAGAGAAAAAGTTTTGAAAGTGAGAAAAATTTTCAACAAACCTATTGTGAACAAACCACTATTCAATTATAAATAATTCCATGTTTTAAACCTATGTCATCGTCATCTTCTTCAAATTCAGGATCTCTGCGCTTTCGTAGTGACGCAGCCAGTTTCTCACCGGGTCAGTATCCCAATTACATCCCACAACAATTTCCTCCTCATCAATACATGCCACCAATGCATCCGCAACAACCAATATATTATCAATACCCAAATTACCCTATTATGGTGAATCAGATCTATGGTGGAGTGTATACACATGGATACATGCAAGAAAACTTTTTTCCTCCACAACAACAACAGCAGCAACAACAACAACATTTTATGATTCCACAACATCAACAACCATATATGACTAATAATTACCAACACCAGCACCAGCACCAACATCAGCATCAGCATCAGCATCAGCACCATCCTCCAAAAAGTTTAAAAATAGCAAACCACCAAAAGTAGTTGAACACCATACACCACCAAAAGAACACAAGAAGAAAGAAGAGCATACTAGGGATATTCCTTTTTTTGTAAATACCACCAAGGATGAATTCCTCCAAAATCATAGTTTAACTCAAGAATCTCGTTCGATAGAGGATCTCCAAAGAAGAAATATGTTAGAAGAATGCATTTCAAGTAATGATAGAGTAATTATTAATACCAATTTTATGAAAATTATAGACGTAAACGACAACAAAACAACCATCACTGATGGCCTGCCAAAACTACCAGCAGTACCAAACAAAGAAGCCAAACCATCATCATCATCATCATCACCATCATCACCAGCACCCCAAGAACCAGAACCGGTAACGGGAGAGTCGGCGGTATCTTCACCAGCACCTCCAGTTCGTAATTGGGCTTCATTCTTACAAGCTAACGCCCCACCACCACAACCAACTCCAAAGAAAACAGTTAAGCCAAAACCAGCCTCCCAGACTCCTATCCAACCAACACCTGTATCAAGATCAATAACACCAGTAGCACCATTTAATATCAATAACGAGTCTTCACAGCCATTAGGAATATTATTGCTTAGGATTATGTTTGACAGTAACTACTCTGTCTTTAATTCATTGGCAACATTTGATGTTAAACCTCGAGGATTGACAAATTCTGGGAACATCTGTTACATGAATTCCATATTACAAATTTTGCTTTATTGTGAGCCATTTAATAGATTGTTAAAACTTATAGAGACGAAGTCGATTGGAAGTTTGGGAGTCTCTCCAACACCATTACTTGATGCCACCATCACTTTTTTCAACCAATTTCAAGAAGATTCCAAGGCACCAGTATCACCAGAAGATTTTTATTCATCCTTGACTAAGCAAGATAAATTTTCTCATTTGAAATGGGGTCAACAGGAAGATGCTGAAGAGTTTTTGGGATACTACATTGATGGTTTGAATGATGAGATGTTGAACGAAATCAAACTGGTGAGCACAAGTCAAGTTGATAAATTAATACAAACATATTCTCAAGAACATGACAGTGAGTCGTCAGCCAAGTTCAAGTACAATATCAAATCCACAATAAGAAGAATCAAGAATGAAGAAGAAGAAGAAGATGGGGAGTGGAGTCAGGTCAATAACAAGAAAAACAGTACTACAACCAAAATAGAGGTTGATCCAACACCTCTTAATATGATTTTTGGTGGACAATTCAAATCAGTGGTGACAATACCCAAGCAATCGTCATCCTTCCAAAGATCCATTACCTTGGACCCCTTCCAACACGTACAGTTGGATATTTCCGCTGTCGATACTATTGAAGATGCATTCAAACACTTGAATGAGCTCGAGAATATTAGTTACACAAATAATAACAAAGAGATACAGGTTAAAAAACAAACATTTATTGAGAAATTGCCAAATGTTTTGATAATACACTTGAAGCGATTTAGCTACCTAAAAGACCAAGAGATTGGTGTTGAAAAATTAAGAAAGAAGATAGACTACAGTCATGATTTAATAATACCCAAAGAAGTATTGGCCACTGAACCAAGCACGCCGATCAAATATCAGTTACTGGCTGTTGTCTACCATCATGGTAGCAGTGCGGACGCTGGTCATTACACAAGTGATATACATAATGCAGGTGTATGGTGGAGAATTGATGATACTTTTGTCAAACAAATCAAGAACGAAGAGGTGTTGAATGCTGGAACAGAAGAGAATATAAAGAATGCATACATTCTATTATATTCAAGGATTTAGCCTCAAGTGGAAATAAAAAATAAATTAAAAACAAAAAAAATATCAATGTTCTATTATTATATAGTGTGTTATTAATTTACATTTACATCATTACGACAATTGCTACACCAGCAGCGGCAGCAATTACTGCATTTGTGAGTAGTCTGTTTGCTCCGTTAGCTTCTATTACTGTGACGTTGGTTGAGGTGTTGTGGGTATTTCCGGATTGGAGGATAGGTACCGAGGAAGATTGTTGGTTGATAATAAGGGAAGATTGATCATCAACAGTTGTGATGTAGTCAATTGTACATTCATCAGTGACTGTCAAAGTAGTTGGATTGGTGATTGTGATAATTTCATCGTTGATGGTTATTTCCGTAGAACCTAGATTTAATGTTAGTTTTCGTTGTGGATAATCAATGCATATTCAGTTTGTAAGAAAACATACCTGTAACAAAAGTTGTAAAACCAGATGCTGTCGAAGTAACAGTGATGGTAACACTAGCAGCACATGCAAAGATGGCAAAAGTTAAAGAAATAATTAATTGTCTTAACATTGAAATGGTTTTGTCTTGGTTTGAATTACTCAATTAATTCTAATATTTCAGAGAAAACTCCAATGTTATATATATATACCCATGTTTTGTTGGCTAAGCCGCACAAATGCTGGTTTTCTTTTTTGTTTATTATGAAAAATTAAAGTTACTTGCTACGCGACGTGAAAAATGGCTGGCCGATGAATCAATTGCAACACACAGACACACACACACACACATATATATATGATTGATGCTGGATTTGGTGATAATTTTAGATCTACCGGAAAGTTGGTATAAATCTCATTCTTCTTCGGAGTAATATGATACACGTAATTCCCGGGTCATTCACGTTTTTTATTGTTTACAAATATTTTTTTTTTTTAACTTTCGTATTTTTGTTGACACCGAGACAATTCTCCCGGGAAGAAATGATCAGGTATTATGCACCCCACAGACTAAAGAAGAAAAAAAAAATACAAAAAATTATGTGACGAAAACATGTATTAAACCCAAACTAATGAAAAAAAAAATCTCTAATGTACAAATTAATTATAAAATGAATAAGGAAACAATAAAAAATAAAGAACCTATAGAAATGCATATTTGATTACCAACATTCGTAACCACCATCCACTACCAAATTGTGACCAGTAGTGTAGGAAGAGGCAGAATCAGAAGCCAAGTACAAAATAGAACCGACAAATTCTTTTGGCTCGGCCATTCTCTTCATTGGAATCTTGGATTCCCATTCTGTCTTCATTTCAGTGTGACCACTAATAACATTTCTTGTCAATGGAGTCAAAATATAACCTGGGGACAAGGTATTGACTCTGATGTTGTATTTGGCCCATTCACATGCTAAAGATCTGGCCAAGTGAATGACACCAGCTTTGGACATGTTGTACATACATTGTGGTTGTGGATCGTTGACAATGGTACCAGACATAGAACCAATCAAGATAATAGAGCCAGTCATGTTATTTTGAATCAAAGGTCTGGCGAAAGCTTGTGAGACGTAAAAGGATCCTAAACCATTGACCTTCATGATATTTTCGGCATTCTTGGCTGGGTATTCTTCAGCAGGGAAATTTTCAGCATAACCAGCTGTGTTAATCAAAACACTGGCAACTTTACCGTGGTGTTCGTTGATGGCTTTGAATGTCAATTCAACAGCTTCAGCATCACCAATGTTACAGGACCAAGCACTGACTTGACCAATTGGAGATTCGTGTTTTCCTTTCATTTGTTCTTCACCCCATTGTAAAACATCTCTTGCGGCTTGTTGGGTTCTTTCCAAGTTCATATCAATCAAAGCAATATCAGCACCTTTTGCTAACAAGGCTCTGGAAACAACAGCGGACAAACCACCAGAACCACCAGTGATAATTACTAATTTTCCATCCAATCTAAAACTTGGAACAATGTTGTCGTATGACCAGTATGATGAGGAGTCCATGATGATAATAATAAGTTGATGATAATAATTATAATTACTGAAAGTTAATAGTAAAGAAATATATACGTAAAAAAAAAGATGATCAAAGTTCTAATTTCAAAGGGAAAGCTTGGGTTTATATATACAAAAAAAAATACAGTGTAATCTAGTTGTTACACAATCTAATTATGGAAATCCATACTATCACTAACATTTTTTTTTCTCTCTCTATAGAGCGATGCCCGCCTGTCTTCGGGAAGATGTAATTTTTTTTCCCTCAGTAACTTTATCGTTATGAGTTAGGAGCGGTTTTTCCAATATTTTATGTTGACGGAAGAATTATACTATAAAACAGAAAAAACTTCCTCCAAAAAAGAAAAAAAAAAGGGAACTTGCACGTTTTGTGTTGTCACATCTATTTTTGGGGGGACCTGCTGCGATAAACGTTATGTGCCCACCGGAAGACAGATTATCACCAATAAAAAAAAAGAAAAATGAGAATGGGGGGATACTGATATCAAATCTTGGCTAATACCCAACAACACTTGATTTGGGGGGCTATAAAATCTCACGATAAGTAGCACCATGTTGTAGTTATAGCATATGGTTGCATAGATTTGGTTGATGATAATGCGCCGATACTGTTTCCATGTCCTGTATGTAAACTATAGAGAAAAAGAAAAGAGAAAAAGAGAAACAACTTCGTCATTGGACATGTTGAATATGATTTGTGTAATTACCAACGTCATAATCTTTTATCTAAAGTAGGAACCTTATATCGGATTACTCAAAAACGTTGAGCAGGACGTACATATCGAGCCGTTTGTGTAGTTTTCAAATTGATGGCAGCAACAGCAAAAAAAAAAAAAGAAATTAATGATTGCAATTTGTTTTAAACGTTCAACAATTCTAGAATTTAAACTCATGTCTCGGTGTTGATAACAATAGGATAAGACTACTCCGAGATACGTACGATAAGTGTGAAATTGAAGTTTTATTCTTGTCGTTGTTTTCTTGAAAATTTGGATAAATATCTTGAGGAAAAGTGATTATTTCATCGAACTCAGAGTGATTTTTTTTTTTCTTCAAGATTAGTCATTTCAACTCCATTGGGAAAATCAATGCGTACCGCTAAGAAGTGGGGAATGTGAAAAGTAATCCAATATAAATAGTGGGTAATTTGCTTCAATTCAGCACAGTCTACAATTACCATACGCAAAATGACTTTTACAATTAGACCCATTGAAGAGAAAGACAAACAAGAATGGTTAAACCTTTGGAGTGGACCCGGTGGATACATTGAGTTTTACAAGTCTTTAGATAAGATTACCCCGGAGATCTCAGAAACAACTTTCTCTAGATTTCTTGATCCAACAGAGCCCGTTTACTCCATTGTTGCTGTCGACGACTCCGATGGTAAGGTTATCGGATTTGCTAATTATTTAACCCACAGAAATACCTGGACAATCGAAAATGCCCTTTATCTTAACGATTTGTTTGTTTGCTCCGAAAATAGATTGCACGGTGTGGGAAGAAAATTAATTGAGTACGTGTACGATGAATGTGACAGAATGAATTGCAAGAAATGTTATTGGAGTACCCAGTTTGAAAACCATAGAGCTCAATTGTTGTACACCAAAGTTGGGGTCAAAAGTGGATTCTTATTATACAGACGTCCATAGCTGGAATTGTATGAAAGTACACGACATTTGTTTTGATTTTGATTTTTTCTTCCTCTTTTTTTTTTTTTTACATGTGAGGAGATAAACCTGTTTCTCTCTATCTGTATTACGTTTCCTTTTTATTTTTTTTTTGCCATCCCTGTTTATTCTAGTTAATAATCAGTATGAACTTTCTTAGAAAATTCATTGGAACAACTACCACTGATGAGGTGGCTCTGATTCCATCAGGAAAGTTATTTCTCACACGTTCCAAGCAATCGCCAAAGGGTGCACTTGAATGTCTTTACAACGATGCATATGCTTCAATCAAACAAACCACTAGCCCTTATTATTTCCAATTGTGCGTCACTAGAGTTTATCAAGAAGGTGAATCTGAGTTTAGTAGGTTTGATGATTCTGAAGAAGAAGACGATTTAGATGACCTGATTCCTACCAGTGACTCCAAATCCCAATCGAAAGATGAATGGGTTTTCTCAATTTCTGAGGAGTTGAAGATTTATAAATTAGATAAACCAGATGGTACCAGAGCCATTGCATGGAAGGATTTGAATGGTGATCTTGGTGATAATTTTGAATTTGTTATTGATGAAGAAGTTCGTAACAGTGAAGTTGAATCATTCATGTTGACTATTTACAAGTGTTTGTATGAAAGTAAATACCACGCAAGTGCATTGGGTATTAACGATATGAGTCAGTTAAAAGAGTTTGTTTATAATCCAAAAATGGAATTGTTAACATTTGAAGATTTGAAAGACCTTGATGATTCAGAAGAAGAGGATGAAGAAGATGAGGAGGAGGAAGAAGATGATGATGAGGAAGAACGTGATACCAAGAAAGATGGATCCGAAGATGACGAAGATTATGATGGTGGTAGTGCTGGGGCAGGATCTGGTGGTGGCAAAGCCAATGATAGCAAATCCTTCAATTCCCAAGAATCTGATGTGGAACCAAAGGGGGAAACCAAGTATGCCACCAAAGATTTTGATTTACACTTATATGACGCTGACAGTGGTACTTTTGTTTTGCAAGCTTCAAAACCTGATGTGGAATTGAAATTGATTGATTTGAGCAAATGGGAATATACACTTTATATTCATGCCAAAGAAATCAGAATCAATGGAGCAATTAGTAAGAATATGAATCCTACATTTAATTATGAACATTTGTCGTTTATTTTCAACTATTATACTTTGGAGAAAGGAGAGATTGCTGCGTACTCGTGGTTGTTGAAGTTTCCAAGCTTTAAAGATTTGGCTGATTTCCAAAATAAATTTCTTTCCTTGATGTATGAAACGTTGAATAAGGATAAATGGGGGAAGAATAAAGAACAAGATTATTTTGTTGACGCCTTTTCCAAATTAAAGGTTGATGAAGAAACTATCGAAGAAGGAACTGAATTGGAAGAAGAAGAGGAAGATGATGATGATGAAGAAGAAGAAGAGGAGGACTCGGATGATTCTCGTGATGATACGATAAAATGGGAGACTAAAGATCAACGTGAAAAAAATAGCAACTTAGCTATTGGGTACTCCAAGGATAGATCTTATGTTGTGCGAGGAGACAAGGTTGGTGTTTTTAGTGAAAGTGATGATGGTCAACTTCAATTTCAAACTGCCATTAACAATTTGACAGATCTTCACGGAAAGACATTTAATCCTGAAAAGATGCTTCTTCATCAACAAGACCAATTTATGATTATGTCCAACCCACAATTCAATGACAAATCCTTGTATAAGATGGATCTTAATCGTGGAAAGATTGTTGAAGAATGGCAAGTGTCCAAAGAAGTCCCTGTCAAGTCGTATGCTCCAAATTCCAAATTTGCTCAATTAACCAACGAACAAACATTAACCGGTATTTCCTCAAACGGGTTGTTCACCATTGATCCAAGATTAAGTGGTAATAAGCTTGTCAATGATAATACCTACAAGGCGTACAAAACCACCAATAATCAATTTCAAACTTTGGCTACTACCGACAAGGGATACATTGCTTTGGGTAGTGGTAAAGGGGATATTAGACTTTTTGATAGATTGGGTGTTAATGCCAAAACGGCATTGCCATCGTTGGGAGATCCGATTATAGGAATTGACATATCCAAGGATGGAAGATGGTTGTTGGCGACATGTAAAACGTACTTGTTGTTGATTGACAACAAGATTTCCGAAGGGCAAAAGAATGCTGGCAAGTTGGGATTTACCAATTACTTTGATAAAGACAAGAAGCCAACACCCAGAAGACTTGCGTTGAAACCAGAACATGAGGCATATATTGTTAGAGAGAATGGAGGCAAGCCAATGACTTTCACTCCTGCTTACTTCAACACTGGTCTTGATTCCAAGGAAACTACTATTGTTACATCTTCCGGTAAATATGTGATTAGTTGGTCAATAGGTAAAGTGTTGTTGAACAAACCTGACCCATATGTGGTGAAGAGGTATACTCAAAATGTTATTGCAGACAACTTTAAGTTCGGTTCGAATAACGAAGTGATTATGGCTTTACAAGATGACGTGTCTATGGTTAACAGACGTAGTTTAGCCAACCCAAAGATTGTATTTACTAAATAAATAAATAAATATATAGCTATTATTTTCTCTTTACCAGAACTTGAATGCTTGTTTCATTTCCTCTAACCAAATACGGCGGAATGCATTCACTTTCTGCCATGCTGTAGGTTGATAATTATGAACATCAAACTCTTTGACTTTGGATGCATCTGGGAACTCTTGATACGGCACACGGTTTACTCTTGCATGTATTTTCCTCACCCAATTATTGAACCCTGGTGATTCTATTAGCATACGATAGAGGTATTCCTGTAACGAGTTTGGCGGAGGTCTCATAGTAGCATGATATGGTGGAGAACTAGTGGCAATGGAGAAAAATTTCCTTGTCAGGTTTTTTTTTTTTGTTTTTCTGTCTCTGTTTGAATTTTGTGACACAAGACCGTTTTCAGTCGAAAAGTAAACATTACTATCATCTTGGGCTGAAAAAAAAAAGAAGCAGGAAAAAAAAAAACATTATACAAACTTGTATTCGTTTTCTTTTTGATCATTATACAACAATATCAATAAATGATTAATATGAGTCTATTAACGAATTCATCGTCCCTGGAAGATGATTTATGTAATGAGTTTGATTTGGACTATAGTGATATCATACCCCAAGAATCGTCGTCAATTTCAAACACTAAAATATCATTACCGCCTGATTATTCTACATCTAATCGAATCACCAACGAATTATTCCAAGTCACTAGTAATTTAAGAGATACATACAAAAGAAATGGTCAACCGAAACGATTGAATAATAATAAAATTGAAAAGTTAATACAGGATATCAACGTGAACCAAGAATTAGAAGAGTCGGGATTTGAATTGGACGATATAGTACGAACAAGGGTGTTTAAAGGGAGATTCAAAAATCGCAACAGCTCATATGCCATGCTACCTAATTTGAATGGATATTTTGATGAAAACAAAGAAAACAGAGACAAGCCTTCCAAAGTGACTAAATCCAACAAATTGTCATTACCTATTCTACAGCCAATCACCAACAATCCAAAACGTCATACAATACGATCACCAAAACGCTTATGTCGACCAAAACATAGATCGATCCGTCCACAGAAGCCATCCATCAAGGCGTTCGATAAGTCCAATATTTTTCTTATTGAATCACTGACTGGTTTAATCAATGATGCAACCAAATATGCCACTGAGTTGAATGGATCCCATGGTGAAGAATACCCACTACCCGAGCACGAAAACGAGGTGGTACAGATCCCTACCAATGAAGACAAAGATCCCAAGATGGCTATCATAAGAATGTATAAACCTAAAAGATTAGCCAAAACTGACGATTCAGACCACAAGAACGGGTTCTACAACGAGGCGGAATTTGACATATATAGAGACCAACAAAGTTCCGGAGTTCAAGTTGTTTCAAGCTCTGTGGGAAGCAGTTCAGGTACAAAGAAATCGGTCAGATGGGCAGATAATTTAGAATGGTAAGTAGTGTATAGAAATAGTACTGTCGTCGTAATTCTCACAAGACTTAAAAAAAAAGAACACGCATCATCAACAACAACAACAACAAAAAAAAAAAAAAAAAAACAACAACAAAAATACTGCCTCTTTTTCTTCTTCATTCAACAAACACATTCGCTATGTCTACCTTTTTCGATGAAATGTCAAAGTCATTTGCCGACGTTAAAGTCGCAGATGGCAAAATCGACACTGCTGATTTCTTAGAAGCTTCTGAATCTTTGGTTAAGTTGTTTGATCTTTTGGGATCATCCGCATTTACTGTTGTTAAATCAGATATGACTGGTAATATCACCAAGATCCGTAAGAAGTTGTTGGAAGATCCAGTCAACAGCGGTACTTTGCAAGACTTGATCCTTACTGAAGCCAAGACCAAGACAAAGACTGCCACCCAAGGTTTGTTGTGGTTGTCACGTGGTTTACAATTTACTGCCCAAGCCATGAGAGAAACTATTGACGCTCCATCCAAAGAGTTGACTGTTACATTCACAGATGCATACACCAAGACATTATCCCAATTCCATGGTATGTTGGTTAAACCAGTTTTCAAATTGGCCATGAAAGCTTGTCCATATAGAAAGGATTTCTTTGAAAAATTGGGTGCTGATCAAACCAAGGTTGCTGAACAATTGAAGGTTTGGTTGGAAGCTTTAGAGAATATTGTTAAGGTTATCATGGATTTCTTTTCTTCTGGTAACTACGGTAAAGGTTTGTAAGTATTATAATTAAACGTCTATTATAGAATCTGTCTATTCTTCTCCAATTTTCTTTGTTGCTTCCATCAACTCGTATAATTGACCAATTTGTTCAGGAGACATTTTTTCCAAGTCTTGTTTACTCATTTTCCCATTCAACCAAGTACCTCCATCTATTTGTTTCAAATAATCTTGCCATTCAGTCAAGAACCCCACAATATGGAGTGGGTTGTCGATTTTTTTATGCTCTTTAAACTCTTTCTTCACATATTGATCACCCACATAACGTAGATCTTGAGGCAACTTGTGTGCATGTGCTCTCAATATGGCTCTGTATAGCTGAAGTGGTGGGAGAATAGGAGCAACGTCCCTCACTGGACGACGTGGTTTCACTAATCTGACAATACTTGGATGCATCGTGTGGTTATGGTGTGGTCACAGAAGTGAATCCATAGAGGTGATTTTATGGAGATTTTTTTTTTTCCTTCTCTTCTTCTCGTCGCAACTGAAAGCTGGAAAAAAAAAATCAATCAATTCTTATTTGTTGATTATCATGTCATGTTTTCAAAAAGTATAATGGCATTACAACTTGAAATTGGAGTAATCAATCAAACGTGTGGGAATTTGATGTTAACAATGAAATTAGGTTTTTCTAGAAGTACATCCAAATGAATTTACTGAATCTAGATACTATTTATAACTCGGGGTAAACATGAGATTCTGGAGATATTCTTGGGGGTTATGATTGAGAACTAAACCCGACAGATTGACTTGGAGGCTTTATTCATCTCAATATGATTGACGCAGAGGTAAGAGGTTGTTTATTATTTGACTTCCCAAAAATGGCAAAACGCAAAGTTAATAATAATTGCGAGGGTTTTCAAAGAAAGTAAAAAATTTCCGTATTGGGTAATGTCGCTGCAATTGAGAACAAAAAAAAAAAAAACCTAGAGCCTACTATTTGACTAGAGTTAAAATTACCTAATTAAGGGCTTAAAATTATTGGCAGGGACTCTAAATCTCACATATATATGCCTCAACCTGCCTAACAGTGTGTTTGAAGAAGAAATTTTCCTGGATTCTACTATTCATAATTTTAACACGCAAATTCATTCGTTCAACAAGAAAACGGTTAAGAGATCATGAAAGTTACAACCGTCAGTTCATTGGTCATTACATTGACCACAATTGTACAAGCTATGGATAATGAAAAACGTGGGTTCTTTGGAGATCTTTTTGCAGGCATAGGAGGAAATGACGATTCAGCAGCGACCACAGCAGCTGCCAACCAAGAAACTACAACTGATCAAGAAGTAAGTCAAGTCAATATAGCAGCAAATGTTGCTATTCAACAAGGTAATTTGAGTACAACTGTCACGCTGTCAGATTTGTTGACGTCTATTTTGTCTTCGTCGTTAGAGACCTCTTCATCTGCAACAAGTTCTAACGGGTTGCTAGCTGGTTTATTCGAAGATGCATCCTCGGAGAGTGCCTCACCAACAGAGGAAGATGATGAAGAGGAGTGTGAAGAGGAGACTGATGATTCTACTCCAACAACTACAAGCAAACCAACTACGACCACGCCAACTACAACCACGCCAACTACAACCACGCCAACTACAACCAAGCCATCAACCACTACAAGTCATGGTTTCACCATTCCAGATATCTTCCCAACTGATATTTCTTCTGATGGTTCATCATCGAGTGCTACCACCTCTACAAACAGTGGTGCTTCTGTCACTGAAAGTTCATCAAGTATGGTTACTACAACTGGTGGGGGTTTTGATGATTTCTTGAGTGATTTATTCCCAGACTCCCCATCATCCAGTTCTGCAAGTGAAGACGACGATGATGACGAAGAGTGTGAAGAGGAAACTGAGACTAACAAACCAACAACCACCACCAAACCAACAACAACTACCACGCCAACTACAAGTCATGGTTTTTTCATCCCTGATCTCTTTCCTAGTGAAAGCTCATCATCTGGTTCAAGTGTTGTTACTAGTACTGAAGGAAATGGTGGATCAGATGTCACTACTGCTACTACTACTACTAATGGTAGTGGAAGTCCAAGTGACTTCCTTAGTGATTTGTTCCCTGGCACCCAATCATCCACTACAGAGGAGGATGATGACGACGAAGAGTGTGAAGAAGAAACCAGTTCATTAGCCTCAACTACTACAAGTAAAACCGGGGGAATTTCGTTACCTGATATATCCATTCCTACTACTACTTCCAAATCATCCACGGGATTTACATTGTTCCCAAGCACATCAGAGGAGGAAGATGATGACGAGACAGAGTGTGAAACCGACATCCCAACTAGTGATACCACACCAACATTGTTGCCAACTGGTGGTTCAACTGATGAGTCAAATCCAACTGGTAGTTCAACAGAACAGAATGGTACTACTACAACATCAGCACCACAAACTTCTGATGATGATGATGACGACGACGATGAGACTGACTGTGAAACCGAGACTGATGTGGAGCCAACCAATGACGGTACAACTAAAACTAGCACTTTCATTCCAACTGGCGGTTCAACAAAAACAACAAGTGCAACTACGACCACTTCTCATGGAGGTACCACAACGACTGAAGAAGAGGACGATGACGAGACTGATTGTGATACTGATGTTGATGTTCCAACTACTGCCACTGCTACCACCACAAAATATGGTTCCACTACATTTACCCATTCAAGTACTTTTGTCACAACTACTACCAACACCAAAGGAGAGACGGTCATCACTACCAAAACAAGCATCTACACCTCGACTGCCACTACTCTTGCTGGTCCATCAACTACCGCTGGTGACAATGATGATGATGAGGAAGAAGATGACGACGAGGAAGATTGTGAAACTGAATATCCAACGATACCCCATACCCAAGTGGATACCAGCACCACGACTGTTGTTTCCAATGGAGTATTGACAACAAAGACTTACACCACTACACCACTGCCGGTTACTTATACAACTGGTGTCACCAAGACAACTGTAGTTTCCAATGGTGTTATTACTACCAAAGAGGTTACCACAACAGCTCCCGTGTATACCCAATACCAAACCGAAACTGAGATTGTGACTATTACATATACTGGTGCTGGACAAACGTTTACTACGTATTTGACAAACTCTGGTGCTATTTGCAGTGAGACTGTCACAGTTACTGTAACAACCACATGTCCACAAACCACTGTTGCACAAGGGGGAGGTGTTTATACAACCACTGTTACTATCATCACCACACACACTGTTTACCCTGAAGATTGGGAAGATGATGGTTACGAAGGAGAAGGTACTGGATCAAGTGGTGGTACCAGTTCGGAAGAAGATGACGACGATGATTGGGAATGGGTCGAAGTTGATTGTACCGATGTTCCTGATACTGGTTCCGGTTCTAGTGGTTGGGGATCATGGGGTTCCGGCTCTGGTTCTGGTTCTGGCTCTGGTTCCGGCTCTGGTTCTGGATCTGGTGGTTCTGGTTCAAGTGGATCTGGTTCAAGTGGATCTGGTTCAAGTGGATCATCATCAGGTGGATCAAGTGGATCAAGTGGTTCAAGTGGTTCAAGTGGTTCAAGTGGTTCCGAATGGTGGAGTGGCTCAGGTGATTATGGATATGTTTGTCCGGGTGACGAAGGTTATGATGACGATGATGGTTGGTGGAGTGCAGGAACAGGATTAAACAATGGTGGATCAGATTCAAGTGGGTCAAACAATGGTGGATCCAGCTCTAGCGGATCTAATTCTGGTTCTGGTTCTGGTGGATCTAATTCTGGTTCTGGTTCTGGTTCTGGTGGTGCTGTTATCTCTTCTTCTCATAGTGGTTTTACCGGAGGTTGGACCAATAGTAGCTCAACTGCTACAGATTATCTTTGTCCAGGTGACGACGGATATGATGACGATGATGACGATTATGAATACAGCTCCACTTCAATCGATAGCATTCCAACTGAAGATTGTGACGATGACGATGAAGAGGATGATTATATTACAGAATTGAATAAAGAAATAGTTGCTACCGGCAGTGATGTACAGACATTATCCACATCAGTCGTTGTTCCTGAATCCAGTGAAACAGTATCACAGATTGAAAACAGAGGTGTTAGAGTTGGCAACGATGGACTTTTCATCGCCGTCGTTGGGTTGTTAACATTGATGTTAGTCTAAGATGAAATTACAGTAAATACATGTTTGAATTTTAGAAATAGTAATAATAATACCTTTTGAATAATTAATTACATCTCTATGTAGACTATTTTGTTTGCCACTTTTACCCACTGGGTGGAAAATACTGGAGCTGGTATGTTTCCTGGGTACATGTGTGCGTTACGGCACTGTCCAATATCAATATATGTTGCTGCTCCTGTAAGCAACGCATCGACGCCACCTCTTGTTACTCTGATACATCCACGAAGGAGTACTTTTTCCAAGTAGTGCAATAATGATAAAGACGCCAACGACGAGTCGCTCACCGCCAGCCCACAAAATGATAAATCTATTTCTCGAAGGTATGGCAACCCTGTTGATATGGCCAAGACCGACCCATCGGTGAGACCACAGCAGAAATTCAAGTTCAATATCTCAAGGTTAATGGCCAGGTTGACTATTGCGTGCATGGCCTTGTCTGTGAGGTAGCTGCACTGCTGGAGACTGAGTTTGCGTAATGATGGCAGAAACGGGAGGGATGTGAAACCGGCATCGGTAATTCCCGAACATCTGGTCAAGTCCAAGCTTTCAAGGTTGTAGAAATATGCACACACGTCACTGACGCTTTGCAGTATCCCAA